ATGGGATAAAAAAGTTGTTTATACAGAAAGGCAGGTAACAGAATTGTGTTCAAAACTAATACACTTCTAATTTATGATTTCTAGTTCATGCTAGTATAATTAATGAATGATGCCGACAATATAATTCCTATAAGAAGATAAAAGCTAGAAAAACGCGACTGAAAGTGCTAAAAATTACATTTTTTCAAATTCTGACGATTTATTTCAATCGCAAATATCTCGTAAACTAAAAGAGATAAATAGAATCAGATCGCAGCATCTTAATCTACGGACTATTTTCTATAAGATAGGATAGTTAAAATGGAAATCTGAGAGATAAAATTTTACATCTTAAGAAAAAATTGCCAAGGGGGGGTGCTTGATACTTTTTTTCGCCGATTTTCAATAATTAATATCTCTTAAACTAAAAGAGGTAGCTACCAACGAATTGTTGATTATGAAAGACTGGAAAATTCTCTATCAGATAAAAATATAAAATAATTATATTTCGACCAGTAAAAGGTCGAAAAACGCGACTAAAAGTGCTAAAAAGTGACATTTTGCAATTTTTGATGATTTTCTTCAATCGCGAATATCTCGTAAACTAAAAGAGATAATTAAGATCTGATCGCAGCATCTTAATCTACGAACTATTTTCTATGAGCTAGGATAGTTAAAATAGAAATCTGAGAGATAAAATTTTACATCTTAAGAAAAAATTGCCAAAATTGCTTGATACTTTTTTTCGACGATTTTTGATAATTAATATGTCTTAAACTAAAAGCGATAGCTACCAACGAATTGCTGATTATGAAAGATTGGAAAATTCTCTGTCAGATCAAAGTATAAAATAATTATATTTCCCATAAGGTCAAAAACGCCACTCGTGCGCTAAAAAGTGATTTTGCAATTTTGATGATTTTCTTCAATCGCGAATATCTCGTAAACTAAAAGAGATAATTAAGATCTGATCGCAGCATCTTAATCTACGAACTATTTTCTATGAGCTAGGATAGTTAAAATAGAAATCTGAGAGATAAAATTTTACATCTTAAGAAAAAATTGCCAAAATTGCTTGATACTTTTTTTTCGACGATTTTTGATAATTAATATGTCTTAAACTAAAAGCGATAGCTACCAACGAATTAGTTGATTATGAAAGATTGAAAATTCTTGCTGTCAGATCAAAGTATATAAAATAATTATATTTCCCACAGCAAAAGGTCAAAAACGCCACTAAAAGTGCTAAAAGTGCGACATTTTGCAATTTTTGGATGATTTTCTTCAATCGCGAATATCTCGTAAACTAAAAGAGATAATTGGCGATCCATCGCAGACTTAATCTACGAACTATTTTCTATGAGCCAGATAGTTAAAATAGAAATTGAGAGATAAAATTTACATCTTAAGAAAAATTGCCAAAAATTGCTTGGATACTTTTTTTCTTCGACGATTTTGATAATTACACATAGTCTTAAACTCGTGCCGATAGGCTACCGAACGAATTGCTGATTATGAAAAGATTGGAAAAATTCTCTGTCAGATCAAAAGTATGTACAATTATATTTCCCACAGCAAAAGGTCAAAAACGCCATTAAAAGTGCTATAAAAGTGACATTTTGCAATTTTTGATGATTTTCTTCAATCGCGAATATCTCGTAAAATTAAAAGAGATACTAAGATCTGATCGCAGCATCTTAATCTACGAACTATTTCTATGAGCTTAGGATAGTTAAAATAGAAATCTGAGATAAAAATTTTACATCTAAGAAAAATTGCCAAAAATTGCTTGATACTTTTTTTCGACGATTTTGATACCATTATGTCTTTAAAACTAAAAGCGATAGCTACCAAACGAATTGCTGATTATGGAAAAGATTGGAAAATTTCTGTCAGATCAAAAGTATAAAATAATTATATTTCATTGAAAGCAAAAGGTCAAAAAACGCCACCAAAAGTGCTAAAAAAGTGACATTTTGCAATTTTTACGATTTTCAATCGCGAATATCTCGTAACCAAAAGAGATAATTAAGATCTGATCGCAGCATCTTAATCTTCGAACTATTTTCTATGAGCTAAGATAGTTAAAATAGAAATCTGAGAGATAAAATTTTACATCTTAAGAAAAAATTGCCAAAATTGCTTGATACTTTTTTTTCGACGATTTTTGATAATTAATATGTCTTAAACTAAAAGCGATAGCTACCAACGAATTGCTGATTATGATAGATTGGAAAATTCTCTGTCAGATAAAAATATAAAATAATAATATTTCTAATAGTAAAAGATCGAAAAACGTGACTAAAAGTGCTAAAAAGTGACATTTTTCAATTTTTGCCCGTTTTATTCAATCGCGAATATCTCGTAAATTAAAAGAGATAAATGCAGCAGAGACAATTCTACGGACAATTCCCTATAAGCTAAGCTAGCTAAATTGTTAATTTAAAAGAATAACTAATAATGGAAAATGGGCAAAGGGGATACTGCATCATGTTTCAATAACGTGAGATTTAAATAAATATTACAGTTTTGTACACTAACCTATATGAGGCGTGATGTTCAAATTTATAGCTGCGTTTTACAAGTTTGTTTCCAATATTAACTCATAAATCGTATCGTATAAGCGCTTTTCTTGCAACAAATAAATACAACCGGCTAGAGAATTTAATTCTGCATATTTGGACCCCGCGCCCAAGTTTGTAAGACGTTACTCCCAATAACAAAAAATAATTCAATTATTATTTAATTATTAGTAGAAGGCGGTGAACCGCGACGAAAAAAAACACATGAACGCAAAGTAATAATCGACGCAGAAAATAAAACGAAATATATAATTGAATTATAAACTTACGAATGAACAACCCATCGAACTCCAAAGCACGGCAAATACTGCAAATAAAAAAAATAAAACATTAGTAATATTATACTATTGATGATCGAATATAATACGAATTGGAAAGTAGAAGTCCGGATAAACGATACGAGTCGCACAAAATACGTCTGAATCAACCAGAGACCGGCCGAAACTGCCGCAAACTGATAAGCAACGACGAGGCAGTTTATGATAAGAAAGTGAGAGGTGCGTGCAAGGCCAGCGCGTCGATGGCACGCGACTAAGATGCAGCAACATGCGGCGTGAGGTGCTGGCAACGAGGACACACGGCAATGCGATAAGAAAGTGAATATTGTGTTCAAACAAACACAATTCTTGTGTCGAAGGTTCACGATTGCTGATAAATATAGAAATAAACAATACAAGTTTTTACAGTATTTCTGGAAATTTAGATTAGTAAAGGTAATAAAAAATTAAAATCTGATTTGAGTGCACTTACTTTTTATGCTGACAGATTGCCAGATTCTACGTTAAATATTTAAGTGATATTTAATTTGAGCATGCATCGTTTCACGTTTACCAGGTAACACATTAGTCCGTAATCATCTGCTGATAATAAAAATGTATTAGAATTAATATAAAATTGTTAGTTATATTCATGAAAGAATTGAAGAATATTTGCTTAAATTTACGATGCTAATATAATAAACAGCAACGGTGTGTTTTGATTCCACGAAATAAAGATTCGATACCTGCAGGTAAACAAACTTATCTCTTGCGCGAAATCGCATGATCGCACACGGACACGGTGTGCACTCACTACCACCAAACCACATTTATCAAATATGCAACAAGGTTGATATTGCAATGAAATTGAAAGTAACGAAAGTCATACACGAAACAAACCAGTATTTAATAAATGATTCATTTAATTTTTTTTACAATAAACAATAAACATATCAGGTAGTGCTAAGATGTTTTGGTTACATACATACACACTAACGGGCCGCTCTTCGTTACATGCATGTGTGTGTATGTGTGAGTGTGAAAAACAGTTAATCGCTCACTCGTCATTTACCAATAATTAGAATTAATGGCACCAAATGTAAGCTATACAAGAATCGGATCAAAATATATAGAACGTATACCATAAAATGTAATTGCAATCGGAGACTATGTCTCCACAATAAAAAAGAAAGAGAAATAAAAATAAAATTACAATTCGATTATTCTGACACCGCGTTCGCGTGTTATATCAAAAAAAAACTGTAATTTCAATATGTAAACTAAAAGAGATAAATATGAACAAATCTCAGGAACTATTCTACGAACTATTCCCTATAAGATAGTCTAGGTAAAGTGGAAATCGATTTTTAATAGCGAATATATTCCAAACTAAAATCGATAGAGAGAAACGGAACAGAATCCGTGGAAAAAATAAAAATATCACTAACAGATCGCGAAATATTACCAGTTTTCCAAAAAGTTAAAAAAATGCAAAAAAAGAATTCTTACGCTATCCGAAAATGAAGAAATAATTTAAAACAGTTTACACATAATTATCAGTAAATGAACTTACCCAAACGCAAATTCCATGAACATCGACAGTTCCTGATTCCATGTCCGGCGACGTAACTTTCACAACTCGATATTATCAATGGTAAACATAACGCACATATTCACCAGAGCACACATCCACAGACGGCACGCGACAACCGCGATCAGAAAATAAAGTCGCTGTGAACATTCTACACCCGATTAATCCGTAATAACACACTATACACGTTTGTTACAAGTAAAATCAAGCGATTGTTGATCAAAATAACGCGATAACCGAATTAAAACGCGAGAAATGTTAAGAGCCGCAAGCAATGCGGGCCAACCCAACGATAGCCGGCGCGGAACTAAGCGCATCGCGCATCCTCCAGTGCCGATTGCAACATAGAGCACAAATGGCGCTGCGGCATTAGCCGTGACCTTCGCGTGCACAACTAGCGTCTTAAGTTCGCTGTCTTCTCCACTGCAGAACTGACACCGTAGTGACACCTATCGACCATAAAACCCAATACAATCCTCCTAGCGCAATTTGTTTATATAAATACACAACAAATCAAAAATGTAAATCAAATTCTTGTCAAACTGACAAAAATAAAACAATTCTAATAAAAACCCAAATAAATCTTATAAAATGACCACATCTCTGCCAAAATGGCTCAAATTCCCCATCACCTACTCCAGCAACATCCAAAAACGCTCAAAAACCGCCTTCGAATGCCACAAAATCGTCTTCATCCGGCACGGCCAGTCCGAATGGAACCTCAAGAACCAATTCTGCGGCTGGTTCGACGCGCACCTCTCCGACCAGGGCCGCGCCGAAGCCAAACAAGCCGGCAAACGGCTCAAGGACCTCAAAATCAAACTCCACCATGGCTTCACCTCAAAACTCTGCCGCAGCATACAAACCCTCGACATAATCCTCAAGCAACTCCGCGAGAAAGACCTACCAGTCGAGCAGCATTGGCGCCTCAATGAGCGACACTACGGCAACCTCACCGGAATGAACAAAGCGGAAGCCATGGAGTTATTCGGCAAGGAAAAGGTGCACATATGGCGGCGCAGTTACAAAACACGCCCGCCAAAAATCCTCGACGTGAATCCACACTATTGCGATATACAAACCGGCGAAAGATACGGTTTGAAAGATAGCGAAGTACCGGAATGTGAGAGTTTAGCAGACACCGTCGCTAGAACCCTTCCATATTGGCTGGAAAACATTGTGCCGGAGATTAAAAAAGGCAAGACGGTTATAGTCGCTGCGCATGGTAATTCCCTGCGTGGAATTGTCAAACACATTGAGGGCATCACCGATGAAGGCATACAACATCTGAACTTACCTACAGGGGTGCCATTTGTGTATACATTGGGTGCGGACATGATGGCGCTGAAGGATGATAATGCTGTGGAGTTTTACGGTAATGATGAGCAAGTTGAAGCGGTTATGAAAGATCTACGCAAGGCGAAATCTCCGGATGAGAAGAAAACAGGCGCAGTTGGTGATTGTTAGATGTATCAGCATCATAGTGTGTCTTGGAATATATTAATTAATATCTGCTACATCTATTCAGTCCATGTTTCGTTTCAATATCCATGTACCCGCTCGTTTTTGTCATTTTTAACATCTAGTACTAATATTTTAACAGTTTAACATCAATTACGATTAATTTCTACGCGCAGAGAGTGAATCTTAACTGTAAATGCATTTCTGTTTGCTTTGATCAAAGATTATTAAATAATTATAGGTTAACTTACGTATTCTGCATGAATTATTGTTTGGTTTTCGACAATTCGACTAGAATCTATTATAAAATATAAAAAAACATTTTTTTATTATTTTTATATTTTATGTTATAATTAATTACATACCTTATCTTTATCCTTGTTATCTTTACTTTCGTTTTTATTCCCGTCACCTTTCACAACCTGCACCATGTGTAGTGTCAACACAGCCAAGATGGCGTCCAATGGATCCATGAACCCACGCTGCATCCATTTTGGAATCGTTGTCCGCGCATGCGAGAATCCCAACTTTTGCAGGATATAATCAATCCCATAGGGTTCGATATATTTCCCAGCAACGCTCAACAACCTCACTGTGGGCTCCAGATGCCATGTCTTGCAATTGTAATTGCGCCAGTCCTTTGAGAATATGTCTACGTCTAGTTGTTGTTTTTGTTTACTAGCTGAAGATGAAGATGATGCGGATGATGTGGATGTTGATGAGGAAGCTGTATCCGGGCGTAAGTCAGAAGAAAGTCTTGAGGAGGACGCGCCAAGCTAAAATATTAAACAAAAATATAAAAAATTAAATATTTAAATATAAAAATTTAATTCTTACCAGTTTATCTTTTTCTTTGACATACGACGTGACTAAATCATGCAAGAAAAAGAAAGCTTCCGCGTCCACAGTGACAAAGATATGATCTTCGAATTCTGTAATGAAAGAACACTCAACCATAGGTTTGTCGGTGTTTTCATCGGGTGTAGTTGATGTCTGTAGGTGTTCCGTCTTCAAATGTAGCTGTAAACTGGGTAAAGCAAAGATAACTTCACGATTGTGGTTGGGATCTTGCATTTTTGATTGTTTGCAGCACTGCCACGACTGCCACGCTCCATTGAGTTGTCTTTTTCACGTTCCAGGGAAGGAAAACGATCCACTTCTACAAATTATTACAAAAAATTAAAGAATACATATAAATAAATTATTAATTAATGTTTTACCATCGATAGTACTATTGGCAAACGCATAATTAAACCATTCTTGTAGAGTCTTGAACTGTGGCGGGAAGAGAACACTTCGGGACATTTTACAAACGGCCGCCATTGACGGAAGTTGTGTTTTATACGTGGACAAGCCAAGACTACATGCCAATGTTTGCACAACGTGTACATCCAAAATATTACAATCTATAAACATAATTATTTATAACATAATATTAAATTTTATAATTTTACTCTTAATTTCTTACCGTTCTTTGATGGAATTTCCTGCGCTTCGGTATTAAACGTAATACATGGCTCCCTTAAACTAAACAACGCCCAACTCTTCGACTTGAAGTTAATTCCATGGAAACACGCCAGTGAAATATTCTTCCCATGCAATTCCATTGTCCCACCCAATACTGTACCGAAATTCGGCAGTGGAAAATGCATCGTGCTCAATTGCAATCCGCAAACATGCGCCAACACCCTCTGCCAATGCCTATGATGGCGTGCATCACTACTCTGATTCGTCCATGCTTGCTGTTCGCGTTGCGTCTCTCTGGATTTCTGCGGTGTTACCTTCGGCGCACGACTAAATCCGCTAAACGCCCGCTTACTGCTATTAAACTGCTGTGAAAAAAACTCTTCTAATTTATTAAACATTTTCAATAAATCCGCTGTAGAAGATTTCGACATCATAATCTGCAATTGATCCCAGGATAAATCGCCGTGCATGAAAATGGACGCGGGACGCCTTGTCGGTAAAGAAGACTGCGTGCGTGACAGACGCCATTCATCACGCAGGTTTACTTTCAGATCGGACACGCGACACATCAACACTGATGTCGCCATGTAATCCAGGCGTAGTTCCAGCGCGTGGAGTTTTAACCCGACGGTATGATCCGGTTCAAGGTTGGGTTCCTCACGAATATGAACTAAAAACAAACAAAAAATTTAAAAATAAAATTGAAGGTTATAATTTTAAAGTTATACTTACTATAGGTGTCGATATTAGCGATTTCTATGTTGCCACCAACAATACCACCCTTGGCATCCAACCCACTGCCACCCAATCCAATCGCAATGTACAAATTCTTATGCCCCGTTGATCCAATACTCAAACGCCCCTCACTGCGGAAGTCCTTCGTCAGCCATGACACATTCCCCATGACATTACCCATATTCATATGCACATTCAACTTTTTAAAGTTAATCGCAAATAAAACCAGAGTTTCCCACGCGGTTTGGTTTTTATGCTCCGAAGGTGATGGCGATTCCGTCGTGCGTGAATCTTGACTAAACGTACGTCCGCCATGTTTAAATCTATGCTTAGTATTACCACCATCTGCATCCAGTGGTAATTTCAGTTTATCTTTGGATAAAAGCGGTGATTTATCCGGACGCCGGGTATTCTCCCGATTAATATTCGGAGACCGTCCGGAACTGAAGTTTTCCTCATCCTGATACTGATTAGTCATGCTTAAATCCCCCAGGAACATCCTGCGGACAATACTACGCCTGTACCATGCTTTCGGGAAAGCCAGAATCTCTGTCAACCTTCTCATATCATATTTAAAGATGCCGAACCAATATCTGTGATTGTACTAAACCGAATCACATTCCTATCTTTTCCTTTGACTTCCTGCTTCATGTCCAGCATGCGACTGCGCGAAAGGTGAAACTTTACAAACTCTACATTAATACTTAGCGAATCTTTCCGCTCGGAGTCTGAAAGTGGTGACCATTGTGCTTCCTTCAACGCTGACTTCTTCCCACCGTACGGATGAAATATATAAACAGAGAAATCACTCAGACATCCGGTTACACTTAATCCACCAACTGCTGTGGCGGCTGTGTTGGGTGTACCATCAGCACCAAATTCCGACTGTAACAACTCCTCTTCCGCTCGTTTTGAACTGAAGACTATATCCAGCGATGGCAATTGAAGCATACATTCCACGCGGGATACAGGGAGACAACTAAACCGGAAGGTGGAGGGTTGCATATGAAAGTAGACAATCACATCGACCGGAAAACTAGTATACACATAGTTTCCATAATTGGTACCATCTTCATTTTCGGCTAGGATGGAACTAGCTGTGGTGTTGAAGTTAGTCTTAGCAGGAATAGGTTCTAGAGTTTGTTCAAGGAATTCTAGAATATGCGGACTTATTATGGTTTCTTCAGGGACACTTTGAAGAGTCATCCAGGCGAAGAGTGAAGCCTTTTTTACGTTTTGTAGTTTTTTGTTCTGGTGACAACTTGGTGTGTTCACACTCCTTGTGACATCCGCCAGATACGCTTCCAGGTTGGAATAGGGGAAGTCCAGACTGGTTCGGGATGAAGTCGGAGTGTAATTCGGGTTGGAGATACCATGCATCGATGAAGAATTTCGTAGATCCAGATCTAGACTATGACCACCTGATGTACCAGTCTGCGGGAAGCTCTCCTGTCGCTTGAAAGCTTGATCAATACGTATCTCTTCTGAATATTTAGTGTTTTTCGGTGTTACTTCCGGTTCTAGAGGAGTATTCTGTCCAGAATCCAATATGGCGACTTTGGATTGGTATAATAGCTTCACATCCATACCAGGAATATGAAATATGGTTAAATCTACAAGAGTAGCATGTGGTGTATTTCTTAATCTACTAGCCCCGGATTGATTTAGGAACTTATCCTTGTTCCTCCTTGTAGGGTCAGGTGATCCTCCACTTGCAGCTGAAAAGTCCAACAACCCCGCGGAACAACTGCGGTCTTTCCTCATAGTCCTCAACTTGATCTCTTCATCCCTCGCTGAATCCTTGGTGTGTAAAACACACTTCCCGCTGTTGATGAACACCTTCACATCCAGCTCCAGGTCAATATTGGGTTCGTGTTGTTTCTGTTGTGCGGTTGTGCCTACCCCAGAGGTACCTCCAGATGTCCCACCGCCGTACGGACTATTCGTAAACAACTCATCCATGAGTGCAGCACCTTCCGAGAATTCATACGAGTTGGGTTTACGTCTCAGTTGGACCTCTTCCTCATCATGCGTATGGATACCTTCAGCTGTCCAGTCTGGTAGAGATAAATCCGATGAAGCACTCTGTAGGGAACACTGCCGGTCTTCTGAAAACGTAACATGATGCTCCCTGGCTCTCAAAGAAGCAGATCGTGATGGTCCACTTCTCGGAGATGAATCAAAACTCCCCGAAGGAGATTGAGGTTCTTCCGGTGATCCCTGATTCTCAGGCATCGGAGCAATAAACGACCTAGACCTATTCGACTTCCCTCCCAAGAGTTTACCCTGTCTGGACGCAGCCTTTAGACTTTGTCTCCTCAGACGTTGGATGATATCCATGCGGAAATCTTTGTAAACCATCGCTTCGAGTTTATGAAACTTCTTCAGCTCCAACTCGATGGTACCATGTGACGCACCCAAAGACCTCAGGTCATTTATAATCTTCGCCTGTTCATTCATCTCCTTCTCCAGTAACCTAGACCTTTCTTTATTATCCAACGAAGCATCAAACAAAATCGCAGGTAGGATGGACTCTTGGGATGCGCGGGTACCATCAACCGGATTGTTGTCATCATCACTATCATAATCCACATTCAGTGGAGTATCCTCAGACCCAGTCAGCATAGTCAAAGTATGCCCCAGGGAACTCAATTGTTTACCCACATTAGTATCCAGATGGATATCTACCCCCTCCATTTTCCACTGGACACTCAAGAACCACTTAGCGTTTTCATTCTGTTTCGCCGCAATGGTCCTACTGCACACCTCATAAGTCCCATCGGATACCACACATAAATTCATGATGGTGGAATCGGTCATATCCGGCTTCCAATCATCCAAAGATGTTTCGAAATCATCCGCGAATCGGAGACATAAATTGGAAAACTTTCCCTTACTCACCAATGACCCTGAACTACAAGCTGAGATTGAGGTGTTCTCCAGGGTGATGACAACAGCCCCACGGGATTCTTCATAAATAGTCCCAGCTTGCCTCTGGTGCCATGGTAAAGGTAACGGGTTCAAAGGTAAGCAGATACCCATATCTTCAACGGTAAGTTGTAGGAATAGCATGGAGAGGTGTGGGGGGTTCATGGATGCAGTGTTACTAAACTGTAACTTTTCATAAACCTGCTGAGTAGCTGTCAGGACCTCCTTATTGAGGTTAGCTCTCTTCTCGTTCCAATAATCATACGCATTCTTGTAATTCAACCAAACCAATATGGCTTTATCAACAGCCACAGGCTGAATATAAATCAAAGGTCTTTTTAGTGTAATTAACACAACTTCCTTATCATCCCCTTCAACCATTTCATCTTGAAACGCATTCCTGCATCCTATTCGTGTATTGAAAAACGCAAACTGTTGATATTCCGCTTCTGCCTCCTCAAACAACGCGTTTCTTATCAATTGTCCTAAGGATAAGTTTAAATCCACTTGCGCTTTACCAAATAACCTATTCGTGGCATTCTTGGCGTTTTGTATACGATTACTGAGTTCTAACACAACCGCACCTGTTTCTAACCTCACTGCAGAGCTACCCGCAGTTGTCGCCGTCAATTGTATACGCTGCATCTGTATAACCAACGAGAATAAAATCGATGTACCACTCATTGTCTCCTCGTGATCCTCCCAGATGGCGACTGGTCTCTCCCCACCATATACCTTCTGCACAACCTCATTAACCTCTTTCATGAAAACTTTCTGAACAAACACTAAATGATTCAACAAATCCGTGGTGAGTGAATGTTCAAACACACCAATCTCAGCGTGTGCGTTCAAATATCCCCCTTGCATGAATACCACGCCTTCGTAGCCATGCGCATGCGCGGATCCATGCAATGGCGCTGTAGGCGTACCTTCCGGTATGTACTCAGCGCTTACATGCACAGCCGGCAGGGCTATCGAAGCCTCTGATGGTAAATTCGCTTCACTTACTTGTAACTTAGTAGTGAAACTCAGCGAATGCTGCGGGAGATCAATGGTGAATTTCGCCTTACTTCCGGTCACACCAGCGCTAGTCACGTGATCCATCTTATACTGCGCTTGTAAACTCGGCAACAACGCCGCATTTACACTCAAACTCTGCAGGATAATCGAAAACTGCATAACGAGCGGTTGCAGCAGTGATTTCTCCTGATTAGTACCCGAAAACCGCGAGAAACCGGAAGGCATGGGCGTGGCTTGCATGTGACTATGACTATGACTCTTCGGAGACGCCGGGCGTTCCTCCTCAGCCTGTTGCCCACGGGACATACGGCTAGAAGTCCGCGTAACGCGTAATTCTTGCAGAGTTGAACTCAACTGCTTACTCCCTCTGGTGACCATACCATGCAACGCGACCGGATGTTGCGGTATGTCAATATTAACCGCACCTACTGTTAATAACCCGTTGTTTTTATCCTTTGCGCGTTTACTTACGCTGGAAAACAGCGTTTGTGATTTACCAACGGTGACTTTAACGACCGTCTGTTGATTTGGGGCAACGCCCTCTAGGAGGACGATCATCGTACGTCCCACTTGACCTGTTAACGAACATTCCAGCGAAACCGGCTGGGATTTCTTCCGGCATGTGAGTGATGCATGCAGAGAAGTAATCTCTGCTTCCAGTTTGAGTACACTGAGTGTGGCGAGAAGTTTCGTGCGATGGATACGCGCCACGCCGAACACGACGAGTTTTGTGTGCTCACGCGCAGAGGATACGCCGCGTTCCAAGAGGGGTGTGTAGCGTTCTTTTTCGTTATTAGCCGCTGTACCTGTTGATGCCGGGATGCTGCTGGTGCCTTCCCGGGATGAATCACCGTCGGTTTTGCTCTCGTTGAGGATGTCATACTTGCGGTTGCCTTTGTAATGCTCGGAGATGTCCGTACCACCAACAGAGAATCTAATAAAAATATTTTTATTATTTAGTTTTATTTTTTTTGTTTGTTTTATGAATGAATATTACCTGTGTTTAATTGTTTTGTTGTCGGGCATATTCGCGTAGAGGTCGAGGACATGATACATGGTCTTCCAGCACCTGCCGACGCTCTTATCACTCGATAGAGTGACATTGGTGATGTTTTCAATGGCGGAGCCGCTTGGGCTGCTGAGAGTTACAGGCGTGCCGCCTCCTTCGCTGAGGTTCATGTAGCCTTTGACGCTTTTACCGGTGGAGCGGAGTTTCTGCGCGAAGCTCTGCGGGCGGGAGCGGACACTCGCCGAGGGGGAAATGATGGGTTTCTGGGAGATGATGTCGGAACCATCGGAGATTTTTAGACTCAGGGGTTTTGTGAAGTCTAGAGGTTCATGAAGGTCTGATGCTAATAAATCGAAAAAATTGAGAAATATTAAGAATAATATATAAAAATATATAGGAATATAAATATTAGCTCCGCCCTTCGGATGAAAAAAGTAGGCGGGGCATAATTTAAGATTATGTTTAGCACTTACTTGAATTCAAATGGGTTTTGATGTCGAGATGATCACTAGCGCTGGTTTTCGGCCGGCGGATGTCAACGGGTTGCTGTTCGCGCAGCTCGTTCTGAGTGTCCTTGACATTCTGGTACATATTGCTGATTTGATGCAGAAGACGCAAGAGTGGCATATTCACGCGTTGAGAGATAAATCTCACACCTAAACACAAATAAAACATTAGTAGCATATTGCTACGGGTTCTAGAACCTCCCCCCACTACTTTCTCCTTTCCCCCAATTTTTTACTTACCGACATTAAAGTTAATCACTGTACTCGTGTGATTTTTAAGTTGTCCTCTTGAGATGTAAAGCACATTACGTGTTTTTATCATGTCGTTGACAGCCATGTCCGTCATCCGGTCGATTTCGATCTCCACTGAGATTTTCTCGCAGACAAACGCCGGACATTCATCTAAATATTAAACAACACAAACATTAAAAACATTTTTAAATATGTTTATATAACTTACCAGTGTTTATCTCGACGAAAACACGTTTACTCCTCGTTTTTCCCTTCTTCTTTTCCGGTTTACCGTGCTCGGAGACCACGATGTCAATCCGCATTGTCTCCATGTTACCCACAAGCGATAAATTCGAGCCCAGTGCGTCCAAAGATGGCACATCTGTTTGTGCCCCTATCAAAAACAATCGCAACATGAAATATAACCTCACTTTTACAGAAATAAAACATTTATTACCTGCTTCAGCCATAGCGGCAACTTTCAGCTGCTGCGGCATCACCCCTAGACTGGACAGCAAAGGCTGAAAGATAATATTTGCATCTTCAAAGCGAATCGAATCCTGAATGGGATACAAATTGACAGGATAACTTTGGTTAGGTTTGAGGTCTTCTTCGGTTGATTCCGTCTGCAGCGTATCAATTTTACTCTCTAAACCACCAGCTAAAATAATTTTATATTATAAACAATATTTAATAAATTTGATGAAAAATTGAACTTACTTTTAATAAACCCGTCGTTATTCTGTCGCGCCATCCACGAATACAAATCCTCACCGGAATCCTTTTCGTGTTTCTGATAAATCGGACTCGTTGGCAAATCCGGCGATGAATGTGTCGCCACACTCGGATCAGAACCCATATTAATCACAGTGCGATCCTCACGCAGCGTACCATAACCTAAATATTTAAAAAAAATGATTATGTTTTTTTTATTTATAGGTTATGAGCACGCTTACAGTAATTCTCCTCGGGTGGTTTTTTAGGCATGAAAAGATTAGCGCCGTTGAGCAAGGGTAGCACAACACTGGAGCGACTGCTTGGTGGGACGACAACGGCGGGCGTCGCATGTAAACTACGCCGGTGTTTATGTTTCGTTGCCACGCCCACACCACCACCACCAGCTGAGATAACAGCAAGCAAAGCAAGGATTTTAGGTTAGGTTAGATACAACACATTTTTAATATTATTATTAGATAAATAAAGTTAATAGAAAAAAGTACCTGGTGGGGATGGTGACGTCACCACACTTTCCATACAGTACGCCATTTGCATTGTGGGCGGAGACAAAGTCGGATCCACGGGCGGTTGATGCTGTATCTTCGGCGATGAGACATCTACCGGTGAAAATTCTTTACCTACTCCACAAAATAATTATTTTTATCTTTATCAATATAAATTTTGAATAAATAATTAATCTCAAAGCAATACAAGCACAAATATGGCGTCACCAAAGACTCCACCTCGTTTTATAACAGGTTTTATCACCGCACGACAAAAAATAAAAATATAAAAATCAACAAATGACATGAAACGTGTAAGAGATTGTCTGTATAACATGTGTGAGGTTACGTACCCATCGTATTCTTCACGGGTTTGAGGCTGATGCCATTGTACAACAGCTGCGCATGCTCGTCGGTGATGTCGTGATCTTCATTACCGCTGCCTTCGCCGTCCGTCAGATACACCTAGTATCCATCCGAAAAACACACACACACAAGAGAATAAAAAGTGAGGTTAGTTAATGATTGGTGGTATAACAGTTGGGAGGTTAGTCACACATGTGGCGTGTATAGTGACATATGAAGATAAGATAAGAAAATAGAGAAAAAAGAGAGACAAGCGCCGCACAGTTCAAAATCTTGGGCTTACGCTGCTCGGAACGCGGCGACGCCTTTGGGGTTGTCGTGGGCGGGGCTTGCGCAAAGGCGCGGCTTACCTCCTCCACGGTGGGCATCTGCATCATTACGTTGAGGGGTTTCACGCGCATCTTGGTGTCGTGTTGGTTCATCAGAGGTGTGTGGAGTTGGGATTTCCATTGACGACTTAATGCAATCACACCCTAAATAATAAAAAAGTTTGTTTGTTGCGTTTTATCTCGGAAACCACTGAATGGATCGTCATGAAATTTTGTATATATATTCTCAGGGATATTGCGGAGAATATAAGATATTTTTTGTTTGAGAATTATATCTTTAAGTTGATTAAATAAGGGATGAAAGTTGGTTTAGAGATGCAATCATACTTATAGTTGAATAATTCAACTCTAGATGCAATCATAGTGCATAGTTGCAATAATTCACACTCTAGATGGCGCTAAAGTATAGTATAAGCTTTTACAATTAAAAATTTACTAACCTGTCTAAGGGTGAATAACTGTGGAAGGTCAGATTCTCGTAGATTACCTTCAACGACCCCTGCCTCCGCTTGAAGGTAATACTTTTGTAGAATCGTACAAAGTCTACAACTGGGATCCTCATGAAGTGTCTTTGACAAAGGAGTCAATTTTCCATATCGACTCTAAATAATAACAAAAATAAACACCTCACATCCATATTTTAAATTTTAAAAAAATTCCTAACCTTATTCGCAACGTGTAAACTCGGCATTTCCAACGCTTCCGTCATGAGACAAGCAATCGTAGCAGTACTCCGACGATACATGGCCCTCACCATATGCACAACCCTAATCGCCAGTCGATTACTAGGATTCATCCAGGCATTAATCGCAGGTGAAGCGGTGGATAACAAATTCCAATCCAATCTAAACAATAAAAAATTACAGATTCCTGTAATAAAAAACATGTTTTATTAGCTAACTAACCTTGTATAGTCAATTTTCCTTGTTATCGGCGTCTTTGGCGGCGCAGCAAAGTTAAACCACACAACTTTCAACTCAATCACACAGCTGGTGACATTACTACCATCTTTATTCGCCGCCCCCGCTGTGGGTAACAACTGCATACCTTGCATACTTTGCGTTTGCGCTGTGCTGGTTCCAGGTTTAACTTCACCGGTTTCCTGATCTCTTGCAGCGCCACCTACATTTCCACTCACAGATTGTGTATGTGTATGTGTATGTACCGCACCCAACTTGGGTGTAGCCTCCACCTCACATTCCTCTTCTTTATTCGGCTCCTCACAACTTTTCTTAACCAACTTCAACGAAATACCCTCCAATCCACATTCAAACATGATAAACCCGAGTTTATCTTCATCATCATCACCATCTTTATCTCTATCCCTTGGAGATGTATTAATATTAGGCGGTGGCTCCACCTCTTGTAGATAATAATCAACACCACGATGTCTCGGTTTAAACTTACTACTAGTAAACAATACTTTCGAACAATGAGGTGGAATGGCTGTTATGACAGCATCATCCAAAATGGACGACTCATTGCGTAATCTACGTAACTGCGCATGCGTTTTACCTATGGTAAGACTAACTACCAACTGTTTCTGTTGTTTCTCACAACTCTCGATGAACACCGGCTCGCGTCGGATGATATCGGCGTTCGTATTGGTATGCAGCGATAAAAATGGCCGCTTGCCTTTCTTACCGTCATTAGAAACAACCGAAGGTCTATAAAATTTCTGCAGGACTTCTCTCGCTTGACTATCAAGATGGAACCGCGTGGCAATGTTTTCAAAACAAACCGAAAATGTACTCACACAGGTTAAGTCTTTCATATTATCCAGCGCAGAGAATGAAATAATCTCCTCGACTATAGAAACCTGCAGCATGGTTATGTTAATCTTCGGCAGAATAATCGCAGCCTGAAGTTGTTTTTGATTGTTTTTCATAACAACCGTTTTCTAATACTTTACTATCATCACCCTCGGAGGGATTCGTAAGCATTGAGATGTTTTCGGTTGTTTTTAACACATTCGCCGCTTCTACCTGCCCGATACAACACGCGTGTAAATGGTTGACTACAGTGAGTGGATGTAGATTAGACACGGTGGGGGTAAGCGCATCGACGAATCTCTGAAGAGATTCTAATAACAGAGGTGTTACCATTATGTCAAGGTCACCTTTGAGTTTGACAATCAAGGAAGTTCGACCGCCGGCGTCATTTTGTGAACTTAGAAGTTCTTCTTCATGAATAGAATCTAAATGATTACATAAATAATAAATTTATGTTCTGCTAATAAAAAATATAACCTAACCTGTATTCGGATCATACTCTTCATAATCCCAGTTGAAAACAGTGCCTGTCGGTGTCCGCGCCGAAGGATTCTCACTTCTTGTAATCATTTTCAGCGAAGTTACACCTTCCGATACAGAATCCATGAATGGCACGAATCTACCACCGACATAAACCAGTTTATCCTCCTCGTTCTTTTGAAACAGCGGCACGGTAAAGGAATCTGTATTCTCCGCCGTTGTAGAGGGCCAATTCAAACACCGCAACTGTCAAAACACACAAATATAACCTTAAAATTTATTTTTCTTCAAAAACATAACCTTACCTGATTAAGATGCGTAACATACGAATACATCAACATCGGCGAGTCCAATATCAACCGATTCACCTGCATGTGTAGATCAACAAGCGTGAAATCCTCTTGACTGCCCACAGCGCTGACATACGACGTTGAACTATACCCATCCGATGAATGTTCATCATGCAACCCTTCGACCTCTTCGAAATTCGTCGGTGTAGATTCCTTCACTACCAACCGCGGTGACGGATGCCGCAAACTCCCGGGTTGGCGCTGCGGTGTGACCAAACCTTGTATAGGCAAACTTCTATGCTCCGGTGTATGTATCTCATGATCACTGCGATGCGTTGACAGTTTGCGTGTGCACTGCACGGATGACGGCGCGACTATACCCGAAGGCGAGGATCGTGTGTGTATCGCAACTGACGCATGCGCACTCTGCATAGTACCACCATTATTAACCTGTGCTGCACCAGTGGTTAAATTAAGGTTATGATGTCCATTTATACTCTGCTCACTCGAGAATCTTTTGTTTTTAGACTCGGAACTCTCTTGACGTGTAAGAGTACCATTCGATGAGAGTACAGAATTACGCAGACTGGAACTCCTCGAGTTGATGTTCATATCTTCATCTGCAGAGAAGAAAGCTTCGGAATGATTCTCCGAAGACATTGAAATCGTCCGTTGGACTTCAGCTGCTTTTGCAGTTGTTCATCAGAGAGTATTCTTCCTAATGAATGTTGTGAGTCTGATGAATCAACACGATTTATGTTTGTGTTTATGTTTATGTTTTCATTTGTTTTTTGTGTTATAGCCGGTGAAAAATAATCAACAGCAAGTTTAGAATCAGAAGCTGAGTTTTTTGGTCCTGGCTCATCAGGATTCTCAGACCCAACGAGTAATTTACTCTTATCTGTTGATTTATGCAACTTTGAATCACTATCTAGTTTAGGGTCAACCAAACGTGCATATGGCACGTCTTTTCTCACGACTTCTAATCGAAGTACTTGAATATCTCCGACTGTTTTTTCTTTCTGTTAGACTCTGAGGACTTGCACTGCTTCCATCCACGGATTTTCGATCGGTTGTGCTTGGAAGTGTATTAAACTTCTCTTGGTCTTTATCTTTATTATTATCTCTATCTTTATCAGTCAGTTTTCTTCTATCGACTGAATTATTCCCATTACTATTGATATTATTTCCCATTAGAAATAATCTCGCACTTTTTTCTGTATCTTGTAAACTGATTTCGTTTACGATGTATGGCGTTGTTCTGAATATCAGCATGCCTTCATGGAGGATGCTTTGACCATACGCTGGGTCTGCCCCTGGTTCATTCACGCGGAAAGCTGCGATGTTTGTTCCTTCGTCTAGATCTCGATAACTGGGTTTAAAGAAGCGTTTTCCGTTGGTGTTGTCGCCGAAGAATAGGCAACCACCTGTACATCCGCAATTCCCGGCGGATTTGTTTAATTCCGGCCATAGGAACCAGAGTTTTTTGAGTTTCTCGTCGTGGGTTTTGAGGAATTTCTGTTGTAATGCATGGGTGTCTTCTTTGTCGTCCGAGCACATTGCTGCTTCGATTACCAGAGGTGCGAAGTCTACGGAACCGACTTCCAGCCATAAATCGTCGCTGTTTGATCTTTTTTTTAATTTTTTTATTTTTAATTAAAATATTGTTAGTTTAGTTTTTTTGGTTTTTGAATTTTGGTAACTTACTTTGAATGGTTGTATTTTTGTGGCTGCCAGACACATTGTCGTAGTGAGGTACCGTAGATAACGCAGGTTAATCCTGAACCGACTTGTTTACCGTGCAGATTGCAGGTGGACAATCGAATCGGTGATATCTTTATAGAATAATGTGTTTTAAGTGATTGAAACAGGAATTCAAGTTTAAAAGTAAAAATTTTGAAAAGTCGGTCGTTTTTCGATTTTTGGCTGCTATAACGCCATTTTACTTTTTATTTAGTTTAATATTGTGTAGACGAGTGCGGTTTACCCGTTTGGTACGTTTTGTTATTATTTATGTGTGGATTAACTATTTTCATAAAATAGTTGGAGTAAAATTGCATCAAACATGGCCGCCATTTTAAGAATATAAGAAAATACAAGAAGTACATCCTAGCGCCATCTGTGTTAGAATAAGCGTTATATATAATAACTTAAAATAAATATAGCCGGCCCCTTCTATCACCCCCACCGCCCCTCAAATAATACCAAACAAGGTAGCCTACCTAACCACCACCCCAACCCCAACCGCCAACCACCTCCTCCCCAACCCCCAACCACCCCACAAATAATGCCAAACAAGGGAGCCTACCTAACCACCACCCCGACCACCCCAACCCCCACAAATAATACCAAACAAGGTAGCCTACCTAACCACCACCCCCAACCCCCGACCGCCCCACAAATAATACCAACCAAGGTAGCTTACCTTACCACCACCCCCAACTCCCCGACCACCCCCTCACCACTACCCCGACCGCCCCACAAATAAAACCAAACAAGGTAGCCTACCTAACCACCACCCCCAACCCCCGACCACCCCAACCCCCGACCGCCCCACAAATAATACCAAACAAGGTACTCTACCTAACCACCACAAATTATAAAGTTTCAATTTAAAAGTTGATTCAAAGCAAATTTAAGCTTAAACCTGAATATATAAGTGCATGCCAGCCATTTGACCAATATGTGATACTTTTCCGCAAGAGGTCGCTAGGAAACACGATTTGCCTTACAAATGTCGGTAAACTACATGCACCGAAGGGAATCGCAATTAAAGGCACCTACCGTTTTACTTACATATGCAAAATGACGCCATATTGCATTTTATACTTAAAACCACCCGAATTATGACATTTAAACTGATTTTAGTCCAAATTAAACTAAATAAACGTCCGTAGTAACTCGCAATACCGAAAAATACACAAAACCCCAACAAATTCGTAAATATTTCACCCAAAACTGTTAAGAATTCACCAAAACAATTAAAATTATCACTCACCCATAATTGCAGCGCCGCCCCACTCTCCACCAACCAGAAATCAATTGCATCGATCGCCACCCTGGTAAACTTATACTTCAACTGATGCGACCGCTCGTTGATCTCCTCAATCGGATTGTTCTCCGTCAAACCCTTCTTTTCCTTGCGCTCCTTCTCCTCCTTCTTCTTCTCCTTCTCCTTTTCTTTCTCCTTACTGCCAGTAGCCTTACTAATAGTACTACTAGTATTACTACTCTTCGCCTGCAGGATAATCTGCTGGAACGCCATGGGCAGAGTGAACGGCGTCGACGTATTCGTCTGAATCTGCGGCTCCGAGAGCAGCGCATCCTCCGGCGGCGAATTCAATTCATTCTCAGCGTCACAAATCAACAGGAAGAGGGTTTCCAGACATGCGAGGAGGGAATACAACTGGGGCGTTGTTAATTTCCCGCTTAGTTTTCCCAATTGGATTTCCAACCAGCCAGGCGTGTTCGATTGTGTCTTGATCTAGAGATCGGCCTATGTCGGAGAACATCGCATGTCCACGAATCTATAAATTAAAAATTATTTTTTTTAATTTTTAGAGTTTATGAAATCACTCAGTATATAATTATTTACTTTTAAAATTAAATTATTATTGTAAATTAGAATAAATAATTATATACTCATTTTTATTATGATTACACATGTAAAAGTGCGTTTTTTGTTGTTTGTATGTTTGTTACGCTTTCACGCGGAAACTACTCAACCGATTTTTATGAAATTTTGGATAAATATCCTCAAGGATATTACAAAAACATAAGATACTTTTTATTTCAAAAATATCAATATTCTAACCAAAAATTAGAAAAAACGAAGCAAAAGTATGAAATAGTTCACTAATTCGACTCTAGATGGCGCTAACTTTTTCATTAAAAGAAACAAATACCTAAACTACTTTTTTAAATATTTAAAATAATTAACACTGACCTGTAGCGATGACAAAGTCAACCTTCCCTGCCTCAAATGCCTATCCTTCGAAGCCCTGCCCACGGTATCATTAACCAACAAAATCGCCGGACTCAACAACAACTGCAGTTCAGTCTGATCATACCGCTTCTTCATCTCGAACCCAAATCTCTCAACGAGTATCACCGGACACGCGGGATCCTTCTCCGTGCAGTTCTTCAACAGATGTCCCTGTATATCATGCATGATAATATTCAAATCTACCTCCAGAGGGCGATACGTCCTATGATCAAAATCTTCACGTTGCTCCAACGGAACAAACGTCGCATTATCACTCGCTGCACTCACAGTGCTCTGCTCATGCGACGCTGTTTGCAAATCGGTGAATTGCTGGTCTTCACCGAAGATATTCTCCTTGAAATTCAAGAAGTTGCGTAGTGCTGTGCCATAAATAAGGAGCACAGAAGGCCCGACTTCTAATTCCACCGAAACAGTGTCGGCTTTGAGTGTGGTGGGATCAAAACGCTGCACGCCTTCCTAAATAGATAAAAATTGAGGTTAAATTTGATTATTTTTTTTAATTTTGAGGTTATATACGTACAGGTGATCGTTGTTTGCGTTTGCGTTGATGTGGAAATCTTATCGGCGATAACAAAATCTCTTCTTTGACAGGTGTGCTGATATCTGCTTGTGGGGCGGGGCCTACAGGTGGGCAAGGATGATAAGCATAGCTTATATTAATGGCACCTATGGGTATCCACCAGAAATCAACCCATCCAGCACTAATTTTAAACCAAAACATTTAATAAACGTGTTATTCAAGATTTTTAATGTGTTTTTACCTTGTTTGACAAACATTCCGCCATTTTGGAATAGCTTCAGTTTTCTTCTCGGTGCTGCCATCTTTATTCCGTATCTTCGCATGCGTCTCCAACGCCGAGATAATATTCCTCGAAGTATGATACTCCGGAATAAACAGTGATAAATCAATGCTCTCACCCTGGATACTAAAGTTAAGCGTGACGATATCCGGCAGGAAGTCATCAAAAGGCAGATCGAAGCTCAGATGCATGAAATGCGCGCACAGCGCTATCTGTGTATTCTCCAAGCGTTGTTTCTGCCCCACACTGCTGCAATCCACCCAGTTGTACTGATTGATCAACGTCATAATCTCACAATGTTTGAGTGTCAGCCCGAAACGCCATGTATACGGCACGAAATGAAGAATATCGGGTCTTGCTTTCGATGACCAGTCATTAATAAAGTCTATAAAACAATAAAAAGCAAATATTTAGCTTAAAATAGTTAGTAATAGTTTTAGTGAGAAAAGTGTTACCAACCTTGAAAAAACCACTTGTGCGTGAACAACAGCGCCACCGTCGCTTTACACCCTGTCAAGTTAAGCTCCCATAGTTGATGATCGTTCCACACGCGTGGATAATGACAAGCCACAGCAAACTCCAATGTTTCACTCATAACCAAATCTCTATACTGTAAACTAGTCGTACCTTCGAGATGCAACAACTGACCGTTGATTTTCGTTGTGTAGCCATCTTGCAGCGTCACCCACGGTATGGTTATCTCTAGATAACTACCAGCGCCGACTGTGACATGCACCGCGTTGGTTTCTTTGTTCTTCGAGAACAAAATGTCAATGGTGGCGACGTACTGCATTGACAGCCGAATGTCAAAACTCTGCATCTGCCGCTTTTCGCCGGGGCGCGGCGCTTCAGTCACCTGCATGACTTGATAATCTTGCGGATAGAAGAATTTAAACAAATGCTCACGTTGGCGATCCGCCCATGGGCCGTAGGAGAAATCCGTGCCTTTGCCACACTTTATATCCACACCCCATTGTGGTGGGTTGGATTCGACTACGTCGCCATTGGGGAGTGTGACAGTTACGGGAACTTCAGGAACTAAACCTAAATTTTTACATTTTAAATTAATTTAAGTAATTTTTTAGTTTTTATGACTTACCAGGTTCATCCATGTAGAAATACAGCTCCAGATCATTCGTGGACATCAACACGAAGCCTTCACCCATGAATCTCGGCGGTTCATCCAACATACCAGTGTATTTCGGGCTTGGCGCTAACATAACCCTAGCATTCTCCGCTTTACACTTCGTAAAATGCATGAATCTATCCAGAGTATTCACGGCTGGCCTTGTAGAATACACAAAATGACTCTCCTCGATAGTTATACTCAAAGTATTCGGAACTAAGCGATTTCCGAAGACCAATCGACACGAACTTATATCCATCTTGATGACCGGAATCAAATCACGCCATGTTCGCGCCATGGCGGCTTCCGGTCGCTGCTTACTCTTCTTTTTATCCGTTTGCACCGCGTGATCCAATTCCACTTCGACATTCCGCTCCATATTCTCGATATTCATCGTTTTTTCATCATTATTGTTATCCGGATAAATACCTGGATCCAATCCGAAGATTTTTTCTATTTGCGCGTAGAGATCCGAGCGATTATACACATGCAGTTCGAATCCATTGAGGACGACCGAGAGACGCGTGTCGGAATGTGACAGGTCTTCAGAGACATCTTTCGGTACGTATGCGCGCCACCATCGGAAGATCAGGTAGCCATCTTGGATACGCACGGTGAAATCATGACTGATGTAGACTAGATCACGAAACATGATTTTTCCGGATAAAGCGTTGAGTGTGAATGAACCTAGGGCAGATTTTAAGGTTAGTTTTAATGTTATGTGGGAAGTATAACCTGGAAATATAAAAATTTGTGTTTTTTCTTACCAATTTGAAAGTAGGCTTTCCCCTTAAGAAATCTATTAATTATTTTGGTTATGATGCAACCAACGATGCGGCTGTTGTAGTAGGTGATGTAAATCACCCATGCGAAAGCAAATAATAGACTTCCAAGCAATTTTAAAAAGTTGCTGTCCATTAAATCATTGAGTATTTCATTGGTTGTGGTGTTCCCTGACCAGGGTTCAGGGATATTTAACCCTGCCATGGTTGTGTTGTCCATTGTGACCTTCAATTCACTCTTTTTCACCTAAAATTGTTAAATATTAATAAATAAATCACAAAATTTAAAGATTTTTATGTTTTTGAGGTTAAAACTTACTGAAACATCGTTTCTTTTGTTTCTGCTGCGTTGTTAATGCATACTTGTGTGTGCATTGATGTGATTTTACACTGTCTATGCTAGTTGTACTTGTTTATCAATTGTAACGCATTATATTTGTTGTTATTTGATGATAAAACACTGATTAGTTTATTGAGATAGTGATTCATAGGTTATCACTGCGTAAATACGCCGTGGCGGCCCGAATTTGATGGAATTTCACATTTGCGCTGCTGGTGCTGGTAATCTGCGGCACTTATCGATTGGAATTGATGTTTATACAAGTGATAAAACACATTCTTGCGACGTTTTCGTACGGAATGAAAGTACATCGACCAACAGCTGATTTGTGTTAGTGGTATGCTATGCAACCATGTATACACATTCACAACATAGAAATTAATTAATAATTTGCTAAATACAACTAAATAATGTTTATAAACAGCAAAAATAAGTTGTAAATTAAATTCTACGCTTAAAACCGTAGAAATATCATAAATTAATGGAATAATTAAAAATTATAGAGAAAACTTTGCAATGTATCATACACTATGCAACCATGTATACAGATTTTGTACAACGTGCCCCTTAGTGATGCAACCAGACGCACAGCTTTTACAAATTAGAAAATAATTAATAACTTGGTAAATAAACAAATTACCGATTGCAATTTACACATAATACGTTGTAAATTAAATTCTACGTTTAAAACGTAAAAATTTCGTGGATTAATCAAATAAATAAAAAGTTACAAGTAAAAACTAAAAACAAGTGTACGTATGGTTGCCTAACATAAAATATCTTAAGGGGATTATACTGTGTGTGTAGGAAATAAAACAAACACAATTTTTAATCTGCAGACATTTCTGTACTGTTTCTGTACTTTTTCCCATTTACACATACTCAAATGAATTGATTATCTTCCTGCCGAACGCAAATAGATATAAGATATGAATCGTACGCATTTATATGTACAAATTACTAACATACCTCTAATAATAATAATAACTAATCAATGCGATAAATAAATAATGCCACAAGAGGCTTAAATCTTAGGTTATGCAGTAATTGGAGCAGTAAACGCAATTGGATGACTTCTCGTTTCAAAGTTTCATGTATCAAGAGTTCTATGCGATAATAATGAATAATTATCCTAGTTATGTACATGTTTCAACTATTAATCTAAGTGTTTACGCTGTTACTTGCCGCTTAGCTCAATTATTGTTCGATTATTATTTGTATTTCGTAGAAAAATGAAGGCATTCATTATATTGCCCAAAGTGTAAGCATTTTTTATCATCTCCATCGCAATGGTTTCCATTTCTAATTCATAAAAGCGGTCATTCTTACTTCAGTCTTTGATTACTGCTCTAATAAGTTGATAAGTATACAGTGTACAACTAAAACCCTTCCATTTTGTGTTCTACTGATAATTGGTAAGTGATATCACAAAGTATTAATTATATTCCATCAAACAACAACAAAAATAAAAACGAAAAAGTCGGTTGTTGGTTTGCATGCTTGTCTTTTGTTTTTAGTTTAGGTTTGCGACGCCATTTTGTTTGCCATTTTGCGACGCCATTTTTGTTTGCCATTTACTAGAGTTACACCTTCTCTTCTGGGTAGTTCATGTCGTCGTCGAGCGAGTCGCTTCTGCAGAACGTCAGCGAGATGGTCCTGCAGATCGTCGCCGCCACTCATGCGTATCCATCCTTGCCGCCCCCGCCAGATAGTTTGCGTGTGGATGAGGTGGATGTGGAACCACCGCCGATGCCACTCACGGATGAGAGGAGCGATGGTGATGTGCTGTTGTGATTCGCCAGGAAAGTATTCACGGAATCGTCGGATGAATAACTAAAAATGGTTATAATAAAAGTTAATATTAAGTTAATTATTATTATTAATAAATATTTTGCTTATGATATATTACCTGTCTGAATTATCAATGCTATCATCGTCAAGTTCACCCTGAATCGCCGATTGGAGGTCTTCGATGCGTTTTAGTGCCAGTCGCAGGTCAGTTCTGGCCGTGGCGGCTTCACCTTCGAGTGTTTCGCAGCGTTTTTCAAGTTCTTTGCGTTTTAGTAACGCTTCGCCTTCACGACTTAACGCTAGGTTGTGTTCGTCTCTTAGTTCTCTGTAAAAAAATGAAAATTTTCATAAAAATGCATTTTTAATGATAAATTAAATAAATAATATAAAAGTAAATAATAGGATCTATTCAGAATTAAATTCTGCATCTAATAGAAAAAGAATCATCAAGATTAAATGAATAATTAAAAAGTTATGGTGAAAAAACTAAAATTAAAAATTTGTAAATTTTCGGGAAAAGTTTATAACTTTTGTTAGAAACAAATAATTTTCATAAATTATACATCAAAAGATGCGGAATTAAATTCTGAATTGTTTAAAAGAAAAATGACAACTCTACCTAAATTAGTTTTTGAAATATAAACAAAAAACTAAAACATCAAAAATTTTAAATTTTGAAAATTTTCGGGACAAGCCCATAACTTTTCATAAAACCAACAAAACCCTACAAATTACACATCAAAAGATGCAGAATTAAATTCTGAATTGCATAAAACAAAAACAATCCCTCCACAACAATTACTTTCCAAATAATAACCAAAAAACCCACCTGACACTCCTCTGTAACTTCCTAATCTGATCCTGTGCAGACTGCTCCTTGGCCCTGGCCGTAGCCACCTCCGACTGCAACTTATCCACCGCCTCCTTCAACCTTACAACTTGCACCTCCTGCCTCTGCTTCGTCGTCTGCTCCAGCTCCAGCTTACTCTCCAACTCTTTCACCTTCAACTCTGCTCGCTTGACCAAAATATGCGAACTGGCATCACCCAAACTCTCCACGCTCTCCAACTTGCTCGTCATCTCAGCCAGCTGTTCCTTCAACCCATTACGCTCAACCTCCAACTCCGCAACCAGACTGACTTGTTCCTGCAGCGCCAATTGATCCAACGACATTTGCTGTACACAAGCTTTATACTTCTTCAACACCTCAGCTAATTCCTCTTCGTTTTCTTCCAACTGCATTTGTAAATCATTCCTCTCACGCATCTGAGAGTTGAGTTTCTCTTCAGTTTCTGACTTGGATTTTGAGGCATCGTCGAGTAGATTTTGTGTTTCGGTGAGTTCCGCTTCCAGGGTGGATTTAGCTTTGGTTGCTAAGGATCTCGCACATTCCAAATCATCGATTTGATTACGCAGTTGACGAATGATATTCTTGCCAGGGTTTTCATTCTTTTGACGCTCCAGTTGTGATTGTGTATCGCGGAGTAGCACTTTCGTGCGTTTTAAGTCACGTTTAAGACGTAGGACTAACGCCTCATCACATGCTTTCTCATTGGTGGATTCCATCGCGGCGACCAATCGGCGTTCAAGTTCGTGTTTCTCACGCATCAGACTCGTGCGCTCTTCGTGTTCGTTTTCTAATTGAGCTTCTAATGCTTTAACCTAAAATATTAACATTTAAAACATTAAAATACATTTTTTTTAAATTTAAATAAAATGAAAATTTACCTTCTTTTGAGCTGAACAACGAACTTCTTCCAATTCCTCATCATGTGTGGCTGCTTCCTTCTTACTCTGCTTCCTCATTTGTTCCAGAGACATCTCCAGCTTAAGTTTAGCTTGTTCTAATAATTGTACTTGTCCTGCTTGTTCATCCAATTCCTCTTCTTGATCATGCAGACGTCGTTCACACTCCATTTTCTGTTTGCGTAGCAGGGCGACTTCTTCTTCAGTTTTGCCACCGTAGGTTAATTCGTCTAATTCTCGTTGTAATGCTGTGCACTTTTCCTCTTTCATTTCCAGTTCCATTTTGACGTCTTGTAGTTGACTCTCAATGGAGAACTTCTCGGCTGAGAGGAGTTCTTTTTCGCGCCCCAAGCGGTCTTTTGCTTGTTTTTCCTGCCGGAGTTCATCGTGTAATAATTGGGATTCTGAATCAAATTTACGTTGCTTTTTCTCGAGGAGATTATTGCGGCCGTTTTGTTCTTCGAGGAGGTGTTTGAGGTCGGACATTTCGCCGTTGAGTTTTTGGACTTTACGCTTCCATTGACCGACGACTTGGCGTTGTTCTTCAACTTCTTCGTATGCATCAGTTAACTGAAAGAGAAAATTGTTGAAATTAATGTTGATTCTTCGTAGGAATTATATAATGAATAGAATAATGAAAAAATATTCAAAATTAAACAGATATTAAAGAAGTTATGAAGAAAAAACTTAAATTTTTTGTGAAATTTTCCTATTTTACACTCAATTTTTATCGAAAAAAGCAATAATAAACAAATTATCAACAAAACTAAATAACAGGATATATTTGGTATTAAATTATGTGTTGATTAGTGAAAAAATATTAGTGATTCAATAATTAATTAAAAAGTTATGGTAAAAAAACTAAAATTTTCGAAATTAACGCGTTTTTCAACAATTATTTTTCTTCAAAAAACCACTAAAATTTAATAATTATTATAAAATTGAAGAGTTTAATAATTGCAGTAATATATTCTGCATTGATTAGTGAAAAAATATCAGAGATTAAATCAATAAATAAAAAGTTATGACAAAAAAACTATAATTTTGAAAAATTAACGCGTTTTTCACGTGTTTTTCGATATTTTTTCCTTACAAAACCACTAAAATTAAATAATTAAAGCAAAACAAAGCATATATAAATGCACTACTAAATTCTGCATCTATTTCGACAAAAACATCAATAAAAAAGCAATAATCAAAAAAATTACACCCAAAAAACGAAAATCCCAACAAAATTTCAATAAAAAAAACACATACCTTCTTCTCCAATTGTTTCTTCAACCCCACCAACTGCTCCAAGTCATCCTCATGCTGTTGCTGCAGCCGCCTCTTCGTAAACTCCAACTCCCTCACAGTCCTTTCATACCTCTGCCTATAAATCCCATCACCCTCCGCATCCTCATCCTCCTCATCAATACCATTCAAATCCGAGCGCGCATACAACAACTCCATCTCCAACCGCTCCGTCTGCTGCGTCAGCTCCTTATTCTTATGCGCCGTCTCCGACATCTCCCTCTCCACACGCACCCTCTCAGCCGTCTCAGCATCCAATCTCTCTGTAGCCAACGTAGCCGTTGAGTGCTCCTCGGCAAGATCCACAGTCATCTCACTCAACTGCAACATTAAAATAAAATTTCATAAAAAAACACATAAAACATAAAACAGAAAAAAAATATGACAAGTTTGACATTTGAGGTTATGGTTATGGTTATGTATACCTCATCCGCTTCGGTACAATCCGGCCCATCATAACTCAACTCCCTCGCCACCGACGATGGCCGACTGCAACTACTCGCGCGCGAATAATACTGAAACCCTTTGATCATAATATTCGTCACGGATTTACTACGCCCCACGCGGCCATTACTCCCCACACTCCCACTCCTGCCCACACTGCGCATGCGATACGAACTACTATCATCATCCCGATGTCCCAAACCCTTCCACTCCTCCATGACATGATCAGTACGATCCAAAAAGTCCGCGATTTTATTACTCAAATAACTCGACGCGGTTGAATCCTCCAGATAAGCAGGAATAGGACTTAACCTAGGTTTAACCTTATTCTTCGCACCCAGCACAAAGGATAGATTCGCATCCAACACAACCGAATCATAATTCGTTTGATTTTGTAGGTTGGAATCTTCATAGGTGGGAATATGATGTTGAGGATATGTGCGTCGGGGCGTGACTGATCTCAAGTGGGAGTGGTCTCGATATGGACTCCTACTATATGAATATGAGTGTGAGTGTGAATTTGACTCAACAGATGGCGATCGTAGTCTTGAGCGTGATAATGATCTCCCGCGTGTTTTATTATTATTACTATTGTAGTTATTGTTTGTATCGATGGAGTACGGGCTGAGGTGACGTTTGAGAGGCGTGGCTTCCGGTGAGAATAGTCGGTGTCTCGAGGGTTGCAGCAGTGTTGGGTAATCCGAGTAGGTTTGCGTTGAGAATGCCGACCGGAATTGATTACGACTCGACATTTTATACACTATGGATTATTTTTTTTTAATTTTGATGCGGTGACTTAAGTTAAGTAATAGTCACGTCGCGAGTTGTTGGTGTGGGTAATACGCAGGCGTGCGGCGCCGAGTGAGTGGCGGAGCGTACTGAGCGAGTTTCCCGAATTTCCCGACGCCTCGGCCGGGTTGAGTAACAGATGCGCGGTGCGTTGTGCGCACGCGATCTAAATACACATTTTGCGAGTGTAGCTTACTTAACTTTCAGTTTTAAGCGCCATGATGTTCTCTTTCTCTTACATTTAACTTTTCTTATTTTTCTTCTCTTTTTTTGTTACAAAAACACTGAAAATGTTTTTAAATGTATTTTGCAATGAGTATATATTATGTTTGCGTGTTGATATAGGCACTATGTGAGTTAAGTAGGCGTAGATTTGGCTTAAGATGTTTTGAAAATGTGTCAAGCACGTCGCGGGTTGCGAAATTTTGACGAAATAAATCATTTTAACTGGTTTGCTACAGCTGAAGATGAAATTTTACGGAATTTCGATGTCAAGTTTATTATTATTAAGTTAATTAATTTCTAGTGGTAATGGTAATAACCTTCAATTCTTTTTATGTTATTATTTTGTGTGAAATGGGTAAAATTAGATGTTTTGAGCTGGATTTAATGCAAGAAATCATTAAATCTATTTTTGTATCATTGGTTTATACAATTTATTGGAGAAATTAAAGTTTTAGTCAAGAGAAAATTTATTTTAGGTTTTTTAAAGCGTAATATCTTTTGTTGTTATTATGTTGCAACTTTAAATTTGATTTTATTTTATAGAGTAATTATCTGTGGTCATTTTACTTAATATTTTGTATAAGTTAATCAAAAACTTTAAGAAATATTCATGATTTTATACTAAAAAACATTTTTGTAAAATTTTCAGAATATTCTTAGATACACGTGAGAAAAATGTAAATTACTTTTGTAATTTTAAATCTACAAGTTTGAATTTAATATTATTTGATAATGTTGTTATCAGTGGTCCTTTTACTGTTTATTTTGTAAAATAAATGTTAAACTTTAAGAAATATTCATGATTTTATACTAAAAAGCAAATATATATTGATTATAAATTATGCGTAATTTCGGCAAATGTTGTAATTTTTAAAAAATTAATAAATATCTCTGAAAGTTTTTAGTCCATCTTCTTAAATTAAAAACTAAATTGACTGCTGATAACAGGACTATTCAAATATATTAATTTTGAAGTTGTTGAATCAAAACAACAAAAGTTATAAACAATTAAAATCAATATTTACGTAAGAAAAATAACAACTCGCGCTAAAAATGTTTTTCCTATAAAAATTCCGAATTTCTCGTAAAGTTTGGCTTTGATTTTGTTCAAATATAGACTAAAATGACCACTGATAACAACATTATCAAATAATATCAAGTTTAAAGTTGTAATACTAAAACTACAACAATTATTTAAATTTTCTCTAATCTTGAATTTCACTAATCTTGAATATTTCATAAAATGAAAAGAAAATAAGAAAAAGCATAACAAATAAACCTTTTCATATAGTTTGGTGAACTTTGTATGAGCGTTTTGTTTGGTACAATTTTTCGAATTGATGTTTTGGCGATTGTCCAGCGCGTTTTGTAATGAATTTGCTTTTTTTAACGCCGCCGCCGCCGCGACGTGCAAGCGAGCGTCGGACAATTAAAAAATAGCCGCCGGCACAAAACGCATTTCCGGGTCTTTCATTATTAAAATTACGCGCCGCGCGCAGACACACAATCAGGAAATCGAATGCGCGCGGCTTTAAAATTAGAAACTTTAAGACGAAAATTAAAAATACATAAAAAAGACGCACTAAAACCGCGTTATTTACAGGTTTCAGGATGGTTTAATAGGTTTAAAATGTAAGAATATTTAGAAAGTGCATTTCTGTAGTTGGTAACCGCCATCTTGGATGAGGAATAATGATATTGATGGTTGCTTATTGTATAATTTGCCAAATACGTTGAAAAAGTATAAATTTTCTTGATTTTTTGACGATTTTCGGCCATGATTGATGATTTTTGGTGTTTTTAAGATGGCTACGAAGTGAAACCGGAAGTAGAAGATGATTTACTACGCGGTATTATAAGTGAAAACTGGTATAACGTAGAAATTATACTTTAAGTTATGAAATTTCATGGTTTTTATGCTTTTACGTATAATAAAACGTTTTAAAGCATCAAAAATACTTTAGTCACGAGCTTTAGTCACGGGGTGGAGCCTATACTGCAGCAGACTAAAATAATATCAAACATCTCAAAAACATCTTAAAAACATCTTAAAATCCAATTAAAACGTAAAAATGATCTTCAAATCATTAAATTACGCCATTTTTTATATTTTCAAAATGGCTACCGGAAGTAAATACTAAAAATAATCAATTTTTATAATAAAAATCACAAAAAAAACATTTACGTGACAAAAAAACCTTTTTATTTACTAAAATTCTTTAAATCTTTAAATTTTGCAATAAACCCGGATGTTGCTGACCTCCTAAAGTACAACCTAATATGGCACTCATTACTAAATAACTATCACCAGCCAGCAACACACATAAAACGTTTAGCAGCATTCAAACAAATTAAAAACTCTTAAGTGAATGGCGCGGCAGATGCGCAAATAAATTCGTAAATCTCGCACGCAAACAATTTCTAATCCTGCATTTTCACTTTGACCACTTTTCCCTGCAACTCTTCAATCGTATGCTAAGTGCACTTAAATATTTAAACATTCATTTGCATTTACTCCGCGGTGACATACTCGAAACAATTCGACTTTTCTATTTTCACATTTCGTTCGAAAACGTCTTTAAAACAAATTTCACGCGATTGGTTTTTGCTGTTCCGTGGCTAAACGTAAAGTCATCGCCTTCGTCATCGTCATCGTAAATCGGAACACGCTAATTGTCATTCTGTCATGCTGGTTGCTGTGTGTGTGTGTGTGTGCGGAATTGTTTCTTTCACCTACATTTACGAGTAGAAGTAAATCATAAAATTGATTCGCCGCGTGCGTTGCTTTTGCTTGGGCTGTGGTGTTATTAAATGCTGTGCAAATCGAGCCACGACCCACTTTCTTCGCGCGTTACAATCATAATTTGTGCACAATAACAACCATCATAAACAGCGTTTAATCATTTGCATATATGGGCGGTATTTCTAATAAGAATTTGCATTTTTTGCGTTGCGTAAAGTAAACTGGGAATATTTCGTAAAGTTTATTATGGATTTTTATGAAATGAAGAATAAATGATATGAGATAATAGGAGAATTAAATAAAGTGGGTTTTGAAGTTTTATGATGAAAATTATAAGAGTTATTGAGGTTTTAAATTAATTTTGTGTAAAATTTGGTTAAAAAAACTTTTGTTTTGCGAAAATTTGATATAATTTCTAAAGTTTTCGGTCGATTTTCATAAAATAAACAGTAAAAGAACGATAAATCACAGGACTATCAAATAATATCAAATTTAATGTTCTAATATTAAAATTGTTGTAGTTATTAAGATTTTACGGATGTTTTTTAATTAGAATTTGCTTTTTTGTGTTGCGTACAAAAAACATGAATATTTTGTAAAGTTTATGATGGATTTTTATGAAATGAAGAAGAGAATGATAAGAGATAATGTGGGAATTGAATAAAGTTAAGTTTGAAGTTTTATGATGAAAATTATAAAAGTTATTAAGCTTTTAAATTAATTTTGTGCGAAAATTTGGAATAAAAACTTTTTTTTTTGCGAAAATTTGATTTAATTTCTAAAGTTTTCGGTCGATTTTTATAAAATAAAATGCAAAAGGAAGATAAATCACAGGACTATCAAATAATATCAAATTCAAAGTTCTAGTCCTGAAATTGTTGAAATTATTAAGATTTTTTATTGATTATGAAGTAATTACCGCAAATTACGTCAAAATCGAGCATAAATCTTTCATAACTTTAACAATTTCAGTATTAGAACTTTAAACTTGATATTATTCGATAGTTCAGTTATCTGTCGTCCTTTGACTTTGTATTTTATAAAAATCAACAAAAAACTTTCGGAATTATACCAAATTTTCTAAAAAAAAGTATTTATAAAAACGACGTAAAAATTTACAAAAAATTGAAGTTTAAATGTTAATAACTTTTATACTTTCAATTAAACAATTTCAAAATTAATTATATTTCATACTCCTGTTATTCCTAGTCACATATGTTTTTAAATTAAGAAAATTGCCCAAAAACTTTACGAATTATTTAATAATTTTCGACAAATTTCAATATTCTTATTTTCTTCCCGCATGAAAACAACAAAACTTATCGCAATCTATTTACGCGCGTGTAATTTACTTTATTTTTAAACTCTAAATGCCAATAATTAGCTATGTGTCGTCTGCGGCTCATTAAAATCCCAAACATCCGCACTCGCATCCGAATTAGAATCAGGCTTCAAGTTGAGAAGCCGGTGCCAAAAATCTTTGTGCGCAAGTCTTACTTGCGATTAGCCTTGGATAATGACAGCGCGGCTCGGTGCGTCGAGCGTAACCAACTCGCAGCGAAGAAGAAAATAGATACACGGAGAAGAGTTGAAAACAAACGAGTCGAGAGTAGTTGAGAGGAACAGACGACGCCATGTTATTTATTACCGCTAGACATCTTTTTGTTTGGCATTTGTTTTATTACCAAACACACCACAACAGCAAACAAAACAAAATAAAGCGTAAGTTGATGCGTGCAGTGGTGGTAGACAAGTGCCAAGTGTGTTTCGGTGATAAATTGATGATACTGGCACAATAATATAACAATATCCGGTTTTGTTTGGCAAGTGTTGGATAAAAACGTAAAGAAATTTGATTTTAAAGTGTGAAAATCTAGTTATTTTTGTGTTTAGGTATTTTCACCAAGTTTAAGCGTCTAGGGATATTTTAGTCAAGTTTTTAGGTTGGTAGTATAAGTTACAACTGACAGACAGTTGATTATAACCATAAATGTCAAATTTAAGCAATAAAAACGTAATATTTAATGAAAATTAAACTTTTTAGAGTTGATAACACTATCAACACTCATTTTAAGATGGCCGCTAGTGTTAAAACTTCAAAAAACTGCATTTCTAGCCGTAAAAACAGAGTTTTTTCATCTGTCAACCAAAATATAAGTTTTAGGGATATTAAAGTTTTTAGGTTGGTAGTGTACTAGTTACTACTACCAACCATCATCTTCTTATAACCAAAAATGTCAACATAACCTAAAATTGCTACATTTCAATGCAAATTTCAACTTTAACCACTGAAAATTACCATTTTTAAAGTATATAACCGTTTATAACCTCAATTCAGACGTCTAACCTAACTTTTTCAACTTCCCCTCCCCAAACATTAAAATAAAATTTCACTAACCTTTGATTCCAACTTGTCATTCTCATGCTTGAGATGTTGCCGCTCCGCCTCGATCTTCTCCAGCTTGGCCTTGAGCACCTCCAGCTCTTCCGACTTCAACTTAAGCTCCTCCTCCGTGCGATGCACATTCAACAGCGGCGTAACCCTCACCAGGAGGCGCCACCATGGCCAATCACGCACGCTCAAAAACTTCCGCACATTCCTCTGCAGACATCTAACGGCCAAGTCTTCCAACTTCCGCTTCGCCAAGCGTTTCCGGGCGAGGTAACCACGACAATGCGCTTGTAGACTGACAACCATACCGGCCATGCGCTCATCACGCTGGTGTTCCAACTCGGAGAGAACACCACCTCTGAAGAATATCTGTAAATAAAAATTTAAAAAAACCGGAAATTAATTTAATTCGTGTTTTTTTAATGAAAAAAAACAATAAATAACCTTAGTGGGAACTTGTTCTAGTTCGGGATCATTACTAAGATGTCCGGAATCATCCGAATCATCATCATCGCCTAGTTTATCTTCAACTTCCGGTTTGGCGTTTTTATTAATCTTAATAGTTCTATATTTTATGTTTTCCGGTATTATCTCAGCGTCAGTTTCATTGAGAGCTATACCACTATCCGATTTAGTAAACGGCTTCTTAACTTCAACTTCCGGTTTAGTATTTTCCGCAGATTTAACGCGATTTACTATTAAATTATTATCCACATTATTAGTATTATTAACATTACGAGTTGCTTTTAATGTCTTCACAATATCACGCGCACTTTGCACTTGATCCTTAATAGCCGCCATCTTGTTTTCCCTCGCAACAATCGCAAACTTCGGCTCGCGCAGTTTTTTCCGCTCACCAAATGTATTATTACCATTATTTTGATTCTCAAATGTTTTTATTACTTGCTTCACCTTGGCGACAGGTTTTTCCGGTTTTGATTCCACCATTTTATTCGCAGATTTATTAGACATCGAATTAATTTTCTCGATTAATTCATTACAGGAAACAATACAATCATCCAATTTATTATTATTAATATTACCACGTGGAACAATGACTTCCGGTTTGTTCTTATGTGATACTTTACTATCAAACTTCTTAACAATCGACGTCACTTTCGTACTCTTCTCAACTTTGTCATTCTTCATAAAAACCTTATCATTTTTACCAACTTCCGGTTTAATTTTCTTCTTCAAAACACTTTTCGCATTATTTCTCGGCTTGGCAATGGGTGGCATATTAGTAACCTTTAAATTATTACTACTCAACACCAACTTCCGGTTTTCCGGTTTACCACAAACAATCGGTACCTGCTGCCTTCGTGATATTCTCTCATCAAACTCAACATTCCTCCTGTTAATATTCGTATTAAACGATAAATCAATACAACTTCCGGTCTGATATCGCTTATTAGTACAAGTAGAATTCGCACTTCCGGGCCGATCTCTACGCTGTAGACCAGTCGGAGTGGCATTCACCGAAGTCGTCGACGCAAACTGACTCTTCACGGGTATCTTCGACAATTTCCGCGTGTTACCACCCAAAGCGGAAACATCCGACACGGAAAACGCCCTCGGTATCCTCGACACCGTCTTTTATTCACCACAGCACCCTGTATCTCCATCACACCAATCGATCTATCTTTATCTTTATCATTAACATTAATATTATTTTTATCTTTATTTTTATCCAATAAAGGTTTTTGTATAAAATTCATAGATGGCGCTGTCTGACGCGGTATAACCTCCAAACTCTTATACAAATCATGTGTGGCGATGTTCTTCTTGAGTATGCACTGACTCTCGATGATGCTGCAGGTTTTCGCGCGTTGCAGCGCCGCCGGCGGTGATTTTTTCACAACCTGCGCATGCGCATCCGGCGCACCGCACGTCAAACTGGTATGACTGGAATTGTACACGTTGTACTCGTCTAGGATGCGATCGAAGGAGTCGATGGCGCTCTTTAGCTTCACATCGATCGACGAGAGCGAGATTACAGTCACAGCGCTCTCCACGGAAAACATTTCTTGAATATTATTTTAAAAAACGCCCGAAAATAACAATAAATAAATAAATCAACGCGAGCATCACTTGTATATTATTACTATTAATATTAATATTTATATTATTATTAATAAACTGCATGCACATTATTTTTTTATAATGTCCAACGTGTCACGATTTGATTTGATGTTATTTTATTTTGTTGTTGAGTTAAGCATAAGCATAAGCAACGCACGCGAATTACCGTTTTGTGTGTTCGAACGGTATTACATACAAGTAAGTAATGTGTCTAAGTGACTTAAGCGGTGCGCGAGTTGGTGATGTGCGCGCGCGTGCACACCTGAGCGACACCTGCGACGGACTGCGCGCGATCTCCGCGCTGAGTGCACGGCGTGCGCGGCGCAAGTGAACGTACGGTGCGCAGCGCAAAAGCAATAACAACATATATACGAGTATGTATGTATACTGGACAACTTAAGTTGAGTTAACGTTACTTAAGTTGAGCCGGAGTTGCGTGGAGTGAACGAGTTGTAGTTGTATAGTTGTATCTGCGGTTGGCATTGACTTTGAGGCGAGTTTTATTGTTGTTTTCGCTGTGTTTGTGTGTTGAAAACTAGTACTTGTATGACAAGTGTATTGGCTGGGTATTAAAGTATTATTTATAGTAAATACTAAATGAGAAGATGAGGTAGATTTAACAGTAGATTTAACAACAATAACAACAATAAGAAGAAGAATTGTTGTGATTTTCTAGAAATGGTTTAACGGATGGTTTACGATTGTATTTTTTTTTTGTGAGTTTGAGAGGTGATTATGATGACTTTGCGCATGCGTATGATACTAATGATTGTATACGGTGGATAGTGGGTTTATTAAACTTTAGTTTCATGCAAAAATAATTAATTTTGGTTAATTATTACTAAAGTTATGAACGAAAATGTTGAATTTTAATTTTTTGAACGTGAATTTATGTTTAAGTGACTTTACTGAGCTATAACTCCGAAATGGGCATGCGTAATAAGTTGAAATTTACAGCATGTTTAGAGTAGGTAACTAAGTTTAGTTTAAAGTAAAAATAATTAAAATCGGATGGAAAATTAATGAGTTATAAGTAAAAATGTAAAAGAGATTAATTTTGAATGAATTATGAAGAAGTACTACTTAATTGTGGTTGAAGGAGCAAGTTTGAGAAGCGATAACTATAATCTGCGCATGCGCAACACACTTAAATTACACACCACGCCTAGAGATCTTATAAGCTATAATTTGACGTATAAATAATTAAAATCGAATGATTAATACTCTTGTTACAAGCAAAAATATAAACAAAAACACTTTGAAAGTGAATTTAACCTTTCAAATTGAAATTCTCTTCAAACAAAACAAAAAATGCCATCAATTCCAAATAGAATAACCTACAAATAGAAAATTTCGTACACCATCAACACCTTCATGCCTGTATGACTTTGTATACTCGTACTGTACGCCGCTCCAATTTCTACAATACAAACTAAACTAAAGTATAGCAACAAATTCGGAAAGTAGAGTGAAGTTCACCGCCAATACCAATCCACACACACAGTTTACCTGCACCACTGACGCTGCCTAACGGTGCTTACGGTATTTATTTACCAACAAATAAAACACAAATCAAACCAAACCAAACATTGCTATCTATCTACAATACAACTAGTGCACTAGAAATTTATTTCCGTCCACATTATACATTATATTGAACATTATAAAACCGAAAAAACTTTCTTTCGCAAATATTTGGATCGATTAATTCCCAACCTCTTATATTTTTCTTTTTTCTGCATTCCACACACGCCTATTCAGGTCTATAGCCGCAATATTCCAAATATTTCGCGTGTCGCGTTGAAAAATTTCACTTTCGATGTTTACCCAAAACAGGTTATCATTGCGCGCCATTATTATAATCGTACTTCTTTTTCCTTCCGAAACTTTCGTTTTCAATTTTTTGCTGCTGCTTTTGCTGTTTTTGTTGGTGTTGTGGATGTTGATGTTGTTGATTATGCATATATTAATACTTTCGAAAGATAATGATAGCGTATCGATCATGCGTGTAAAAATGCGCGAGGCGAATGTTGATTTTATGCTAATTGAGTGGGATGGGCAGGCGCGGTATAATGTGCGGAGGCTTAACTCAATTGTGGAATGTGCGGCCGTGAAATTGATCGATAATGAGCGATTAGCGTGATTAAAGTGGCTGAGCCGACGTGGCCGAAGAAAGTTTTTTATTTTTATTTGTATTTTTGGTTTTTTTAAGTTGTAGAGGTGTTAATTATTGATGGATTTTTATTATTTTTGCGGTGAATTATAGCTTATTAGATAGATTATCAGAAGAGATGAGTTTAAGTAAGATGCGCATGCGTATTACAGAGGTATTAGAGATTAAAATTACTCATTGCTTAAATTCACTTAAATTTGAAGTGTTTTTGTTTATATTTTTGCTTATAACAAAAGTAATAATCATCCGATTTCAATTATTTATATGTCAAATTATATTTTATGAAATTCTCTATACGTAGCGTATAATTTTTATTAGTTGCGCATGCGTATACGCATAGATATCTGATATCAAAGTTCAACTTTCAACTACGTTGTAGAAAATTAAAAATTTTATTTGATTTTGTTTGGTTTTCGTGCTTATTTCAACCAAAAATCAAATAAAAGTAAATTTTTTAAAAGCAATTTAAGGGGCACACCTAGTGTGACGACTTAAAAAATGGCCATTTTTTGGAATTAAATATTAAGGAAACTATTGAATCCACCTATTAAAAATTCTGAGGGTATATTTATACATGTTTTGTGAATACACAGTAAATTTTTTGAATTAAAATATTAATTAGTTTTGGAATGACACGCGATCTCCGGCGGCACGGCGTGCGCGGCGCAAGTGAACGTACGGTGCGCAGCGCAAAAGCAATAACAACATATATACGAGTATGTATGTATACTGGACAACTTAAGTTGAGTTAACGTTACTTAAGTTGAGCCGGAGTTGCGTGGAGTGAACGAGTTGTAGTTGTATAGTTGTATCTGCGGTTGGCATTGACTTTGAGGCGAGTTTTATTGTTGTTTTCGCTGTGTTTGTGTGTTGAAAACTAGTACTTGTATGACAAGTGTATTGGCTGCGTATTAAAGTATTATTTATAGTAGATACTAAATGAGAAGATGAGGTAGATTTAACAGTAGATTTAACAACAATAACAACAATAAGAAGAAGAATTGTTGTGATTTTCTAGAAATGGTTTAACGGATGGTTTACGATTGTATTTTTTTTTGTGAGTTTGAGATGTGATTATCATGGCTTTGCGCATGCGTATGATACTTGAGTTTATATACGATGGATAGTGGATTTGTTAAACTTTAGTATTATGCAAAAATAATTGAATTTGGTTAATTATTACTAGAGTTATGAATAAAAATGTTAAATTATTATTTTTTGTACGAGAATTTATGTTTAAGTGACTTTATTGAGCTATAACTCCGAAATGGACATGCGTAATAAGTTGAAATTTACAGCACGCTTAGAGTGTTTAATTATATTTAGTTTAACGCAAAAATAATTAAAATCGGATGTTAAATAAATGAGTTACAAGTAAAAATGTAACAGAAATTAATTTAAGTGAATTATAAAGATGAGTAATACTCAATTGTGGTTGTAGGAGCAAGTTTGAGATGCGATAACTATAATCTGCGCATGCGCAACACATTTAAATTACACACCACGCCTAGAGAATCTTATAAGCTATAATTTGACATATAAATAATTAAAATCAAATGATTAATACTCTTGTTACAAGCAAAAATATAAACAAAAACACATTGAAAGTGAATTTAACTCAAATTGAAATTCTCTTCAAACAAAACAAAAATGCGCCAAAAAATAAAGGTCCTCCACTGCTGGCGTGATTGCAGCCTTCTCCGTCGATAAAACCAAACAGAAAAAGTTCTCCTTAAACTAAAACATATTTTCTATACAATGACCCTCTGGCGAACAAAAAAATCAAAAATTGACAAAATGGCGGCATTTTGAATAAAAAGTTAAATTTTTCTTTTTCTGCATTCCACACACGCCTATTCAGGTCTATAGCCGCAATATTCCAAATATTTCGCGTGTCGCGTTGAAACAGGTTATCATTGCGCGCCAAAATTTTGGTCGTTTTGGCCTGCCAAAATTCGATTTTTGATCAGATCATAAAACTGGAGGGTCATTGTATGGAGAACTATATAGAGGAGATGCAAAAAAAATTTGATAGCGATCGGATCATTTGTCTTCCAGTAATCACGCCAGCAAATTCGAAAAATGCTGTTTCGAGAAAAACGCGTTTAAAGATCAAATGCAACTATCTAACTGCCGAGCGGCTACTCTTTCAAATGGCTGTTACTCATAAACTATTTCAGATAGCAAGTTAAAATTTTAGTATGTTATTTTTAAAGCTTTAACCTATCGAAATATGGTAAAAAAAATTTTTTGATTTTTTGAAAATTTCACACTAGGTGTGCCCCTTAAGAAAGTTTCGCGTATCAGCATAGTTGTTAATTAAATATTTATTAACCACAAAAAAAACTGTAATCAATTTTCTAATCGCCTCGCGGTTTAATTATCACTAGCGACTATTAATTATACGCGCAATATAAGCATTCCACTTCATTTTATTACGCACGCATTTATCTCTTTCTCTCCTTTAACTTCTCCTCAAGGTTGTAAATTGCTTATAAAGAAGATGGTTAAACATTTAAACTCATCTCAAGAGAGATACAAACTCACGCACAGATACAATCGTAAAGAATCATAAATTTAATGACGATAAATAAATCAGGCGCGTACAATGTGCAATAAATTAATGCTTATTCCGCACGCGACTTTCACTTGTTTTTACGATACGAGTATTGCAATTATTTAAAAGTATTTTCATTTCAAATGAAAGAACAATTTATGTTTCTCGCAAACTCTAACCACATTTTAATATATTAGTAGTATATTATGTCTCAAGTGGTTATAACGGAGTTTCTGCTACACCGTAGGCAAATACGCAATCCACCTCGTTACTAAAGCTTGTGACTAAAGTACTTTAATCACGACCTTGACCGCCCATGCTCAAAATTCCACTTTTTGTGTCTCAAAACCATGAAAAAACGCAGTTTCATCTTAAGCTACGTAATTTATATTAAAATTAAAAAAAAATCAACTTTTAAATAAATTAAAACCTAATTTGAATACTTTTCTAGGTTAAAAATACGGTAATTAATCATGAATCGAATATTTCTATATTAATCTCATCTTTCACCCGAATTTGATTCGTGTCTTCTATTGTTATTAGTTATTATGTACTAAACCTACACGTTTAATAGACTTCCACTTGAAGCTTGAGAATGAGTAGAGTTTAATGCACTTTAAACAAAAATTATGTTATTTATTAGGAGCTCTAGGTGCGTCAGTTCCCACAATGGTCTATTGAACAATGACATCGCCATCGCACACATAGGTAAATAGATGAATAGATGAATATGAAACGCAACGAAATGAAAGGAAGAAAAGATGAGTTTCGAGTTTAAAGTTGAAATTAAAGTTCAGAGGTTTCGAGGTTGTTCCAAACCATAATAATTGCTATTATTAGTGAGTATTCGAATTAGATTTAGAAGTAAAATGAGAGAAATATAGACGAATTATTTTAATAGAGTAAAAATAACTGTTTTTTCGTTAATTTGCTTCAATTTTTGAGATAAAATGTCAAATTTTCATCATATTTCCTATTTTATGATCAATTTTCCTCTTTTAACGCAGTTATGTGCTATTTTCTTTCAAATTAAAGCCAATTTACCAATTTTAGACTGAAAAATCACCAAATTTTCACTGTTTTTAGAAATAAATGCATTTTTAACCTTAAAATTTAATATTTCAAAGCTAATTTTACCTTTTTATCAACAATTTACCACGTTTTCTTCAATTTTTCCTACAATTTTTTACCATTTTTCATCTTTAAGTCTTTAAAAATGTCTCAATTTAAGTATATCACATATAATTACGTAAATTTGTCCTAGATTTACTCTAACTACTCCAACTACTCTTAACAACTCACAGAAAATCTTAAACCGCAAGAGTTTATTACTCTGTTTTTAATTACGCTCAAATTAAGCAACTTGACGTAATAATTAACGCAATACTCCGCATTTCTCAACCAGACTAATCGCTTTTTAACTAGCGACATTTCTTCTCTTTACTACTTCTCTTTAACTGCATTTTTCTATTGTTTGTATAAAGAAATCACCAAAGAACAAGTTCCCACTGATTTTGTACCATTATATATCTTTTAAAGTTGATAGCGTAAAATTTGAGATAAAAATGCACTTACCAGACTCATACCGACGCGATAACCGGAACTGTCCAAGTCCATCGTCATCAACATATCTTCAACCGCTTTCCGCTCGTCCAAGACCTGCACATGCCCGGTTTTCGACGCATTATCACCCGATAACAGCCGGAAACGACGTCGGAATTCACCCAGAGGCATAAACATAGGGAAACCTTGCTTGTGCAGTCTGATTGTGTCCAAAATCTGACCGCCTCTTATCTGCAAGAATAAAATATTTCATTTTAGTTTAATATAAATTAATTTTATAATAATTTTAAGACTTAAGTCATTTTTACTTTTTTGCTTTGGTATTGTCACATAAGTCTATTGAAATTATATAGCCATTAGCGACAGTACTAATTACATGCAAAACTATTATTACACGGAATTGAAGAAAGCGCATTATAAGTATTGTCACATATGCCTATGGATATTATATGGACATAAGCGACAATACCAATGATACGCAAAATATTATAGCGCTTAAGTAACTAAAGTGAATATGATAAGTATTGTCACATATACCCATTGATATTATATAGGCACAAGCGACAATACTAATGTATTATGACACTAAATGTCTTAACACACAAAATATTTAAATTTATAAATCAATTTTAAAGGTTTTACCTGTGATCTTAGCAGTGGGACATTCAACAACCCCTCTTCAATCCCCCCGCCGCCATTTACACCGCCCTTGATCGCCATCACAGCGCCGGTGGCGTCACACTGTCCGGCATTATGCTGTGGCAGCACACAGTGTATGAATCGCAGTTTGGTGCGTCTGATTGTCTCCACAAGGCCATCGATGATAAACTTCGTCTGTAAGCATATTGACTTGCGTTTGATAGCCGCTGTACCGGCGGTGAACGTTCGGCGGATGCTGGAAGCCCTTCGCAGTGATTGGGAGCCTTCTATGCCCACAAGAGAACCGCTGAATGTCGAACCGCCTAGGCCACGGGCTGTTACGAAGAGTTTGCTTACTTCTTCACTGTAAAAAATAACAAAAGTATAAGTTTAGTTAAGTTTTTTGCGAATAACTTTTGAAGTAATTGTTTAAACTTTGTGATTTTTGAGTTAATCAATAGAGAATTTAATTCTGCGTCTGAATTTATTAAAATTTTATGAAAAGTAATTTTATGTAAAAAGTTATAAATAAAAACGTGGAATTTTGCAAAATTTTCACAAAATTTTAGTTTTTTGCGAATAACTTTTGAAGTATTTGTCTAAATTTTATGTTTTTGTTATTAATAAATGCAGAATTTATTAATAAATGTCATTTAAGAAAATTATAATTGTATCGTAATTAGTTTTCGAGTAATTAATTAATTACTGAACGAAAACACTAAGTGGTATTACGTAAATTGCGTTTTGTTGAAGTTTTTTGTTAATAATTCAAAAACTAATCATGTTACAATAAATATTCAGACTGATAATGGTTCAAAATTTAATCACGCATCTGAATTTGCTATTTTTGAAAAGAATATAAGTTTTTATCAAAAGTTATAACTAAAAATGTAAAATGTTGCAAAATTTTTCCAAAATTTTAGTTTTTTGTTTATAACTTTTTAAATATTTATTCAAATTGAACCAAGTTTGTTTTAATAAATGCTGAATTTAATAGTCAACATAATTTCAAAAAATTATAATTGTATCGTAATTAGTTTACGAGTAATTAATTAATTACTGCATAAAAACACTTCGTAGTTATCGGTAATGAACCCAATCAAGTTTCGTTGAAGTTGTTTGTTAATAATTCAAAAACTAATCAAGCTACAATAAATATTCAAACTGATAATGATTCAGAATTTAATCCTGCATCTAATTTCGTCATTCTTGTAAAAAATATCAATTTCAATCAAAAGTTATAAACAAAAAACCAAAATGTTGCATAATTTTAACTAAACTTAAGTTTTTTGTTTGCAACTTTTTAAATAATTATTTAAATTTAATAATTTTTGCATGAATTAACGCAAAATTTAATAATAAACATACTCTCAAAAAATTATAACTACAACTCAATTAGTTTTCAAGCAATTTAATATTTACTATCAAAAATCAACTCACGTGCAACTCTCCTGTAAGATCCCCACAGCGTTCCTACTCACAGGATTCTCCCTGCTCTGCTTCAACCATCCAGTCGCACTATACAACACCGGATTCGTGCCCTGTAAATGCTGCAGCACAAACTGATTCTGCCCGGGCGCCTTCCTCAACAACAACTGATGATCCCTATCGCCAAAATGCGTGAATAACCGCTCCAAAAACGACTCATCCGACGCGCCCGGATAAATCGCCTCCTCATCCAACAACCACAACAAACCCCTTCTATCCGCCTCGTGCAAATCAGTCTGTGATGTCTTCACCACTGTATTCTGCGCGGTTTTATCCAATAAATTAACCAGCGGTGTTGGATTTATCGCGAAATCTTCAGTTTCAACGTCGATGTTCTCTTGGAGGTAGCGGTCTTTCGGTAGGACTAGATTGGTATGGTGTGCGAGGAGTTGCAGGCGCTCTTGGAGGTAATTGTGGCATAAATCGTCGAAGCCAGCGCCTGCTTGACGGCCACAGGTTGCTGGGTTTTGGAAACCAGGTGTGTCGACTAAGAGTATTGATGATACAGTGTGGGAATTCGTTGAAATTGATCTAAAATGTGAAGAAATGTGTTAAATATGCAAGAATTTTAAAGAAAATGGTGAAATTTAAGTAAATTTTGTTGTTTTTAGGTTAAAATGTGATTATTTTTAGGTTAGAAGTTCAAATTTGAACAAAAACAATCATTTTTTGTGTAAAAACATCGATTTAACCAAAAAAACATCAAATTTAGAGGTTAAAACTTCAAATTTGACCAAAAACTTAAGTTTTTGAGGTTAAAACTTAAAATTTTCACTAAAATATGAACTTTCCTGACCAAAAACTAAAATTTTAAGCAAAAATTGTCATAATTTAAGAGAAATCTTCAATTTAACACCAAAAACTATCATATTTATAGGTTAAAACTTCAAAATTAACCAAAAACATAAGTTTTCAAGGTTAAAACATAATTTTTTTTACTAAAATATCAATTTTTCTAGCTTAAAACAAAAGAATTAAGCCAAAAATCATCATTTTTGATGTTAAAACATAGATTTAACCTCAAAATAACAAAATTTCATGTTAAAACTCTAAAAACCAACTTTTTCTAACTTAAAACACGCACATAACCTAAAAACTCACACCCACCCATACTTACTTGTTAATAATAGCAGCAACACTATTAAACACCTCCGAATACAACCCGATGATAAACCCTTCCAGTGCATCATACCCAGTAACCTCCAAATTATTCCGATCCGTCGGCGATGGCGTGCGATACGCTCCCCGTCCGCCATTAGCACTATTCGGCGTCAACGTATTCGTCGATCCACCGCCACACGCTTGAAAAATACTCCTCCCCAACTCCTCCACAGTAACACCCAATAAATCCGCCGCTCTCTTCGCACACACCGGATTCCCAAACTGATATTTACTACTCGACCCAATCTTGGTACTGCCCGCGCATCCCAGATGATAAATACTCGCAATGACACTCCATATCGCTCGCACATCACCAGATGTCGCTGCCAACACCGTGAACGCATGCTGCACCTTACCGAACTCAATCTGTGCACGTTGTCGGTCTTCAATCTTCGTCAGATGATTATACAACGCGTTTGACTCGTTTCCGGTTAAACTATCCAGGAATAAATCTTTTTTGAGTTTACCTTCGACTCCCCAGAGCAACCTCTGCACGATATGGAACGTGGTCTCGCCATCTTGTTTCTTACATATACGCGAGCGTTCGAGCATCAGAAGTTGCATACTCGCGGATGCAACCAACCCGCTCTGGTCGAAATCCAGGCTGAAGATTTGTGTAAAACGCGTGGCGTTGGTGTTATTGATAGTTTTACAATTACCAAAACTCTCTAGAATATTCCAGATGGCGTTGAGTTTCTCCAAAGTAAGGATTTTATTCGTTGCGCCTGAGCACGTGACTAAATAATGCACGCAATGGCGGAAATTCGTCGTTTTACCAGCGCCACTGCGGCCTGTAAAGACAATCGACTGATCTTTACGTGTCTGCAGCATTTGGTGATACGCAGACTGCGCCATGGAGTAAATATGCGGTGGCATATCTTCAATCTTGCAGCCTTTGAAAAGCGCGACAACTTTCTCGCTGTAAATCGACAATTGTTTCATTGGATTAATAACGATGAGATTGTTTGCGCCTGCGTAGGTATGTATCAGATTATTTGAAAAGCGTTGAATTTGCGTCGGTGGTGGACGCAGCCAACACGTAAAAATCTGCATGTCACGTGGGCGCATAACGAGATAATTTTATTCGGGCTTGATTCATGAATGAATACGGGCGATATTGACAGATTGTAGAATTTATGCGAAAAAATAAGTTTTTTTTATGTTTTTTGTTTATAACTTTGAAAATAATTATATAAATTAACTAATTTTTGCTTTGGTATGTGAGGAGTTTAATACTTAATATATTTTGTGAAAATTATAAGTGTATCGTGATTAGTTTTCTAGTAATTAATTAATTACTGCACGAAAACACAAAATAATTCGTTGTGTTTCGCAAAATTGTGTTTTGATGAAGTTTTTTGTTAATAATTCGTAAACTAATTCAGTTAGGATAAATATTCAAAATGATAATGATTCAGAATTTAATTCTACATCAAAATAGGCCAAAATTGTTAGGAATATAATTTTTTATAAAAAGTTAGACGTAAAAATGTAAAATTTTGCGTATTTTTCACAAAATTTTAGTTTTTTGTTTATAACTATGAAAATATTTATTTAAATTTACCGATTTTAGCATTAGTGTGTGCATAATTTAATAATTAATATATTTTGAAGAAATTATGAGTTTAGCGCAATTAGTTTTCGAGTAATTAATTAATTACTGCATAAAAACAGAGTACTGTTGTATGTGTTGCAGTCACACATGTTGTGTTAAAGTTTTTTGTTGATATTTCAAAAACTATTTGAGTTCAGATAAATATTCAAAATGATAATGATTCAGAATTTAATTCTGCATCTAAATTTGTCCAAAGTATAAAAAATATAATTTTTTATCGAAAGTTATAAATAAAAATTATAAAACTTTGCAAAATTTTCTCAAAATTTTAGTTTTTTGTTTATAACTTTTAAAATATATATTTAAATTTAATCATTTTTGCATTCATGGATGAAGAATTTAATAATTAATATATTCTGAGAAAATGATAAGTGCAACATAATTAGTTTCCGAGTAATTAATTAATTTCTGTACAAAACCGCTGTATTCATCATTATGACGAAGTTAATTGTAAATAATTTCAAAACTAATTGAGCTACAATCATCATTCAACGTGATAATGACTCAGAATTTAATCCTGCATCAGAACACATCAACTTATAACAAAATATAATTTTCTATAAAAAGTTATAAACAAAAAACAGAAAATTTTACTTTTTTACGCATAACTTTTGAAATATTCCATCAATTACAAATCTGTCTTTACTATCCTGACCTAAATTAACCACATTATATACTCTGCAAAAATCACGCGCTTGTCACGCTTAATTTCCAAGTAATTAACAAAACTTTATGAACATGCGTTTCAAGATGGCCGCAAATCAATGACATGCAGTCAGTATTCACCGTGCGTCGTGTGTTGCAAGCGCAACACACTCGCCGCTCTCGAGATGCAAATGATGTAAATCATGTAAACACGCTGATGTAAAGTGAAATTCCACAGTTAATTATTCGTCTGTGGTGTTCTTCCACTCTCGCGACTCAACAACTCTACACTCTACACAGTCATCGGCGGTTAAGAAACGTAGGCGATTCGAGTGTCATGCAAATACATCAAAAGTATACATTCAACATAGGCAACCAAACATACACTTACGCTAAGGTTACCCAAGTACCAATATAAACTAAAACCTAGTCAAAAACTTAAAACGTTCACAAAAGTGAAATAGAAAGTTAAATATCCAAATATCAAGCGGTGAGAGGTGAAAGGTTGCCATGGCAACACAAATATCACCACCATCAGCACATTTGCGTCGGTGGTGGACGCAGCCAACACGTAAAAATCTGCATGTCACGTGGGCGCATAACGAGATAATTTTATTCGGGCTTGATTCATGAATGAATACGGGCGATATTGACAGATTGGAGAATTTATGCGAAAAATAAGTTTTTTTCAATGTTTTTTGCTTAGAACTTTGAAGATAATTATTTAAATTTCTTAATTTTTGTTTTGGTATGTGCAGAATTTAATACTTAGTATATTTTGTGAAAATTATAAGTGTATCGCGATTGGTTTTTGAGTAATTAATTAATTACTGAACGAAAACACAGTATATTTCGATGTATTTCATTCAATTGTGTTTTGATGAAGTTTTTTGTTGATAATTCATAAACTAATTGAGTTACAATAAATATTCAAACTGATAATGATTCAGAATTTAATTCTGCATCAAAATATGCCAAAATTGTTAAAAATATAATTTTTTATAAAAAGTTAGACGTAAAAATGTAAAATTTTGCGTATTTTTCACAAAATTTTAGTTTTTTTATTTATAACTTTTAAAATACTTATTTAAATTTACCAATTTTAGCTTTAGTATGTGCAGAATTTAATAATTAATATATTTTGAAAAAATTATGAGTTTAGCGCAATTAGTTTTCGAGTAATTAATTAATTACAGCATAAAAACACAGTACTGTTGTTTGTGTTGCAGCCGATTATGTTTTGTTCATGTTTTTTGTTGATAATTCATAAACTAATTGAGTTAGGATAAATATTCAAGCTGATAATGATTCAGAATTTAATTCTGCATCAAAATATGTCAAAATAGTAAAGAATATAAATTTTTATCAAAAGTTATAAAAAATATAAAAATTTGCAAAATTTTCCCAAAATTTTAGTTTTTTGTTTATAACTTTTGAAATATATATTTAAAATTAATCATTTTTGCATTCCTGGATAAAGAATTTAATAGTTAATATATTCTGAGAAAATGATAAGTGCAACATAATTACTTTCCGAGTAATTAATTAATTTCTGTACAAAACCACTGTTATTCATCGTTCTGCTGCAGTTAATTGTTGATAATTCCAAAACTAATTGAGCTACAATAACAATTCAACTTTATAATGATTCAGAATTTAATCCTGCATCAGAACACAAAAACAACAAACAACAAAATATAATTTTCTATAAAAAGTTATAAACAAAAAACAGAAAATTTTACTTTTTCGCGCATAACTTTTGAAATATTCCATTAATTACAAATCTATCTTAACTAACCCAACCTATATTAACCACATCATATACTCTGCAAAAATCACGTCTCTATCACACTTAATTTCCAAGTAATTAACAAAACTTTATTAACATGCGTTTCAAGATGGCCGCAAATCAATGACATGCAGTCAGTCAGTATTAAACGTGCGTCGTGTGTTGCAAGCGCAACACACTCGCCGCTCTCGAGATGCAAATGATGTAAATCATGTAAACACGCTGATGTAAAGTGAAATTCCACAGTTAATTATTCGCCTGTGGTGTTCTTCCACTCTCGCCACTCAACAACTCTACACTCTACACAGTCATCGACGGTTAAGAAATGTGGGCGACTCGAGTGTCATACAAATACATACCACAAAAGTATACATTCAACATAGGCAACCAAACATACACTTACGCTAAGGTTACCCAAGTACAAATATAAACTAAAACCTAGTCAAAAACTTAAAACGCACACAAAAGTGAAATAGAAAGTTAAATATCCAAATATCAAGCGGTGAGAGGTGAAAGGTTGCCATAGCAACACAAATATCACCACCATCAGCACCGTGGAAGACGTAAACGCGCAGAAAACAGTTAGAAACGTTCGTTGCGCAGCGGTATTTCGCCACTAGCGAGCGCGAAATGAATGAACAATTGAATATTCATGCACGTTTCGCTCGACGGCGCCTATTTGCACTTCCGGTTTGATTGCGCCAACAATCTATCGACTATTAAAACAACTAACACCTAAATATGCATCAGTTTAAGTTCTTTTTTCGCTTGAAAATTGAGTTATTTCGTGGATTTCGTGGGTGTAAGTAGGATTCGGGTACTTACAGTCGTTGTTTTGTTGAATCTTCGACTTCCGGAGCGCCTGAGTGTGCCAGATTTAATGTTGTTATCGTCTAGTATCATTTCCCGTCCGTCGTGCGTCGACCGGCGGCTCAATTCACTCAATTCTGCTACTGGCTGGACAGCCTAAAATGGAAGAAAACGTGAAATGTTTATGTTTTGTTGATAATTTATAAACTATAAAATACAATAATTATGTTTATAAATGTTTGTTCAGAATTTAATTTTACGTAAAACATTTAAACACTTTTTTAAATTTTTGCGCTAAATTTTCTAATAATATTTCGTTTTTCATATAACCAACTTTTAAATAATTATTGAATCTTAACAATTTCCTTCACTATTGTATACTAGAATTTATCATAAAATCAATTTCTACTAAAATAATAATCAAATTCCCAATATTTTTCTAGTTATTAATGAAAAGTTGAGTAAAATTGCAAAAAAATTTTTTATGTTTTTTGTTGATAAGTTAAAAATTATGAGAGATACAATAATTATATTTATAAATAATTGTTCCGAATTTAATTCTACGTTTAACTATGAATATTTTGTGTTGATAAGAATATTTAATAAAAAGTTACAAGCAAAAACATAGTTTTAATTCCACTTACCATCAGCGTAACACTTTCCCCACTGGCCTTGATCAAATCAATGATATCCTCGCGACTCTTCTCCTCCACGCCGATATTATTCACCTCCAGCAGCTTGTCGCCCGGCAAGAGTCCCGTCTCGTTGTTGTGCTGCACCATCGTGCCCGGCTCGGCGAAGATCACCGGCTTCATAGTGACCTGATTCGCGTTGTTCGCGTCGCGTTCGAGGACCATGGCGCGGCGCAGCGAGAAACCAAAGTCGTTTCGGGGCGGTTTCTGCCTTGCCACGGTGAGGACGCGTGGTTTTGGTAACTCCAGGGGATAATGGGAGGTAAGGGGAGGTCTATTTCGTCAAAATTAGGTGTTCGCGACCATCTGGAAAGAGAAACAGTGAAAAATTAAGAAAAATTAAGTAAAAATTTGAGATTATAGAAAAAGTAACGGGTAGATTATTATGAATTTTTGTAGGAATGTTAATAAATATCCTAGTAATAATCTGTGTAAAGGATTTGCGTTTATGAGTATTAGTTTTAAAGTTATTAACAAAAAAACATTAAAAATTTAAAATTTTCTCATTTTTTGCAGAAAAATTGTTATAACTTTTATATGAAGTAATTGTTTTGGAATTATCCTTGATGGGAATTATAGTCCTTATTATTAAGTACCCCTATGAATTATTTCAGATTTTTTTCTTATAATTATTGCTAAAAAGGCAAAAATATTGAAAAATCGTCAAAATAACGCATTTTTCTGTATAAAAACAACTATAACTATGTTATAAATAATTTTTAAACAATTATCATTGGTGAAAACTTTAGTCCTAACCTAAAACTACCTTTATGAATTATTTCAGATTTTTTCTCTAATAATTATTGCGAAAAACGTAAAAATATTGAAAAAATCGAAAAAATAACGCATTTTTCACTATAAAAACAATTGTAACTTTGTTATAAACAACATTTATGCAATAATCCCTGATGGATAATCTAATCCTAACCTAAAACTACCCCTATGAATTAATTCAGATTTTATTCTTTACAATTATTGCTAAAAACACCGAAAAACCTTTGAAAAAATATAAAAATACTCTTTTTTCACTCAAAAAAACCCTATAACTTTGTTATAAACAACTTTTAAACAAATATCCTTAATGGAAAACCTAGTCCTAACCTAAAACTACCCCTATGAATTAATTCAGATTTTATTCTTAACAATTATTGCTAAAAACGCCAAAAATCTTTGAAAAAATACGTAAAAACGCATTTTTCACTATGAAAACCTCTATAACTTTGTTATAAACAATTTTTAAACAATAACCCTTAATGGAAAACTCTAGTCCTAACCTAAAATTATCCCTATGAATTATTTCAGATTTTTCCCCTAACAATTACCACCTAAAAACCACAAAAAACCTTCAAAAACCCACAAAAAAAACAATTTTTTCACTATAAAAACAAAATAACCTACCAATAAACCATTTTCCGCACTTATCCTTCACATATATTATACCTCTTTTCAACATCTACTTTGTCGGCGTCTTTGTCGCCGGATTTTTTTATAAAGTTAAACATTCTGTAAAGAGAAAAGTAATGATGTAAATAAATAATAGTAGATATTAAATAGATAAATGTGAGAAGTAATGTAAGTATGGTTGGTATTGTCATATGTTCTAATTGAAATTATATGGTTACAAGCGACAATACTAACTGTATGCAAATGTATTGTACCAAAGAATTATACTAAGAAGTAGCATAAGTATTGTCGCATGTGTCTATGGAAATTATATGACCACGTGCGACAGTACTAATTATAATGCAAAACATGCTGCTTAATATAACTATTCATAGATGAAACCATGTTTTCGCTAGTTTTTTGTTAATTACGGAAAAAGTAATTGTTTAACCGATGTGATTTTAATTACAATCTATTCAATATTAAATCCTGCATCCCCTGATAAGAAAAATAAACGGATTACTACTATAAACAAAAAGATACAGGGTAAAAACTAAACATTTAAAATATTTCTACGAAATTGCAATAAAAAAGGTTTTTTGCTTGTAACTTTTGATACAAAAACATAATCTACTTAATTTAAACATAATTAAACAAAGAATTTAATTATGAATCATTATCAGTTTGAATATTTATTGCAACTGAATTAGTTTTTGAATTATCAACAAAAAACTACTTAAAAGCATGCTATGCAAATCAAATTACTTATCATCAATGTTTTTAGTTAGTTTTTTAATAATTACGTAAAAAGTAAACAAGTTACACCTATAATTCAACTAATAATCTCTTCAGAATCAAATTCTACATCCACTGACCCAAAAAATAAACAAATTAATGTTATAAACAAAAAGTTATAACCAAAATACTAAACATTTTAAAAATTTCGAGAAAATCTTGCAACAAAAAGATTTTTTGCTTGTAAATTTTGACACACAAGTATAATTTACTTAATTTAAACATAATTAAACAAAGAATTTAATTATAAATCATTATCAGTTTGAATATTTATTGTAACTCAATTAGTTTTTGAATTATCAACAAAAAACTACTTAAAAGCATGCTACGCAAATCAAATTACTCATCATCAATGTTTTTAGTTAGTTTTTTGTTAATTATTTAAAAAGTAAACAAGTTACAACTATGATTTAAACAATAATCTCTTCAGAATTAAATTCTACATCTGCCAGCACAAAAAATAAATGTTATAACCAAAAAGTTATAAACAAAAAACTAAAAAAAAAAACTAAAATTTTTCACAAAATGCTACAATAAATTCATTTTTTGTTAATAACTTTTTATAGAAAATCACAATCAAACCCATTCAAAAACAATTAAACGTAGAATTAAATTATGAATCATTATCACTTCGTATGCTCATTGTATCACCTTTACTCTATTCACAATTCACAAAAGAAAAAAACAATCTAATTATTCTTCATACAACGTGTTAATATGACACATGACATTTAAAACAGTATGAAAAATATTTTAGTCAAGTGTCTACCAGTTAACATAAACCTAAGCACTAAAAATCCGCGTAAATCCGTGTAAAGTATGCGCATGAAACACTAACTGGCAACAGTAGTAACCTTGGCTGCAGAGAAATGCACGCGAACTCATTATATTGTTTTATTATTTCTCAGCCAGGCGTTGGAAATGCAGCCGCGTAGAATGAAGACTATGTGGAATATGCAGATGTTTATGTAACACATTGTACCGTTATCTATCGACGCACGTCCGATACAAAACCACATCCAACACGCGCTCACGCTCAGTAATAAAATAATAAAGTTTGAGGAATAAATGATACGCGATGGAATGACGCGTAACTGAAGTTATAGTGACACATGTGGACGTGGATGGGTTTATAATTGTTGTTAACAGTTATTAATACGTTAATTGTTTGTGGTTGACGGGTTTTATCATGGAAAAATTGATAGGAAATTTGAATTGTGGAATTTTTTAGTTTTTGAGTATAACTTTTGTTTATTGAATTAATTTGTTTGTTTTTTGTCAGGGGATGTAGAATTTAATTCTGAAGAGACTTTGTCGGCGTCTTTGTCGCCGGATTTTTTTATAAAGTTAAACATTCTGTAAAGAGAAAAGTAATGATGTAAATAAATAATAGTAGATATTAAATAGATAAATGTGAGAAGTAATGTATGTATGGTTGGTATTGTCATATGTGCTTATTGAAATTATATGGTTACGGGCGACAATACTAACTATATGCAAATGTATTGTACCAAAAAATTATATTAAGAAGTAGCATAAGTATTGTCGCATGTGCCTATAGAAATTATATGACCACTTGCGACAGTACTAATTATAATGCATAACATGTTGCTTAATAAATCATGTTTTTCGCTAGTTTTTTGTTAATTATGTAAAAAGTAAACGTTTGACAGATGTGATTTTCATCACAACCTATTCAGTATTAAATTCTGCATGCACTGATAAGAAAAATAGGCGGATTAATGTTATAAACAAAAAGTTACAGGCTAAAAACTAAACATTTTAAAAGTTTTGCCAAAATTTTGCGATAAAAGGTTTTTTGCTTGTAACTTTTGATCGAAAAATGTAATCTATTAAATTTAAACATAATTAAACAAGAAATTTAATTATAAATCATTATCAGTTTGAATATTTATGATAACACAAATGGTTTTTGAATTATCAACAAAAAACTACTGAAATGCATGCTATGCACTCAAATTACTCATCATCAATGTTTTCAGTTAGTTTTTTATTAATAATTATAAAACTAAACAAGTTACATCTTAGATTTAAACAATAATCTCGTCAGAATTAAATTCTACATCTACCAGCCTAAAAAATAAACAAATTAAGTAAATAAACAAAAAGTTATAAACAAAAAAACTAAAAAAAAAAACTAAAAATTCTCCCAAAATGCTACAATAAATTCAATTTTTGTTAATAACTTTTTATAAAAAATAACAATCAAACCCATTCAAACACAGTTAAACGTAGAATTTAATTATGAATCATTATCACTTTGTATGCGCATTGTATCACCTTTACTCTATTCACAATTCACAAAAAACAATCTACTTATTCTCCATACAACGTGTTAATATGACACATGACATTTAAACCAGCAAGAAAAATATTTTAGTCAAGTGTCTACCAGTTAACATATCACAACATAAACCTAAGCACTAAAAATCCGCGTAAAGTATGCGCATGAAACACTAACTGGCAACAGTAGTAACCTTGGCTGCAGAGAAATGCACGCGAACTCATTATATTGTTTTATTATTTCTCAGCCAGGCGTTGGAAATGCAGCCGCGTAGAATGAAGACTATGTGGAATATGCAGATGTTTATGTAACACATTGTACCGTTATCTATCGACGCACGTCCGATACAAAACCACATCCAACACGCGCTCACGCTCAGTAATAAAATAATAAAGTTTGAGGAATAAATGATACGCGATGGAATGACGCGTAACTGAAGTTATAGTGACACATGTGGACGTGGATGGGTTTATAATTGTTGTTAACAGTTATTAATACGTTAATTGCCTGTGGTTGACGCGTTTTTATCACGGAAAAATTGATAGGAAATTTGAATTGTGGATTTTTTTAGTTTTTTGAGTATAACTTTTTGTTTATTGAATTAATTTGTTTATTTTTTGTATCAGGGGATGTAGAATTTAATTCTGAAGAGATTATTAGTTGAATCGTAGGTGTAACTTGTTTAGTTTTTTAGTAATTAACAAAAAACTAAATAAAAACATTGATGTCAAGTAGTAATGAGTGCATAGCATGCTTTTGAGTAGTTTTTTGTTGATAATTCAAAAACTAATTGAGTTACAATAAATATTCAAATTGATAACGATTCATAATTTCATCCTGCATGTAAACTTATCAACAATATATAAAATATCAAAGTTTATAAAAAGTTATAAATAAAAAAGTAAAATTTTGCATAATTTTAACAAAATTTTAGTTTTTTGTTAATAACTTTTGAAATAATTATTTAAATTTAATCATTTCTCCGTTAATATACGCCAAATTTAATAATGAATATATTTTGTGAAAATTATGACTGCACCATAATTAGTGTTCGAGTAATTAATTAATTACTGTATAAAAACACTCATAGTCCACCTACCACACAACACAAAACCATGATTTGTTGATGTTTTTTGTTAATAATTCCTAAACTAATCAAGTTAAAACAAATATTCTGCCAGATAATGATTCATAAATAACCCATACATCTAAATATATAAAAATTATCCACATTACAATAATCTATAAAAAGTTATGAGCAACCAAACTTTGATAAACATTACAAGTAAACATTACACGTAGGGCTGTACAAATTAGCCGGCCAAGCCGGTTAAGGAAGTTAACCAGGCTAATTAGCTGGCTGACTACTCGGCTTAGCCGGTTAACCGAAATTAGCCAGGCTAATCAGCTAAAGGCTAAACCGGCCAATTGGCTAATTTTATATTTTATACAATATCTTTGTTTCCAAATCACTTGCATTTGCATTTGCATAACAATTCGCCGCGTTATCAATACGTTTGTCGGACTTGGCCCGAACAGATATTGTATAAAATATAAAATTAACCAATTGGCCGGTTTAGCCTTTAGCTGATTAGCCTGGCTAATTTCGGTTAACCGGCTAAGCCGAGTAGTCAGCCAGCTAATTAGCCTGGTTAACTTCCTTAACCGGCTTGGCCGGCTAATTTGTACAGCCCTAATTACACGCAAAACTAACAAATCGTATTACAGAAGGCGTTGTTTAACATGTGATGACATAATTTCTTAATCACAGCCTAAAAATAAACGGTATTTATTATGATATGTTTTTATTTCGACGGTGGGGAATGTGTGTCGCGGGTATTTTGAGGCGCGATTTGTCGTTGTCACGTTGAGCCTCACCTCGCCGGCCGGTGGTTTGTGGTTATTTCTGAAATATGCTGAATGCGGAACGGACGCAGGCATATACTAGACTCTAGTAACTAGAGGATAACGGGAGTAGCAGGAATAAACCGCCGTAACCTGCTGGCTAACAAGCGTGACGCGGTGCTAATAAGCCTACAAAACAACTAAACTAAAATGATTAAAATTAATTAATTACTTTGATATTAACTGATAAGAGATAACAAATTGATAATTATTTGATAATTAATTACTAATTAATAAATAATTAATAATTGATTATTAGAAGTAAAAAAGTAAGATTTGTTGTTGTGTTGTTTGGTTGTGAAATCGAGAAATTAATTGGAGTTTGAAGTTTGAAGTATGGAATTACTTTCGTTTTTTGAGTGTTTGTAGTGAATACGAAATAGTTTTGCGTTGTTTTGTTCGTTGCATTGTTGATGCGAACAATGAATCGTCTGATTTCACTCGACAATACTGTTTGTGTACAAAAATATACCGAGTATAGCAAAAAAATCGACAGAATTTTTACTAAATTTGACAAAATTTCAGCGAATTTTTCGGTGTATCTTTTTATAGATTACTGTAATGTGTATAATTTTGACGTGATTAGATGCGGAGTATATTTGGGAATCATTTTGAGTCGGAATAATCAGTGTAACTACTTTAGTCTTTGAATAATTAACAAATTACTTCTATAAAACACTCCTAACCCGCGCAATAAACTGCAACTGTTTTTCGACAGTAATTAATTAATTACTCAAAAACTAATCACGGCAGATGCATGAAACTATTAGAATCTATCCAATGATAAATTTTGAATATACAGTTAAAAACATTTGTGGATTCTTTAAATAAATAAAATGTTATTAACAAAAAACATAAATTTGGTTGAAAACTTTTGGTTATTGCCAGTAACTTTTTAAACAAAACTGCAATTTGCAAAATTTATACATAATTCAGTGTAGAATTTAATTCTTAATCATTATCAATTCGGATAATGACTATAATTACTTCAGTATTCGATTAATTAACAAATAACTTGGCGATACTACTACTAACCTCGCACAACTGTGTGCATCGGTGTTTTTGCACAGTAAATAATTAATTACTCGAAAACTAATCACGCTACAGCCATGAAACTTTCAAAATCTAATGAATATTACATTCTACAAATAAAACCAAAATAAAATTGAAGAGAAAATTATTAAATAAAAAGTTATTAACAAAAAACTAATTATTTATCAATTATTTATCAAAAAAAGCAAATTGAACATTTTCAATCTATAACTTTTTAATCAAAACTTCAATTTTGACTATTAATACATAAACCGAAGCATAATTTAATGCTAAATCAATATCAGTCAAAATAATCATTTAGTTTCTGAATAATTAGCAAAAAATCTCAACAAAACTCTACTAACCTCCACTAATCCAATCACATCTGTGTTTCTTATCAGAAATTAATTAATTACTCAATAACCAATCAAACCAAATCAATAAAACTTTCCTAATCTTATCAGTATTTAATTCTGCACATAATACCAAAAGAAGTATGCCGATAAATAAAATAAATAAAAAGTTATTAACAAAAAACCAAAACTTTATCAAAAACCGTGCCAATTGGACATTTTTTGCATATAACTTATTAAACAAAACTAAAATAAGCACTATTTAAACATAAATCGACACAGAATTTAATTCATAATCATTATCAGTTAAAATAATCACCGTACCTAATTTAATCTCCGAATAATTATCAAAAAACTAAACAAAAACACAATAACCTCAACTAATCACACCCCAACCACGATTTTACCCAGTAATTAATCAATTACTCAAAAACCACTCAAACCACATCCATAAAACTTTCCAATTCTATTCACAATTAAATTCCTCACATAAAACCTCAAAAAACACAACAAAAACATCAACTAAAAAAAAGTTACGCCCAAAAAACTAAAAAATAAAAACTTTCTGTAGTCATAGCAACCAAACAAAACAATTTTCTTCTCCAAAAACCATCATAAAACCAACAAAATAAATAATTTAAAACTTACATGATGGAATTATCCTCGTCAACGTCTCCGTCTCCTTATCACTGCCGCACCGCGGCGCAAATACTCCAACCGCACAATCACCAATCGATTAAAACGTTATCACTGCGCGCAACCTTCAATTCTCGCACTGATTTATACACCGTAAGAAGGTGTATACTTAACAAATATTAATGTAAAATATTAATTTAAACAAATTTACAATAAATATTATGTTTTTAGGTGCGGTAATGTTTTGATTGTTTATATGCTGGTTTATATTTTTGGTTTGTTAATACTTTTACGATAAATTAATACAATTACACTACGAAAATTGCGTTTTGTTGCTAAATAACGCTAATTTATCATTATTCGCGTGATAACAACTAAATATATATTAATAATTGTTCTATTTGTTCTAAAATTAATAATATTTTCAGTTTTCTAGATCTCTGAGTGCAAAAGTCGAAATAATTCACTTTTTTAAACTAATTTGTTAATAACTTTTAAACTAAAAAAGTTACAACAATAATTCTTTCAGCAATCGATTCAGAATTAAATTCTACATCTTATAAAATAAAGAATTCCACCATAAAAATATTTTTTACCTATTTTTTCCACAATTTTGTTTATAACTTTATAAATAATTAAATATAAATAAATAATTTCATATCAAAAGACGTAGAATTTAATTCTGAATCATCTCCCGAAAGAATTATCGTTCCAAACCTAATAGTTCAAAAGTTATTCACTAAAAACTAAATATAACCTAAAATAATTTGTTTCGAATTAAAATTTAACCAATAAAGTTAACATCACGTGGTTTCAGAACATAAATAAGTGCGTAATTAATCCTTAGACACTATCATAACGTATTTGTACGTGTTTGGTTGTTGAATCTCATGCGTTCGAGGTATTTTCGTGGATATGGAAGCCTACATTGCCTACATCACTAACCTAACCTAAAAAATCTCGTCAATCAATGAGTATTACCCTAGTACACATGGAATTATGATTCGGAATCAACCAAGCTAGCCTCCACCATCGACTCAGTCACCTCGGTAAAATCAATCCCGCGTTCCAAGATGTCCGCCTCAACCAACCACTTCTCAATCTCCGCGATATACATCCGGCGCTGTAGTACATCGCGAGTCCTCGGCCTCCTACCAACATAATAAGTAACACCGCCGCGATGAAAGTCCCCATGTAACTGTTCTAGGAACTTTCCTTCCTGGATCTGGTTATTTAGTGAATTCCACTCAACTCGCACCTCTTCATGCAACATTTGCTCCTCGTCACGTTTTGATGTTTGTTTCTTATACTGAATACGGAATCTAAAGGCTTCCAGAACAGACGCGACGACTATCGTCAGCACAACCATCGTGAATAGGTAAAAACACATGAAATATAACCTAGAATATTGACAGTTTGTGACTGATGCGAAGGCGTCCATGATGATAAACCAGTTGTTGACGACTGTTAATTCAAACAGTGTGACGCCCGAGTGTAGTAAGTCGCTGAAATTGTTTAAATAATAGTAGCCAATGGCGGATGTGCCGTTGACGATGTTCGGGTTGTAGCGGAAGAAGTCCTCGACGGTGGTGTTCGCGCAGCAGTTGCGTAAGTCGTATTTTGCGAAGAGTTCCATGCCGACAATGGCGAAGAAGTAGTACATGACGAGCATCACAATGGCGGTCGACCACATGAGTGGGGAGAGCAGGACTAGGGTGCCGAAGATGTCGCGGTAGCGTTTTTTTAGTTTGAAGAGGCGGAGAAGGCGTAGAGGGCGCAGGATTACGACGACGGTGAAGTCGGGTTTGAGGAGGAGGGCAAGGGAGCCGAAGAGGGCGGCGAGGGTGACGCCTAAGTCGAAGAGGTTCCAACCGGATGCTGTGTATTGCGTCCAGCCGATTCCGATTATTCGGAGGAGGGCTTCAAAGAGGAAGACTAAAACAGAAAATTTATAGATTAGAGGTTAGGTTTGGTATAAACTATGAAAAAATGGTTGAATTGAGGTTATGAGAGGTTATACTAGTGTTTTTGTAGAAAAAATGATAAATTTCATTAATTTAACCTCAAAAACGTATTTTTTAACAATTTTAAATGTTTTTGAAGGTATTTCCTAGGAAAAACTGCATAAACTTAAGTTTAAACTCCCATAACATTAATTTACGTTCATATTTATAGGTTATAATGGTTTTTGATGAGTTATTTGATGTATTTCTTTGATTTTACGCCAAAAACATAATTTTTGAAGATTTTAGAGCTATTTTCAAGAAAAAAATACGAAAACCAAAGTCTAAAGTCTCATAACCTTAAATTTGATTCATATTTATAAGTTATTAATGATTTTGATCAGTGAATTCATGAATTTCATTGATTTAACCTCAAAACCGTCGTTTTACTCATTTTTAATGCTTTTCAACGTATATCTAAGGGCAAACACAGCTAAAACTTAAGTTTAAACTCGAATAATTTCAATTTACATTCATATTTATAGGTTATGATAGTTTTTGATGAGTTTCTTCAAGTATTACTTTGATTTAACCTTAAAAGCATGATTATTAATGTTTTTAGATGTTTTTTAAGGTAAAATCAAAGAAATACATAAAATAACTCATTAAAAATGAATATAACCTATAAATATAAACAAGTAACACTTAAAACCTTCGTTCTTGTTACTTTTACCTTTGAAATATCTTCAAAAACAACAAAAATTGACCAAAAAACAATTTTTTGAGGTTAAATTTTAAAAATACATAAAAAACACACCTAAAACCATCATAACCTAAAAACTTCACCACAAAACCCCTAAACTAAAGTCACACCAACATAAAAACCTATATTTTCTTCACCTAACCTCCAAACACAATCAAAATCAATAAAAATTCATCACTTACTTGCAAGAAACAGATAAGTATCCCACGAATTGCAGAAATTCGTCGCACTTTCCTCCAAACTATCCGCCGACTGTGCTACACGTATAAACATAGCCACGCCATTGCCCAGAATCAGAATATCTACAAAAACAATAAACAATTAATATCACAAAACACATTTCTAACCTCAAACACACAAAACACATACAAACAATGTATTCAAAGTACTTCCAGAGTACCAATCTCCTTGCCGCACGACAAAACATCCTCAACGGCGGCCATGCTGCACTGAACCATGGATCCGGCGGGTCCTTCAAGTGCCATCTTAGACTACTCGCATCATACAACCCGATAAACTCCTCCTCGCTCATTGTCCCCGATCCGGACGCGTTCAATTGTTTGAACATCAACACGACATCTCTCGCCTTTTTCCGCGGCGCATAATACCGCATCACGCCTTCGAATTGTTTGAATTTTATACCTTCGGGATCCTGTTTGGATACTAGCAGGCGGAAGGCGAGTTTGCATGCTTTGCGTTTGTGTAGGAGGAGTTTGCGGAATTTGTCCTTTTCGATGCCGGTGAATGTTTCATAGACGACGGCGAGCATTAGATTCATGAGGACGTAGAGGACGGTGGAGATGTACGAGATAAAGAAGATGGCGTTCCATTTTGAGATGGCGTAGGAGGGCATCATGACGTCGGGGAAGTTGGCGGTGGTTAGGAGGACGAACATGCTGACGAAGCTGTCGGGTAAGGTGCGGAAGAATGGGTTTCGATGGTGATCACTGAAGAGATAATAACCTAAAATGGAAAATTTATAAATTAGTACTTGGTAGATGATGTAAAATAACATATTTTAAGGTTAAATTCACAGAAAACATAAAATAATTCATTAGGAATTAGTATAACCTATAAATATAAGGGTTAATTGAGGTTATGAGGCTGTAAATCTAAGTTTTTCACGTTTTTTCCATTGAAAATCAATAAAACTTGTGTTTTTTTAGGTTAAATCGAAAAAATACATTAAAAGTTCATCAAAAACCATCACAACCTATAAATATTAATGAAATCTAAGGTTATGAAGCTTTAAACTTGAAATTTCGTGTTTTTCCCTTGAATAACTAAAAGAATTATGTTTTTGAGGTTAAATCAAAGAAATACATCAAATAACTCATCAAATACTATCATAACCTATAAATATGAATGTAAATTGAATTTATTTGGAGTTTAAACTTAATTTTCTGCTGTTTTTCCCTTGGAAGTATGTTAAAAACCATTAAAAATGAGTAAAACGATAGTTTTTGAGGTTATACCAATGAAATTCATAAACTATCAGATTAAAACCAATACTAACCTATAAATATGCATAAAATCTAATATTATGAGCCCTTAAACATTGATATTTCTTGTTTTTCTTATAAAACTTGAAAAAATCATGTTTTTGAGGTTATATCAAAGAAAAACATATAACAACCTATCAAACACTCAATATACATTCATATTTAAGGTTATGAATTGTTTAAACCTTAAATTTAACTAAATAAAATTGCATACTAACCTAAAAGTGCATAGCTGCTCACAAAGAACAACAGCAACCCTAACATATCCAAAATCGGCGGCAGCGACTGAAATATCTGCCGAATGAATCTCCGCATGTTCCCACACGCCCTCGTATCCACCAGGAATATCGGCCGCAGTGCCCTCGTCACTCTAAAATGACTCTCCTGTCGCACGAGTACAGTCATAGCCTCCAGCGCCATTATAACCAGCGCTATCGACTTCACCATGGTGCGGTTATGTTTCAACAGCGTCGAATAACCCATCCATTGCAGTTTCAGCACCAATTCAATGGTAATAATAGCCAGGGCAACTAATTCCAATGTACCATGCACGCCAACTGGTAAAGTAAAGCGTGAAACTGAGGGTTCTTCAGCTAATGCCAGCAGTAATAAAATAAGAGATGCGGACAAATCTAAGCCATAGTACCAGTTGTTGTGTACGAGGAGGTAGGCGGGTAGGGCTGATGGATGACGTGGGTGTGAGTCGAATTTTTCATTGTTTTCGCCTTCCTGAAAGCAGAAAATTGTTAGAAATTGTGTTTGAGGTTAGAATTCGTTAGGTTATGGGTGTTTACAGTTGTGTTTGGGTTAAAATGAGTAAAATGTTTATTTTTTGAGGTTAAATCAATGAAAAACATGAAATAACTCATCAGACACAATTATAACCTATAAATATTAATGGAAACGATGGTTATCAATCTTTAAACTTGGATTTTTCGTGTTTTTTCCTTGAAAATAGCTACAAAAAGAATGTTTTTCTGGTTAAATCAAGAAAATACATCAAATAACTAATAAAAATTAACTTAACCTATAAATATGAATGTCAATTGAAGTAATTGGAGTTTAAACTTAAGTTTCTGCTGTCTTTTCCCTTGAAAATATGTTCAAAACCATTAAAATTGAGTAAAACGACGGTTTTGAGGTTATATCAATGAAATTCAGGAATTAACTGGTCAAAACCATCAATAACTTACAAATATGAATGAAATCTAAGGTTATGAACCTAAAAACATCAATTTTTTGTGTTTTTTCCTTGAAAATAGCTATAAAAACAATGTTTCTGAGGTTAAATCAAAGAAATACATAAAATAACTCATCAAAAACTAATATAACCTACATAAACAACTAAAATCTAAGGTTATGCACCTTTAAACTTTAATTTCCCTAATTTTTTTCTTAAAATACCTCCAAAAACATTAAAAATCATGTTTTTTGAGGTTATATCAATGAAATTCATCAGATGACTCATCAAAAACCATCATAACCTACATAAACAACTAAAATCTAAGCTTCTAAACCTTTAAACTTTAATTCCCCTACTTTTTCCCGTCAAAATACCTCAAAAAACACTAAAAACATTAAAAATCCACCAACTCACCTCTAAAAAGATGGCCGCCTCATGATAATTCATCTCCCAATGATCCGCAGCCTCCGAATCGCGACTGAGTCCCGAAACACTCCCCATTTCCTCAATTGCATTAGCATCTACAACAAAAAAAATTAAATCCACCAACTATAATTACCACAACACTCAGTATATGCATATTTGCTTCCATAAACACATCAACGTAATCACATGACGATATGACTCACCAAGCGTACATTCTGTGTACAGTAGACACACTTACACTGCCACAATACAAATATTTAACAATTTTTATTATCAGCCTCTACTGTTTTATCACGAGTGTTGAACTACACGCGCAGAGGCATGTAAACAATCGATCCGAACAAATGACATCCGCACATAACCTCTGATCGTGTCTGCATCTCGCTAGTTTTTTCCAGTTTCACGTCAGTTTTACGCAGTTTTGATTAAATTATTCCACAGAGAATATAAATATTTGTGTTGTTGATGTTTTGTCTTGTTGTTAGATACATACGTTGTGTGTCTGTGCCGTAGGTATGATGCGCTTCTTCGGTGAAACGCTTGTAGCCGTCGTCGTCCGGCGAGCTGCAGCGAGACGACGCCATTCTTCAACGGCGCATCGTTCGCAACTGAATACACACGATTCGATACGAACAGCAACGCGAATCGTTTTCAATGCACACACGCGCTAAACGCTTCATTAATTACAATTGTAGTGTACACAAATGATTAGATAATGAATTTCTCGGACAAGATATTGTGTTAGAACAACATACACAATTGTTATTTACAATGATGGCACTGATGATGTTTGATTTAGGTTAGGTTATGACTTTTGACATTTGTAACCTTAAAATTTCTGTCAGAATGTGGAGTTTTGTCTTACCTCTGATTGTTTTGCTTAATTTGTACAAATTCCAGTAGGTTTTTACGAGGTTTACATAGAACCACATTTTTTTCGTTGCAGTGGCAAACATTGTGGTGTAAATGGTTGGCATATATGTAAAAATGTTTAAAATTTAGAATTTCCATGAATCATCGCTGGAAATTTACATATGTTAACAAATAATGTTTTGAAACGCATAATTTAACACACAAAGTCGATTTGAATGTTAAAATATGTTTAAAATGTTCTATAAAAGTGGTTTTTGTATGTTTTTAGTAACATAACCTAAATTCCTAGTTTTTTAGCACAAAATACTAATAAAAACTATACTGAGGCAATTTTTAGTTGATATTTTAGCAATAAACGAAGCGATTTGCAAAAATTTCACTAAATTTTGTGTGATTTACCTAAAATAACCTAAATTTTACTAAAATTTCAACTTTTTAGGCCTTTTAAGCACAAAATGAAACAAAATCTCTCCAAAATCAATTCCCACTTGATATTTTATCATTAAACGCAGTAATTTTCCTGTTTTTATCAAAAATTTCACTGTTTTTGCATGTTTTTCCTAACATAACCTTAATTTTACCAAAATTTCTAGTTTTTGTGACTTTCAAGCACAAAACACCAACAAAAACTATATTGGGCCAACTTTTAGTTGATATTTTATCAATAAACAATAAAATTTCCAAAAATTTCACTAAATTTTGTATGATTTACCTAAATTAACCTAAATTTGACTAAAATTTCAATTTTTATGTCTTTTAAGCATAAAAAACCAACAAAAACTCTACAAAATCAATTCCCACTTGATATTTTATCATCAAACGCAGTAATTTTCTTGTTTTTAACAAAAATTTCAGTTATTTTGTATGTTTTTCCTAACATAACCTAACTTTTCACTAATTTTCCTAGTTTTTATGTCTTTTGCGCACAAAATACTAACAAAAACTATCAAAAAACCTCTCAATTTATCAGTAGGCGTCGTAATTTCTTTGTTTTTCAAAAATTCCACGCGAAAATCGCTGATAACGCGCTGAAACCGAGCGTGTCACGACTCAACGCCGTTAAACAAAAGCGTCACGCTGCTCAAACATCCCACCAGCGCGCATAAATTAAACCATAAATAAAAATCCTCCACTAAAACCCATTTTCTAAGGATATCGCTAATTATAACCGGTCGTAAATAAGCGCATTGTGCTTTGTGTTCCACTCTCCTGCGTATAATATTCCACATGCAGCGCACTTTTCTAAATATATATATAGAGAATACAAACATCGGTTGGTTGTAACTCGCGCCGCCGTCGTATTTAACCTCAATTTATATAATATGCATATAAAATTAATAGACATTCTTAATATAATTAATAAATTATACACTGCTAGTCATTCATCTCGTGTGCATCTCGCGTGAATTTGCAATTTTGGCATTCGTCGTGAATAATCTATCGAATTAGTTCAAAGAGGGCGTCACGTTATCGGCCCAGTTCACCTCGATCGTCGGCCATTTTGTCTGGAGGCATGTGAGCATCGGATTCGACTCACACATTGCACGCAGGTCGGATTCCAGCAGGATTGCACCTCCAATTCGATATTTAACCTAAAAATTATGCGTAAAATATGAAAATAACCTTAAAATGTATTGGATTAACCTGTCCGTCGTAGTTACTCTGCGCCAAACCATTATAATGCACCAATTGGAAGGTGTCCGGCGTGGAACGCTCCTCCAACGGATAAAACTCATGCATAAAAGCATTTAGGAGAATAATCCCCAAGTTTTCCGAGTCTAGCTTGCGACGCATTACATTTACACTGTAATTTTATCAGAATTAAGTTAATATTACATGTTTTAGGTTAGAATACTTACTATTCTGTTTCGCTGACAAGTTGAAGGTCAGCCAAGACATTCTGAAGGTCATCCGCTTTGATAAAGTTGTTATCATCCTTATCATAGTTCTTAAACACGCGACGCGCTTGCTCACAGCCCGTCTCAGCGCTCACCAGTGCCGTATTGTCACTGAAAAGCACTTTAAAGACATTATTATACACTTTTCACTCATTTCAGGTTAATTTTTACCTGTCAAATGTGTTTCCGATCCTAAAACCCACACCGGATGCTTTGGACTCTTATAAAACGTGCCCACGGTGATGTATCGCATGTGTTCCATCAACGTGATGAAACCTATGTCGCTTTGATGATCAATTCCACGTAATTCTATCAAAAAAACAAGTAAAATGTTAATTTTAGGTTGTTTGGTGTATGTTGGGTTGCATATGTTACACTTACTAAGCCCACCGACATCTTGTTCATGATCCCACACATACGACACCGCTCGCCCTGTTATCATCAGATTAATTAAACTCTGACTACCGTAGCCGTAGGTTTCGTCGATTAACGGCTCGCTGCTATCATCAGACCGCTCAGATTTCAATTGGTGTAGTCCCTGTTAATATTATAGTGAGTAAATAATCTAGTGACTTTTTTTTGGTTACTTTTTAGGTTGGTACCTTACCTTAGTAGCTATCACAGAGTAGAGAAACAACAAAATACCATACTGCGCGCGATATCGCTGAATCATCTCGCGCATAAACTGCATACATTCATCCTCACCATTAATGCAGCGCAATCTGACGGCGTCATGGAAAAACTCCACGTCATTCAGTGTTGATTTAGCTTCACCGTTAATGGCGGCGTCGCTGCCACCCTCGCCATCTAGTTGCAGGTAAGCCATGTAAAACTGCTTTGGTGCATGCGCTTCAGCTGCGGCGGTCTCATTCAGACTAGTTACACTCGCGCTCACGTTCTGTTTGCGCAATATCTCAAAGAGAGCATTCAAAAGTAAAGACTCCTGCTTTTTATCTGCAATCTTAACATTTGACAGTTAGAAGAGACAGAAAATTTGAGGTTATGTTTGAAAATGACATACTTGATCCCTAAATGCTAAAGTTTTGTACTCATCAAGCAGATTTTTTATTATGTACGCCTGCACAGGTGCGAGAATCGAACAGGGCCCGCCTTGGGATTGTTCTAGGGCACTTGACTCACTTTTACTGAAATAAAAACCTGAAAAATATTTTTTTTTATTATTTTTTGTGTGGATGTGTTTTTGAGGTTATGTTACCTTGTGACCATCTGGCGAAGATATCGGCCTTGATGTGCGCCCCCCAAAGAAGCTGGCGGATGGCCGGCAACGGCGAGGGCGTCGCATTCGTCGTCATCTCGCCGGCGGCGACGCGACCGCCGCGCGTTTAACTCGTCGACCACCTATGACACCGTCTCCACCCCGCAGGACGCGAATCAGCGGCAGAAAAGCAGCTCGCACACCTTATAAACTGATTTTGAGGTTAGAAATACTTGCAGTTCAATTTACACAAGCAGCGGTGGTAATTTCAACGTAAAACACACACAAATTTACTGTACGTAACGCATTAATCTTTGGATTAATGATTGGATGAATGTTGAACGTAATCAGCGAGCATAATTTAATTTTTCTGCGTTTTTCTCGTTTTCATTTTTGACAACGTAAAGTCACACAGCGTTGACATATTGACAGTGTCGAAAACAAAAGATTAGTCTAGGGGATTCATCTAGGGACATTTTATTTTGTACCTAAATATATCCACCGAGTGTTACATACCCAAATTGAATAAAAACGTTAAAAAATTGTTTATAACTAAACAAAAACAAATTATTATATTGTTATCATCGCCTGCGAGTCTAATAACGTCTTATTCTTAGTTTCAGGCAAAATAAACCATAGAATACAGCTTAAAACAGCTGTAAAACACGCAAAAACACCAAAAGTCAAACTATAACTAACCTGCAACAATGCCGGACTGAATTTGACAACTAAAAAGTAAATTATATAGTTGATAAAGATAGTACAGCCACTTCCAACACCAGCCACGCTTGTTTCGAACAATTCCGGAGGTGTAGCCCATGGCAACGGTGCCAAACCACACAATAAAAACTGTACGTACAAAATCAACACAATACAGGTTAGAATATTGTATCTACTAACCTCCAAACTATCCGTAGTCCTATTGGCTGCGTAATATAACAAAGATAAAGCTATTAAGCTTAAAATCACACCCACAGCGCTTATAAACGTCAAAGTACGCAGTTTAAACCGTTTTATCGCGTAGATTGAGGTTAGACTCGCTGTAATTTTGACAGCATCATAACCTATAGTGATATAATTAGCGTTAATGTTTTAAACATATTTTTAAACATCTCCACTGAATATAGTGATAAAACATTGACGCCATTTAGTTGTCCAGCGGCGAAAAACGTCGTGCAGATAATAAAAGCTTTGAAAAACTTTTTATCAAACAAGGTTAGAATGTCAAGGTTATTCAGAGGTTGATTGATGATTTTTGTTAATTCTTGACGTGAGAGGTTATCATAACCTCTATACCAATGAAAACTTTGTGTTGCGCGTTCTAAATTCTGTTTTTCAACATGGCTGCCATAAGTTTCCGGTAGAAGAGTGAAAATTATAACAGCTAAACATGGATACGCACAGGTTATCAATGCATTTGTGCGCCATGTAAGGAAGGTTGCATTCACATCGCTTAACAACGCACCGACTACATGTCCCAGCATTATAAGGTTGGTAAACATGGTGCGTAGATTCGGTCGTGCAACTTCGGCTACGATCGTGACAAGTGCAGGCCGTGACGTCCCCATTGCGCTTCCACATAGTATTCGACCAATGAGGAGATGTGTAACGGTTTGTGAGTAATACAATGTTAGGAAACCGATTATCATCAGTAGATTTGTTGAGGTTATGATGATTTTACGTGTGAGGTGCGGCATTGACACTCCACCGATGATACAACCGAAAGCCATTGATAATATGGCGCTGGAAGCTACAACATGTAAGTTATTAGTTATTAATTGTTTTAGGTTAGATTTTGTGTATTACCGATCCATGTTTCGTCGGTTTTGTCGATTACAAAATGGCGGTCGGCTTCTAATTGCGGAAAAAGTGTTCCGGTGAATGACATTACAACACCACAACCAATACTTTCGAGAAAACAAGCGAATGCTGCAGTGCTCTGTAATACATGACATGTGTAACCTTGAAATAACCTTGAATTACATGTCACTTACTTGTCTTAGGAAATATTTACGTTCGGACATTTTGTTTTGCTTCAAAATGAAGTGAATTAAAGTTCACTGATGTATTTTATGTCGGATTCTTATCAAAGATGGCGTAATATGTAATTAAACGATTAATTTATCGTTTGTTATTTATGCATGATTTGTTTCTACATAAATTATGCGGTATAAATCCCCACCACTTGTCATTTGTTCGTATAAAGTTTAATATGTACGCATATGCATATATCATAACCTAACCCCGCCGCCACACTGTCACAGTCATACATGTTTGAGCTATGCTAACCTAACCTATAATTCTGATTTCTCATCTCGTGGTAATCAAATGAAGTCACATCACAATCACATATTTGTCGCTTTCGTCATCTCATACATAATATAATATAGAATAATGGATACGGTAACTGAATAACTTAGGTTAGGTTACGTGTGCTATTCGCCTAGTAGTCTATTGAGTTCGTCGAGGCGCATGCGCGTCTCGTCGGTTTGCTTGGCGGATAATAATTGTTCCTTTTCGCGTTTGAGTTTTATCCGGTCGTCGGCGTCGAGGGGTTTGCAGTCCCAGCCGCCGGTGCCGTCGAACTGGAGAATGTGGGTGTGGAACTTCCAGAGGGTGGGGCGGTGTGTGATGGTGAGGAGTGTGATGCCTAGGTCGATGGCTGCCTGGTAGATGCTGCTTTCTACGTCGATGGAGACTGCGGAGGTGCATTCGTCCAGAAGGGCGTATTTGGGTCTGAAAAGTGTTAGAATTTGGGTTAGTAGTATTAGAATTGTCTTAAGAGTGATTCTGAGTTACTTAGGATGACTTAGAATTTATTCTGAGACTCATAGGTCATATTCTGAGTCTAGACGAGACTTAGAATGACTTAGAATTCGTTCAAAGTGACTTAGAATTCGTCCAAAGTGACTTAGAATGATATAGAATCAATTCAAATCATCTCAGAATTTATTCTAAGTCTCTTAGAATATCATAAAACCAATTTAAATAGTCTTAGAATACATTCTAAATCGGTAAAAAGACATAGAATGTACTCTAAGTAACCTAGAATGACTCAGAATAACTCCAAATCCTCTTAGATTCCATTCTAAGTCCTCCCACAAGTCTCAGAATTCCTCCCAATACTTACTTATGATAGAATAATCTCGCAATAGCCATTCGTTGCTTCTCCCCTCCCGATAAAATATCCGTCCAGTCTTTCGCAATGGTGAACCCATCCCGCTCCACGATATGCTCCAGATGCACCATCTTCATAATCTCCCTTAGATCCTCCTCCCGCACCTGCTTATTAATCATATCTGCAGGGGTATCCGGATAGATAATCTGATCCCTCAAATTACCAATGACCATGTAGGGTCTCTGCGGGATGTAGAACATCGAATTCTTCGGAGTGTGCAACTCTCCATCATAAATGGGCCACAATCCGGATAAGATTCTGAATAGGGAGGATTTGCCACATCCATTGGGACCAGTGATCAATAAATGTTCGCCTGGTTGAAGGTGTAGGGACAAGGTGGGACACACTACGTCACAATTCGGTGTTACAATTGGGACGTTTTTAAGGACGATTTCGTTTGATGAGGTGTAGATTATCTTTCCTGGAACCCAAAAAAGTATAAGAAAAGTATTAGAAGTGATTCTAGGTCACTTAGAAAGACTCAGAATATATTCTAAGACTTTTGGGACATCATGGAGACAAGTTAAATCAATTTAGGACATATTCTAAGTCTATACATGACTTAGAATTTATTCTAAAAGACTTAGAATTCCATAGAATCACCACAAATCATCTTAGAATCCATTCTATATCTCTTAGAATATCTCAGAAACATGTTAAACCATCTCAGAACCCATTCTAAGTCCCCTAGAAAGTCTCAGAATAACAAAATAATCTCCCTACCTTTAGGTACAGGCTGGTCCCCTTTGAACTCAATCTGAAACCCACTCTTGATATCATCCCCGCCATTTTTCTGCACCACAGTCTTCGTATACTGCCCATTGGACACCTCCTCCAACACATGGAACATATTAGCAACCCTCGCGGTATGCCCCGCCAACTCCACAACATCCTTATACGAAGACATTAGTCTCTCCACGGCGTTACTCCCAGTAAGCAACAGATTCTTCGCAGTGGTAAAATAATGCGTACGTTCAGATATAGAATCTCCATTCGGAGATCCCCCCTGAACCATTATGGGCACATCTCCTGTACTTCCAACCACATTAGCAGCAAAAGAACTTTTACTTTCACTCTTAGAATTCTCCTCTCTGGTACTACCCCCACCACTTGTCGCATTCATCAAAATCGGCAGGGATACCACAACCATCCCAGTCCCACTCCACACATACTTCATCAAAAACTGCTCCAACATGACAAACCACAACTTAACCCCAAACATATGCTCCATATGCTGACACAGAATTCTGTAAGCATTCTTCAAATGCGACAACTCCACCTTCTGCCCACCATAAAAAGCAATCTCTTCAGCATTGGTAACCAATCTGGTATGAACATGCCTGAGGTACCCTTTCTTCTCTGCTTCCTGGGCAACCAACTGTCCGAATCTAGGACTGACCAGTCTCAGAATCAATGCAGAAACCACCACAACCGCACTAATCAAAATAGGTCCTGTGATAATATTCGCATTTCTACTCCTGGTCAAATTCGCCAGGGCAATCGCCATCAATAGAATATCAAACAACGGTTTCGTAATCTGACCATACAGATGACTCACAGTATTCGCCACAATTTCTATGTCATCCGTTAATCTTTGCGCGCAGTTATCCAACCTGCCGTCTAGGACTGTCACTCGGTAGTAGCTTTGATTCTTGAAGTACAACTGGTAACTATGGTTGACCAATCTGGTCCTGAACGCCAGAGCAATTCGCGATTCTAAGTATTTGATCATGGAGTTGATGAAGGTTGCAGGTATGGCGACTCCGAACCACTTGAGGAGTTGTCTAATGAAGTTTTTGGGTTCTTTCCGCACGATGTATTTGACTATGGCGCCCTCTAGGTTCGCCACGTAGATGCTTAGGAAGGTCCGCAGGAAGAGGAACATGGTGTGACCACTCAAAAGTGCGGTTTCTGTGCAGAATAGGTTGGGGATCATGATGCGGACCAGTTTGAGGAATTGTAGGATGAAGGTAAAGTTTAGGGCGGGGATGTTTTTGCGTAGGCGGGAGCGGATACCTTTGGGTTCCGAGGGTTTTGATGGTAGGACAGGGACCAGGTTGTTGTTGACGCTGTCGTGTTGTTTGTTTGGTTTGTTGATGAGGGAGTCCACCAGGGGGTAGGCTACTTTGACGCCGTAGGTGATGAGGACGGCGCCGACGAATGCGCGGGAGAGGTTTTGGGGTGTCATGGCGGCGAGGACGCCATGACGCTCGAGGAGTTTTGAGAGTGTTGCTGGCATTTTTATCGTTGTTTTTTTTTAAGGTTTCTTAAATTTTATTAAGAAATGTTTGGTGGTATGCTGGGTTTTGGAGCTAGAAGGTGTTCTTCATGGTTCCTGAAATATAAATAGATATGATTTAGTTTATTTGAGGTTAGATTAAAGAGTTTTGAGGTTATTTTATGTGGAAATGTGTGTTTTTTGTTGTTGGTTTAGAAAATCTTTGATAATTTGCGCAAATTTTATGCGATTTTGATAAATTTGGTATGGAATAATAGCGGGTTAAATTGTCTAATACTTTGGGTAATAATAATTTTTTTAAATTTTGTTGCAAGGTGAGTTACAGGGCGTTGAAGTTTATATTAAACAAAATTTATGACAATTTTGGTGGAATAAATACATTTTGTTAGAAAATTAATGATAATTTCTACAAATTTAATGCAAAAGTAAAAAATCAAGCATAAGATAATAGCCAATTAAATAATCTATCACCCTGTGTTTCAATGTTTAATTTTGATCACTTTATAAGTCACTTTACAGGATGTTGAAGTTAATACTTGGCGAAAATCACAATTACTTAGTCATGAAAATGCACTATCTCATTAAAATACGTATTACTTTCTCAAATTTTACACTAAATTAATAAACTATGCATGAAATGAAAGACAGTTAAATTATCTATTACCTTGTTAATGAATATTGTGTTTAAAATGGTTTTTAAGATAATATACCGAGTGTTGAAGTTCATTTTATGATAATTTAGTCCAAAAATGCATTTTGTTAGAAAATTAATGATATTTTCTACAAATTTAACACAATTGTTATAAATTAAGCATAAAATAACAGCTATTTAAATAATGTATCATCCTATATATGAACATTTGACTTAAGTCCGTTTTTAAGTCACTTCACAGGATGTTAAAGTTGACACTTGACAAAATTCACGATAATTCACTCATAAAAACACGATCAGCTAGAATATTACCACACAAAACTTGTAAAAACTCTAAAAAAACTTCATAATCTCAACAAATATTATATATAATCTCATAAATCTTTAATACCAAACATTTAACCAAATTATTTCCACTACAAAAACCTTAAAAACACGAAAAATCGTCAAAACTCAGACTCCAACTCCAGCAAGGACAACACTCATCGTTAAAAACAAATTGAAACATGACTTCTATTCTTAATTCGAAATTTTTTCGTGGTCACGGTTGGCGTCGCCTTCCAAATCCGTTGCGACATCCGCGCACGCAACCTGATTACCAAAACCAACATGGCCGCCGAATCAAGGACGGACGAGATACATATCCACATAATTCGTTATGGTTATCATCAATAAACTACGGTGCGAGCGAGTATCATTCCATTCCATAGCAATCAATTGCCCAATGAGTTGATTTTCAACTTTAAGACACATTTAAGACACAAGTGAGATTTCAACCGGTTCAGACGCGGTCATGGTGAATTAGTAAACCGCGGTGGTGTGGAGCAGTTGGTCTTCAACTCTAAATTGATTTATATTTAAACGCATTGCAACTTGCGAAAATGCAAGTGTAACAATTATGAAATGCGAAATAAAATTATGAACGCGACGTTCACTTTGCGCAATTTCCATTCGCGTATCGCGGCCATGCGCAGTGAATGCAAACATGCACCACGAGTAGGTAAACACTGGAAGCAGAAAAATATTACAACTTTGTGCGCTATTATTAAAATTAACACATTCATATCATCAGGTGTGTGATAATATGTGATGACTGTTACGATGCGTCCATGCTTCAAACACACAATTTTATTCCTCTGTTTTTTTTTTTAATTTTTTATTTATTTTTTATAAATAAATAATAATAATAATGATATTGTTAAAGAATGTGTAATTGTGCAGTGTAACCTTCTAGGTTTCTTGTGCACTGCTGGTCACCAGTGCGTTGCTGCATTTGTTGCGCTTATTTCGCCGATGATTGCAACAAAAATGTGTATTACGCTGTCATTACGCTCGGTGCCTTCTACACTTAGCCTCCAATCTCCCAGCGTAATCGGTTTCACCTTTTATAAGCTTCTTTTTCTTTAAGAAGTAAAGTGTATTTTGTCATAAATTCACTTTTTATTTGGTTTTTATTTAATGTTTTGAGTATGTATCAACTTTAACACCCTGTAAATATTTATCTGTTGATTGTTTATTGTTTGTTTATTGATGGTATGTTAGATGATATTATTAGGTTTAATTTTGTGTGAAATTTGGTAATTTGTTGTTAAATTTGTAGAAGTTATAAGAAATTTAGTGATGTTTTGCATGTTTATCGTAATTTTTTACTAATATGAACTTAATTCCCCTGTAAATTGGAGTAAAAATTGTTTAAACAAAATTATTAATGAAGAAAGTGGTAGATAATTTAACTGGCTGTTATTTTATGCCTAATTTATAGCTTTTCCATAAATTTTGTAGAAATTATCAGTAATGTTCTAACAAAATGCATTTTTAGGTTAAAATAATGTAATATAAACTTCAACACTCCGTAAATTATCTTAAAAACAATTTTCAACAAAATATTCATTACCAAGGTAATATATAATTTAACTATCTCTCATTTCATGCATAGTTTATTAATTTACCGTAAAATTTGAAAAAGTTATCATCAATTTTCCAAGCCATAAAATTTTAAGACCACATAATTAAAAATTAAACCTCACATTAACTTTAACACCCTGTAAACCATCTATAAACACATTTTTATAAACAAAACAATAACCCACCTCATAAACAATCTAATTACCTTCAATTCTACACCAAATTTATTAAAATAACATAAAAACTATAAAAGTTATCAAAGAATTACTAAAACATAAACATTTCCTAACAAATTTTCCAAATATCAACTTTACACCCTATAAACACCACCAAAAACATAAAAACTATTATTCATACAACACAAATCAACAGACAATTTATTCCTCTATAAACTTATCTAAAAAATTTTGTCATAACCACAAAACTCACAGAGTTATCAAACAATTACTAAAAATTTCATTGCGTCATCCACAATCTTGTCTAACAATTGACTTCAAAGTTTAAAGTAACAAGTTCAAGCACCCATCTATTCAACATAATTCCAACATAAATTAATCTCTAATATATCATTGTTCTAATACTCTACTCAATTAATACTAATAATAATAATAAAAAGTCTAATAAATAATGTAACATAATTTCTACTGTGATATGATATAATTGCTCATCGAATTGCACAATTAACCGCGTCCAGAGGTCAAGATAAAATCACAAACACGTGTCAGTACACTGACAGAATCACACAGCATCAAAACAAAGTGACATTGAATCTTTTCCGCACTCAATTCATGCTTATTACGCGCATAAAATTAAATGTTTCTAATTTCTAATAAGTAATCAATTGAAATTTACCTCAGTATTAATTTTCTCCACTCACACAGTCGTGTTGGGTATCGCACAATAATTGCATCAACGTTTACGACGCCTAATTTGTTAATTAGCGCCCGTATCGCGCGAATAATTGCCGCGTTAATTGCCGATCGGCACTCGCACTTCACGTTGCAACTGACGATCGCGGACGTTAATCACCGAGTAGTGTCGACGCGCTAGACACGGATAGGCGAATATTAATCGTTTATTATCAGCGGTGGTAGAATAGATATGGATAAATCTATTATTTGATTGAGTGCGGAGGTTTTGGGTGATAAGAGCAAGGACTTTGAGATTGCGGAGCGGTTTGTAGTGAATTTGATGTTGATTATGGAATATTTTCGTATTGTTGCATATTTTACTATCAAAAGTTATGTAAGTTGATGGGTAATTTATTTGGGTTTAATTTGATGTATGATTTGTAGTTGTTGTATATGAATTGTGATTGTTATTAATAATTTTGTGGAGGTTTGCGGGTTTTTGGTTAAAATGTGAAAATATTGATTTTTTTAGTTTGATTCATTTTTGTGACCACTCTGTATATTAAAAGTCCAATGTTCTTAAACAAAATTATAGATAATTTAATTGGCTTTAATTTGGGATGAAATTTATTATTGTAGTATTAATATTACGATTGTTATTAACAATTTTGTGAACAATTTCGTGATTTTTTGAGATTAAAATTTAAAAAATGTTAATATTTTTAGTTTGATCATTATTTATGAACATACTGTATATTGAACGTGGATTATTAATATACAAAATAATAGATAATTAAATAGGCTTCAATTTGAGATATAATTTGTTGTTATAGTATAAAAATTGCGTTTGTTATTAACAATTTTGTGAGAAGATGCATTTTTTATAGTATTTTTATGTTTCTTGTTTTTAAAATGTTGTTCACGGCCATATTGTATATTAATTATTATGTTTATTGATATGAGGTGATAGGTAATTTAACCAGCTTCAATTTAATATATAATTTATAGTTATAATCTTAAAATTGTAATTGTTATTAACAATTTTCCACAATTATCACATTTTTATGGATTTTTTAAAGCGTACAAATCAAAGTTCAATGTTTAAATAAATTTCACGACCTTACAGTAAACAAAAACAAAAAATTCTTCTACCAAAATTATAAACAATTTATCTAACTTCAGTTTAAGATATAATTCATCATCGTAACGCAAAAATTACGCCCGTTATAAACAATTTACCTTGAAACCTCAAAAATAATCATTTTTACTATTAAATTCCTTATCACAAGCACACTATCAACAAAAACCTGAATTTAATAATAATATATTATAAATAATCTAATTACCCAGACATACACATTAAATTTACAACTATAACATAAAAATTATACAAGTTATTAACAATTTTCCATCGTCTTTAAAAAAAATCTCAAAATTAAAATAAATTACGAAGTTAATTATCAATTTACAAGCAAACCATACATGCAAACATCAAAATTTCTTCACTACTCTTTAGAAAATTTAATTAACTTTAATATAACACATAAATTATTATGATTTATTGCATATTTGGACATTTCATGCGCAATTCCATCGCGCAATCCAGTTTTGATTTCTTACACGATGAAATGTGTAACAATCGTTACATTTGTAACACATTTACCGCACACAATTGTTAACGCGTTAATTTAATGCTTTGCCGAGTCGACAATGCGATAAGTAAACAAACCTAACCAACACAATGTAGTAATAAACAAATACACAACCGGCTGCCGAAAAAATTCGGTCTTATATTATGAGTTACAAGGTGTTTCAAGAAGGATTTTTAGGTCATCCGCGTTAGCAAGTCAATGACACAGTGCACAGTGCGCTTAAATACTTTTAATAAGTGGATAAAAGTCGCGAGACGAGCGCAAATTATAATTAACGCTCAATGCCACATTGAAAATTGCTGCGAACGTGCTGCCGATTGTGAAATTTACGCGACGTGTCGTCAACGACAAGAAACAAAAGAGTTGAAGAGGCAAGAGTTTTAAAAACTATTATTCATACAATACAAACCAACAGACAATTTATTCCTCTATAATCATATCTAAAAAATTTTGTCATAACCACAAAACTCACAGAGTTATCAAACAATTACTAAAAAATTTCATTGCGTCATCCACAATCTTGTCTAACAATTGACTTCAAAGTTTAAAGTAACAAGTTCAAGCACTCATTTATCCAATATAATTCCTACATAAAATAATCTCTAATATAACATTGTTCTAATACTCTACTCAATTAATATTAATAATAATAAAAAGTCTACTAAATGATCACACAAAATATAATGTAACATAATTTCTACTGTGATATGATATAATTGCTCATCGAATTGCACAATTAACCAGTCCAGAGGTCAAGATAAAATCACAAACACGTGTCAGTACACTGACAGAATCTCACAGCATCAAAACAAAGTGACATTGAATCTTTTCCGCACTCAATTCATGCTTATTACGCGCATTTAACTTGAAAATTGCAATTTTTCTAATTTCTAATAAGTAATCAATTGAAATTTACCTCAGTATTAATTTTCTCCACTCACACAGACGTGTCGGGTATCGCACAATAATTGCATCAACGTTTACGACGCCTAATTTGTTAATTAGCGCCCGTATCGCGCGAATAATTGCCGCGTTAATTGCCGATCGGCACTCACACTTCACGTTGCAACTGGCGATCGCGGACGTTAATCACCGAGTAGTGTCGACGCGCTAGACACGGATAGGCGAATATTAATCGTTTATTATCAGCGGTGGTAAAATAGATATGGATAAATCTATTATTTGATTGAGTGCGGAGGTTTTGGGTGATAAGAGCAAGGACTTTGAGATTGCGGCGCGGTTTGTGGTGAATTTGATGTTGATTATGGAATATTTTCGTATTGTTGCATATTTTACTATCAGAAGTTATGTAAGTTGATGGGTAATTTATTTGGGTTTAATTTGATGTATGATTTGTTGTTGTATTGTTAAAATTGTGATTGTTATTAATAATTTTGTGGTGGTTTGCGTGTTTTTTGGTTAAAATGTGAAAATATTGATTTTTTTAGTTTGATTCATTTTTGTGACCACTCTGTATATTAAAAGTATAATGTTCTTGCATAAAATTATAGATAATTTAATTGGCTTTAATTTGAAATATAATTTATTATTGTAGTGTTAATATTACGTTTGTTATTAACAATTTAGTGAACAATTTTGTGATTTTTGAGATTAAAATTGAAAAAATGTTAATATTTTTAGTTTGATCATTATTTATGGACATACTGTATACTGAACGAGGATTATTAATATACAAGGTGATAGATAATTTAATTGGCTTCAATTTGAGATGTAATTTGTTGTTATAGTATAAAAATTGCGTTTGTTATTAATAATTTTGTGAGAAGATGCATTTTTATAGTATTTTTATGTTTCTTGTTTTTAAATTGTTATTCATGGCCATACTGTATATTAATTATTATGTTTATAGATATGAGGTGATAGGTAATTTAACCAGCTTCAATTTAATATATAATTTATAGTTATAATCTTAAAATTGTAATTGTTATTAATAATTTTCCACAATTATCACATTTTTATAGATTTTTACAGCGCACAAAACAAAGTTCAATGTTTAAACAAATTTTACGACCACCCAGTATACAAAAACAAAAAATGCTTCAACCAAAATTATAAACAATTTATCTGACTACAGTTTAAAACAAAATTCATCATCGTAGCGCAAAAATTACGCCCGTTATAAACAATTTACCTTGAAACCTCAAATATAATCATTTTTACTATTAAATTCCTTATCACAGCCACACTATCAACAAAAACCTGAATTTAATGATAATATATTATAAATAATCTAATTACCCAGACATACACATTAAATTTACAACTATAACATAAAAATTATACAAGTTATTAACAATTTTCCAATCTCCATCAAAAAAAGCACCAAATTAAAATAAATTACGAAGTTAATTATCAATTTACAAGATTCTGAATAGGGAGGATTTGCCACATCCATTGGGACCAGTGATCAATAAATGTTCGCCTGGTTGAAGGTGTAGGGACAAGGTGGGACACACTACGTCACAATTCGGTGTTACAATGGGGACGTTTTTAAGGACGATTTCGTTTGATGAGGTGTAGATTATCTTTCCTGGAACCCAAAAAAAGTATAAGAAAATTATTAGAAGTGATTCTAAGTCACTTAGAAAGACTCAGAATTTATTCTAAGACTCTTGGGATATCATGGAAACACGTTAAATCAATTTAGGTCATATTCTAAGTCTCTATATGACTTAGAATTTATTCTAGAAAACTTAGAATTTCTTAGAATGACTTAAAATCATCTTAGAATCCATTCTAAGTCCTTTAGAATATCTCAGAAACAAGGTAAATAATCTCAGAATCCATTCTAAGTCCCCTAAAAAGTCTCAGAATAACAAAAATCTCCCTACCTTTAGGTACAGGCTGGTCCCCTTTGAACTCAATCTGAAACCCACTCTTGATATCATCCCCACCATTTTTCTGCACCACAGTCTTCGTATACTGCCCATTGGACACCTCCTCCAACACATGGAACATATTAGCAACCCTCGCAGTATGCCCAGCCAACTCCACAACATCCTTATACGAAGACATCAGTCTCTCCACGGCGTTACTCCCAGTAAGCAACAGATTCTTCGCGGTGGTAAAATAATGCGTGCGTTCAGATATAGAATCTCCATTCGGAGACCCACCCTGAACCATTATGGGCACATCCCCTGTACTTCCAACCACATTAGCAGCAAAAGAACTTTTACTTTCACTCTTAGAATTCTCCTCTCTGGTACTACCCCCACCACTTGTCGCATTCATCAAAATCGGCAGGGATACCACAACCATCCCAGTCCCACTCCACACATACTTCATCAAAAACTGCTCCAACATCACAAACCACAACTTGACCCCAAACATATGCTCCATATGCTGACACAGAATTCTGTAAGCATTCTTCAAATGTGACAACTCCACCTTCTGCCCACCATAGAAAGCAATCTCCTCTGCATTGGTAACCAATCTGGTATGCACATGTCTAAGGTACCCTTTCTTCTCTGCTTCCTGGGCGACCAACTGTCCGAATCTAGGACTGACCAGTCTCAGAATCAACGCGGAAACAACCACAACCGCACTAATCAAAATAGGTCCTGTGATAATATTCGCATTTCTACTCCTGGTCAAATTCGCCAGGGCAATCGCCATCAATAAAATATCAAACAACGGTTTCGTAATCTGACCATAAAGATGACTCACAGTATTCGCCACAATTTCTATGTCATCCGTTAATCTTTGCGCGCAGTTATCCAACCTGCCATCCAAGACTGTCACTCGGTAGTAGCTTTGATTCTTGAAGTATAACTGGTAACTATGGTTGACCAATCTGGTCCTGAACGCCAGAGCAATTCGCGATTCTAAGTATTTGATCATGGAGTTGATGAAGGTTGCAGGTATGGCGACTCCGAACCACTTGAGGAGTTGTCTAATGAAGTTTTGGGTTCTTTCCGCACGATGTATTTGACTATGGCGCCCTCTAGGTTCGCCACGTAGATGCTTAGGAAGGTCCGCAGGAAGAGGAACATGGTGTGACCACTCAAAAGTGCGGTTTCTGTGCAGAATAGGTTGGGGATCATGATGCGGACCAGTTTGAGGAATTGTAGGATGAAGGTAAAGTTTAGGGCGGGGATGTTTTTGCGTAGGCGGGAGCGGATACCTTTGGGTTCCGAGGGTTTTGATGGTAGGACAGGGACTAGGTTGTTGTTGACGCTGTCGTGTTGTTTGTTCGGTTTGTTGATGAGGGAGTCCACAAGGGGGTAGGCCACTTTCACGCCGTAGGTGATGAGGACGGCGCCGACGAATGCGCGGGAGAGGTTTTGGGGTGTCATGGCGGCGAGGACGCCATGACGCTCGAGGAGTTTTGAGAGTGTTGCTGGCATTTTTATCGTTGTTTTTTTTTAAGGTTTCTTAAATTTTATTAAGAAATGTTTGGTGGTATGCTGGGTTTTGGAGCTAGAAGGTGTTCTTCATGGTTCCTGAAATATAAATAGATATGATTTAGTTTATTTGAGGTTAGATTATGGTGTTTTGAGGTTATGTTATGTGGAAATGTGTGTTTTTTGTTAGTGGTTTAGAAAATTGCTGATTATTTGCACAAATTTTATGCGATTTTTATAAATTTGGTATGGAATAATAGCTGGTTAAATTGTTTATCAGCCTGGGTAATAATAATTTGATTAAATTTTGTTGCAAGGTGAGTTACAGGGTGTTAAAGTTTATATTTAACCAAATTTATGATAATTTTGGTAATAAAATGCATTTGGTTGGAAAATTAGGGATAAATTCTACAAAATTAACGCAAAAGTTATAAATGAAGCATAAAATAATAGCCAATGAAATAATCTATCACCCTGTGTTTCAATGTTTAATTTTGATCACTTTATAAGTCACTTTACAGGATGTTGAAGTTAATACTTGGCGAAAATCACAATTACTTAGTCATGAAAATGCACTATCTCATTAAAATACGTATTACTTTCTCAAATTTTACACTAAATTAATAAACTATGCATGAAATGAAAGACAGTTAAATTATCTATTACCTTGTTAATGAATATTGTGTTTAAAATGGTTTTTAAGATAATATACCGAGTGTTGAAGTTCATTTTATGATAATTTAGTCCAAAAATGCATTTTGTTAGAAAATTAATGATATTTTCTACAAATTTAACACAATTGTTATAAATTAAGCATAAAATAACAGCTATTTAAATAATGTATCATCCTATATATGAACATTTGACTTAAGTCAGTTTTTAAGTCAATTTACATGATGTTAAAGTTAATACTTGACAAAATTCACGATTATTCACTCATAAAAATACAATCTGCTAGAATATTACCTCACAAAACTTGTTAAAACTCTAAAAAAACTTCATAATCTCAACAAATATTATACATGACTTAATAAATCTTCCATACCAAACATTAAACCAAATTATTTCCACTACAAAAACCTTAAAAACACGAAAAATCCCCTAAAATGCCTCCCAACATCCAACAAGGACAACACTCATCGTTAAAAACAAATTGAAACATGACTTCTATTCTTAATTCGAAATTTTTTCGTGGTCACGGTTGGCGTCGCCTTCCAAATCCGTTGCGACATCCGCGCACGCAACCTGATTACCAAAACCAACATGGCCGCCGAATCAAGGACGGACGAGATACATATCCACATAATTCGATATGGTTATCATCAATAAACTACGGTGCGAGCGAGTTTCATTCCATTCCATAGCAATCAATTGCCCAATGAGTTGATTTTCAACTTTAAGACACATTTAAGACACAAGTGAGATTTCAACCGGTTCAGACGCGGTCATGGTGAATTAGTAAACCGCGGTGGTGTGGAGCAGTTGGTCTTCAACTCTAAATTGATTTATATTTAAACGCATTGCAACTTGCGAAAATGCAAGTGTAACAATTATGAAATGCGAAATAAAATTATGAACGCGACGTTCACTTTGCGCAATTTCCATTCGCGTATCGCGGCCATGCGCAGTGAATGCAAACATGCACCACGAGTAGGTAAACACTGGAAGCAGAAAAATATTACAACTTTGTGCGCTATTATTAAAATTAACACATTCATATCATCAGGTGTGTGATAATATGTGATGACTGTTACGATGCGTCCATGCTTCAAACACACAATTTTATTCCTCTGTTTTTTTTTTTAATTTTTTATTTATTTTTTATAAATAAATAATAATAATAATGATATTGTTAAAGAATGTGTAATTGTGCAGTGTAACCTTCTAGGTTTCTTGTGCACTGCTGGTCACCAGTGCGTTGCTGCATTTGTTGCGCTTATTTCGCCGATGATTGCAACAAAAATGTGTATTACGCTGTCATTACGCTCGGTGCCTTCTACACTTAGCCTCCAATCTCCCAGCGTAATCGGTTTCACCTTTTATAAGCTTCTTTTTCTTTAAGAAGTAAAGTGTATTTTGTCATAAATTCACTTTTTATTTGGTTTTTATTTAATGTTTTGAGTATGTATCAACTTTAACACCCTGTAAATATTTATCTGTTGATTGTTTATTGTTTGTTTATTGATGGTATGTTAGATGATATTATTAGGTTTAATTTTGTGTGAAATTTTGTTATTTGTTGTTAAATTTGTAGAAGTTATAAGAAATTAATTGATGTTTTGCATTTTTATCGTAAGTTTTTACTAATATGAACTTTAACACCCTGTAAATTGGAGTAAAAATTGTTTAAACAAAATTATTAATGAAAAAATTGGTAGATAATTTAACTGGCTGTTATTTTATGCCTAATTTATAGCTTTTCCATAAATTTTGTAGAAATTATCAGTAATGTTCTAACAAAATGCATTTTTAGGTTAAAATAATGTAATATAAACTTCAACACTCCGTAAATTATCTTAAAAACAATTTTCAACAAAATATTCATTACCAAGGTAATATATAATTTAACTATCTCTCATTTCATGCATAGTTTATTAATTTACCGTAAAATTTGAAAAAGTTATCATCAATTTTCCAAGCCATAAAATTTTAAGACCACATAATTAAAAATTAAACCTCACATTAACTTTAACACCCTGTAAACCATCTATAAACACATTTTTATAAACAAAACAATAACCCACCTCATAAACAATCTAATTACCTTCAATTCTACACCAAAATTTTTAAAATATCATAAAAATTATAAAAGTTATCAAAGAATTACTAAAACATAAACATTTCCTAACAAATTTTCCAAATATCAACTTTAACACCCTATAAACACCACCAAAAACACAAAAACTATTATTCATACAATACAAACCAACAGACAATTTATTCCTCTATAATCATATCTAAAAAATTTTGTCATAACCACAAAACTCACAGAGTTATCAAACAATTACTAAAAAATTTCATTGCGTCATCCACAATCTTGTCTAACAATTGACTTCAAAGTTTAAAGTAACAAGTTCAAGCACTCATTTATCCAATATAATTCCTACATAAAATAATCTCTAATATAACATTGTTCTAATACTCTACTCAATTAATATTAATAATAATAAAAAGTCTACTAAATGATCACACAAAATATAATGTAACATAATTTCTACTGTGATATGATATAATTGCTCATCGAATTGCACAATTAACCAGTCCAGAGGTCAAGATAAAATCACAAACACGTGTCAGTACACTGACAGAATCTCACAACATCAAAACAAAGTGACATTGAATCTTTTCCGCACTCAATTCATGCTTATTACGCGCATTTAACTTGAAAATTGCAATTTTTCTAATTTCTAATAAGTAATCAATTGAAATTTACCTCAGTATTAATTTTCTCCACTCACACAGACGTGTCGGGTATCGCACAATAATTGCATCAACGTTTACGACGCCTAATTTGTTAATTAGCGCCCGTATCGCGCGAATAATTGCCGCGTTAATTGCCGATCGGCACTCACACTTCACGTTGCAACTGGCGATCGCGGACGTTAATCACCGAGTAGTGTCGACGCGCTAGACACGGATAGGCGAATATTAATCGTTTATTATCAGCGGTGGTAAAATAGATATGGATAAATCTATTATTTGATTGAGTGCGGAGGTTTTGGGTGATAAGAGCAAGGACTTTGAGATTGCGGCGCGGTTTGTGGTGAATTTGATGTTGATTATGGAATATTTTCGTATTGTTGCATATTTTACTATCAAAAGTTATGTAAGTTGATGGGTAATTTATTTGGGTTTAATTTGATGTATGATTTGTTGTTGTATTGTTAAAATTGTGATTGTTATTAATAATTTTGTGGTGGTTTGCGTGTTTTGGTTAAAATGTGAAAATATTGATTTTTAGTTTGATTCATTTTGTGACCACTCTGTATATTAAAAGTATAATGTTCTTGCATAAAATTATAGATAATTTAATTGGCTTTAATTTGAAATATAATTTATTATTGTAGTGTTAATATTACGTTTGTTATTAACAATTTAGTGAACAATTTTGTGATTTTTGAGATTAAAATTGAAAAATGTTAATATTTTTAGTTTGATCATTATTTATGGACATACTGTATACTGAACGAGGATTATTAATATACAAGGTGATAGATAATTTAATTGGCTTCAATTTGAGATGTAATTTGTTGTTATAGTATAAAAATTGCGTTTGTTATTAATAATTTTGTGAGAAGATGCATTTTATAGTATTTTTATGTTTCTTGTTTTTAAATTGTTATTCATGGCCATACTGTATATTAATTATTATGTTTATAGATATGAGGTGATAGGTAATTTAACCAGCTTCAATTTAATATATAATTTATAGTTATAATCTTAAAATTGTAATTGTTATTAATAATTTTCCACAATTATCACATTTTTATAGATTTTACAGCGCACAAAACAAAGTTCAATGTTTAAACAAATTTTACGACCACCCAGTATACAAAAACAAAAATGCTTCAACCAAAATTATAAACAATTTATCTGACTACAGTTTAAAACAAAATTCATCATCGTAGCGCAAAAATTACGCCCGTTATAAACAATTTACCTTGAAACCTCAAATATAATCATTTTTACTATTAAATTCCTTATCACAGCCACACTATCAACAAAAACCTGAATTTAATGATAATATATTATAAATAATCTAATTACCCAGACATACACATTAAATTTACAACTATAACATAAAAATTATACAAGTTATTAACAATTTTCCAATCTCCATCAAAAAAAGCACCAAATTAAAATAAATTACGAAGTTAATTATCAATTTACAAGCAAACCATACACGCATACTTCAAAATTTCTTCACTACTCCTTAGAAAATTTAATTAACTTTAATATAACACATAAATTATTATGATTTATTGCATATTTTGACATTTCATGCGCAATTCCATCGCGCAATCCAGTTTTGATTTCTTACACGCTGAAATGTGTAACAATCGTTACATTTGTAACACATTTACCGCACACAATTGTTAACGCGTTAATTTAATGCTTTGCCGAGTCGACAATGCGATAAGTAAACAAACCTAACCAACACAATGTAGTAATAAACAAATACATAACCGGCTGCCGAAAAAATCCGTCTTATATTATGAGTTACAAGGTGTTTCAAGAAGGATTTTTAGGTCATCCGCGTTAGCGAGTCAATGACACAGTGCACAGTACTTTTAATAAGTGGATAAAAGTCGCGAGACGAGCGCAAATTATAATTAACGCTCAATGCCACATTGAAAATTGCTGCGAACGTGCTGCCGATTGTGAAATTTACGCGACGTGTCGTCAACGACAAGAAACAAAAGAGTTGAAGAGGCAAGAGTTTTTGAAAATTGATTAGGACATGTTGTGGATGGGTAATTAACGCGGTGATATGATAATTAAGCGTTTAAGTTTACTTGGAATGGAAAAGTTTGCAATTTTGAATGAAATTGTTTATAATAAGCGGAGTTTTTGCGCTATGAGCATGAATTATGTCTTAAACGAAAGACAGTGATTAGTGTGGCAGGAAAATGCAAATAATTAATGAGTTTTAAATTTTCAAAAGTGAAAAATACTTAAAAATGTGTTTTTGGTGGAAATTTGTTTATAATATTCGTAATTATTGTACTACAACAATAAAATATATCTTAAATTAAAGCCAATTAAATATTCTATAAGTGTATGCAAGAATATTTTAAATTTGATATACAGGGTGGCCATAATATGTAATTAAATGTGTGTCATGTATAATTTCATTTTTTAGTCTCAAAATTCTGAATTTCGTCAATAAATTGTTAATAATAAACGCAATTTTGGCACTAGGATAACAAATTGTATCTTAAATTAAAGATAAATAAATTATCGAGCGAACTGTTCAATAGTAATTCATATTTGATATACAGGGCGATCATAATAATTGATTAAACATGTATTTAACATGTAAACACTAAATTGTTAATAACTAACGCAATTTTGGTACCATAACAACAAATAATATCTCATATGGAAGCCAATTGAATTATCTATCACTCTGTGTATTAATATTCAATGCTTAATATACAGTATGTTCATAAATAATGTCTAAACTGAAAATATTACCATTTTTTAAATTTTAATCTCAAAAAAACGAAAGTGTTCACTAAATTGTTAATAACAAACGTATTATTAACACTACAATAATAAATTATATCTCAAATTAAAGCCAATTAAATTATCTATCATCCTATAAAACAATATTAAACTTTTAAAATACAGAGTGACCTCAAAATTAAATCAAACTAAAACTATAATATTTTAATACTATAACCACAAAATTATTAATAACAACCGCAATTTTCACACTACAACAACAAATTATACCTCAAAATAAACCCAATTAAACAATCAACAACACCCTATACAAATATTCAACCCCACATATACAGGGTACCCAAAAAATCAAATTAAAATCAAATTAAACAAAAAAAAAGCATCAAATATCATTAACTCTCAAACAAAAACTAATAACTCTCTTAAAAAAAGACTTAATAACATAAATTTGTGAAATTTAACGTATTATGCTCCATGTTACAACATCAACGTGCGTCAATGGCCGAAAAAAACTATCTCACCTTTGCAATCAAGCGTATCTCGACGAATAGTCTGCGTTGATCCTTGGATTGACGTCAATGAATCCAAATCCACCAAATTCATAGCAATAAAATACCCAAACATAAATCGTTCACCAATTAAATTAAAATTAATTTAAATATAAACACACACAGATTACAACAACATTCGACACACAAACAAAGCACAAGAAATCCTATTGTATGACTAATCGAATCAACGACAATCAGACAATCGAATGTTTGTCGAACAAGTCACGCCGGGAATGACTCAAGATAATCAACACGCAAATTTTAAATGATCACATGTTGTTACACTGTTGTTTTCGACCGAATCGTGGATTTGTTTGGGGCGTCGAAGGCGAGTAGTGAAACAGCTGAGCGTCGCGGGGTCGCGGCGCAACTGACGCGGACTGACTGTGTGGTGTGTGTAGTGTGTGTGGCTTGCTGTTGTTGACTGCTCGCGATGGATGTGGGATACAATGTGTGCTTCTCACTTGATCTTATGGGAGTGTGGAAGAGTGTGTCTCGTTCTGTGTGTCTGCGGCGTGTGCGCAGAGTGGCAGGAGGCCAGCAGGAGTTCAGTTCAACACATGCGCATGCATAGTGGAACGATACAGTTTCGTACTCACTCTCTATCACTCTCGATTGTGACGCATGACGCAATAACAACTTTACCGATTTTATGTATACGGTGGAGGAGAAGAGATGCAGTTTGGGTGAGTTGTGACGCTTGTGACTTGCATTTTGCAGGCGTTGCGGTGGATTGTTACATATTGGAGTACGTGAGGTTAGTGGTTGTCATTCTGGTTGTCATTTGTTGTATACTAACGCCACTGGTACATTGCGGTGGGATTTAGAACTATGTGAGGGTGAAGTGCGTAGGTAGATGTCAAAAATGTCATTTTCGTTGTGATTTGACAGTTTTCACCTGAAATTAAGTTTTTAGTTGTTTTTAATAGTTATAAACACAAATTTGGTGAGTTTAATATATAGTTAACTATAATTTACTTACCTAAACATTGAAATATCAGTTCAATGTCTGTTTTTGTCTGGTAAATCATGACTTTGATGTAAATTTATATTAAATCTAACCTTGTTCTTTGATAAACTGCAATTTATGACTGAATATTCAATTAATCTAATTAATTTAACTAATATTCATGCAATTCTAACCTTTGTGATGTTTTTTTGTTGTGTTTTATGTTTTATTTTTTATTTTGTGAGTCTTTTGATGTTTTGCTGCGTGTTTTGTGCTTTGTGCTTGTCATTCACTAACGCCACTGTCACATTGCGGCAATATTCAGAACTAAATGACTATAAACTGCGCATGCGTACATAAAAATGTCATTATAATGACATTACGTGTTTTTTTATTTAAAAAAATAGTTGTTATCACTTAAAAACACAAATTTTATGAATATAATAAACAATTACCATTAATTTACTTACCTGAGCATTGAATTATCACTTCAATGCCTCTTTAATAATGATAAATAATTAATTTATTATATAAATTTAATAAAACCTAACCTTGTTCATTCATAAACGTTGATTCATACCAAAATATTCAATTAATTCAATTAATATTCATAGATTTTAAATTTTTTCCACTGTTTTTTGTGTGTTTGACTTTAAACTTTGTGGTCGGCGTGTCCTTGAAGCAGTTGTGTGTTAGTTTAGCACGTAAATGATAAAATTAGACAAACATTTTATTGTAACTTGGCTCAGTTATCTAAACATTCAAACATAGACCCACTTTTTGTTCCTCTTCTCGGTATTTTTTTTTTGGGTGTGTGCTAATTGTTTTCATTTACGTCTTTTCCACATTTTTTATTAATTTTTTGGTTGATTATACATTAATTTCTCATTAAAGTTTTTGTTAAATTTTACATTTCGTGGGATAAATTGGTGCTAAATTACGAAAATAATAATAAAATAAGTTTAATTAAAGTTTTTGATGGTTTCTAGTTGACGCAATCGGGAATATTGCGTTTTATGGCTTTTTTTACGTCAAAGTTCATTAAATTAATGAAAAAATTGTTTTAAAATGTTGCTATTTGATGCGATTAATGATTTAAACAGTTAATTTCGTGCCGTACCTTAAAATTATTGAGAAATTCGCGCGAAAAACGAAAATTACGCAAGAAAACTAATAAAATCAATAATAGTTATAAACACAAATTTGGTGAGTTTAATATATAGTTAACTATAATTTACTTACCTAAACATTGAAATATCAGTTCAATGTCTGTTTTTGTCTGGTAAATCATGACTTTGATGTAAATTTATATTAAATCTAACCTTGTTCTTTGATAAACTGCAATTTATGACTGAATATTCAATTAATCTAATTAATTTAACTAATATTCATGCAATTCTAACCTTTGTGATGTTTTTTTGTTGTGTTTTATGTTTTATTTTTTATTTTGTGAGTCTTTTGTGTTTTGCTGCGTGTTTTGTGCTTTGTGCTTGTCATTCACTAACGCCACTGTCACATTGCGGCATAATTCAAAACTAAAAGACTATAAACTGCGCATGCGTACATAAAAATGTCATTTTACTTGACATTTCGTGTTTTTTATCTAAAAAAATAGTTATTATCAATTAAAAACACAAATTTTATGAATATAATAAACAATTACCATTAATTTACTTACCTGAGCATTGAAATATCACTTCAATGTCCCTATTACAAAAAGAAATAATTAATTTTAATATAAATCTATTATAAAACCTAACCTTGTTCATTCATAAACGTTGATTCATACCAAAATATTCAATTAATTCAATTAATATTCATAGATTTTAAATTTTTTCCACTGTTTTTTGTGTGTTTGACTTTAAACTTTGTGGTCGGCGTGTCCTTGAAGCAGTTGTGTGTTAGTTTAGCACGTAAATGATAAAATTAGACAAACATTTTATTGTAACTTGGCTCAGTTATCTAAACATTCAAACATAGACGCGGCTTTTTGTTCCTCTTCTCGGTATTTTTTTTCGGTGTGTGCTAATTGTTTTCATTTACGTCTTTTGGATAATTTTACCATTTTTTTCTTTTTTCTTTGCTTGATTAAACATTAATTTCTCATTAAACTTTTTGTTAAATTTTACATTTCGTGAGATAAATTGGTGCTAAATTACGAAAATAATAATAAAATGTGTTTAATTAAAGTTTTTGATGGTTTCTAGTTGACGCAATCGGGAATATTGCGTTTTATGGCTTTTTTTACGTCAAAGTTCATTAAATTAATGAAAAAATTGTTTTAAAATGTTGCTATTTGATGCGATTAATGATTTAAACAGTTAATTTCGTGCCGTACCTTAAAATTATTGAGAAATTCGCGCGAAAAACGAAAATTACGCAAGAAAACTAATAAAATCAATTTATTTTCATTGATTTTTAAAAGTTTTTTCCAATAAATAATTGCAAAATTGTTTAATTTACTCTTAAATAAGTTTATTAAACAATTTATTGCATAAAAACCTGGAATTTGTTGTTTTCAAAGCCGTGGAACAGAAAAACATCGCGTTTTTATTCATTATTTTCTTAAATTTCTTCCAACTGCGACAAAAACAGTCTCAAAACATACGTAATTAAATTGTTTATCACTTCACATGTTAACTCCATAAAAAGAGAGTTTTCTGACCTCAAAAACGCAGCAAAAACATCAAAATTGAGAAGATTTAAAAAAAAAATCAAATAAGATTGAATTTTTACGTGAAATTTTATACTTTTCTCATTAATAGCATGCAAAATCTCTAAAACAACCGTAGAATGTCATTATTTTAATGTTTAAAACATAAAAAAATAGAAATTTGACATTTTCTATTGGTAGTCATGCGAAACATAACCTCATCAGAAAAAAATCCCTAGATTTCACAAATTTGACAGTTGTAAAGTGAAACTTAATTTTCCAACCTATAAATCACTTAATCTGCATTTAATGCGCTGAAAAACGACGCACAGAGATAAATTACAGGCGAATAAATGCTGGAAATCGAAACTGCTAAAGAAGCAGGTGGTATATCGCAGCTAATTGCACATAATGACCTTTTCAACTACATCTTAACTCGCATATCTTAAGTTGGCGTGTATACTTGGAGTCAAAGAACCTGGACAAGTTTCGTGTATGCTTAAAGTCAAAGTAAGTTAAAGTTAAACTTTGAGAAGGTAAGTAAGTAACTTTCATTTTCTTTTTCGTCGATGTATGTATGCGCATGTGCAGCGCGTTTTCCGTTTCCTGTTGCCACCTTCACTGCATCGCGTGCGATTCGTCATTTCGTGTCTTATTTGTGTGTACCAACTCGTAGTTTGTTCGAAAGTGAATTTTATTGTTGGGATTATGCGCAATTTCAGCCGGCGTACAATATGTGCACTTCCGCGTTGATCGATGAGAGAGAAATTTAAATATTACTTAGTTGATTGAGGTGATAGTGTAATTTGTGTTTTGATTGCGTGCGAGTGCGAGTTTGGTTGTTGAGACAATTGCAATCGGTTGTTTTGACTGAACGCGGTTTGCTGGTCGAGTTTTTTTAGGTTGTTTGCGCAATCTGGGACGTGTTTTAATTGTTGGTCATTATTATTAACATCATTGGCGTAATATGTTTGTAAAATATCGGAATATCGACGTATAATGTTGTTATTTTTGTTGATGTTGAATTATTTTTGAGTAAAATGACATAAAAAGCGTAAAAACTTACATTTATTTCGGGATTTTAGGTTAAAAACTTGTTTTTTCGATGATTTTACTTAAAATGGGTTTATTGTGTGACATCTGTCAAAAAGGTTATCTAGGGATATTAATTTTGGTTAGTTCTGCATGGCTACCAACTTATTTTTTTATCTAGGGATGTTTTTTTCCATTTAGGGTAATTTTGCATGGTTACCAACTTAGTTTTTTTTATCTAGGGATGTTTTTTTTTTCATTCAGGGTAGTTTTTTTACTACTACCAACCTATTTTTTCCTAGGGGATTTATTTTCGATTTAGGGTAGTTTCTCATGTCTACCAACTTAATTTCTTACTAAATTTCTATCTGAAATTTGTCTCTGGTATTAATTTAATCTACTTAACGGTTTTTATTCATCAATCAACTGTACTTAACTTGCTCAACAGCTCTGGCTACAAAATAAACGAAATCCAAACAGTGTATCAGCGAGATCGTATCTTTTTATTGCTTTTAAGCCTCGCGGCGTTCCTCATAAGTCATGCGGAAGAAGAAATCGAACAAGAAAGACAAAAGTTCGTTGAACTTTCTTTTCGTCGACTTAACACATAAAATAAGTCCAAACGAAAGTCTTCCAAATGATTTATACTCAATAAAACTTCCTAGAGACTCTAAAAACGTTTTTTAACGTTTTAAACAATAGATTATAAATAATATTTATTTTGTTTATACTTTCACTTAAAATTTATGACGTGTTTATATTTCCAGTTAAATTTTATGATCATCAGCATAAAATTTTACTGGTTTTTAAAGTTTTTATTATTAATTTAATATTTTTTCATTTTGAAACACTCAGTATACTAATATCACTAAATATTTTACAGGTTGGTAGTATTTCACCGGTCGTTAATGTTCGTGTTAATTCGTTTAGTTGTAATAATGTCACCGCTAGAGGGCTTGCGATTAGTTTCCTGACACAAATGGCCGCCGCATCGCGTTGACTTACATCAATCGCATCAGAAATTCATCGATTATAATCAATCGCGAGTGTTGTAAACTCTTAAATAGTGTGTAATCAGTAGACGGATAACTATTCTAAGTGCGCGTATAGGTGTCAGCTTATTTACCGCCCCGGATGGACACTAGTCGGGTCGCAACCGGACGCATTGCTCTTCGCCGCTGGGCTTACGTGATGTTTATGTCAACAACAATGGCGGATCCGACGTGTTTTGTTTAGCAAAAATAGTGCGATTTTCGTGGATTACTAATTGAATACACACACGATACCAGAGTCATTAGTCACCCGGCGAGAAAATGGCCGAGTCAAAGCCTCGGTATGTTTTTTCACGTAATATTAAATAATATTTCTTAATATTTTTATTTGTTGCAGGATTATGGTGTTTAGGCCTAGTTATGATGAGTTTAAGAACTTTTCCAAGTATATTGAACACATGGAGAGTATGGGGGCACATAAAGCAGGCCTAGCTAAGGTATTACACTTATATTTTAGATTTAAAATCAAAAATTTCATAACTTTACATAAAATGCCATAAATTTCACATAAAAACAAAAATTAATTTGTTTTTGTTGATAGGTAATACCTCCAGAAGAATGGGTGCCTAGAAAAGCCGGTTATGATGTAGATAAACTACATATTGACATCCCGGCACCTATCTGTCAAGTGGTGACAGGCAAACAAGGCTTGTATCAGCAGATTAACATTCAGAAGAAAGCAATGACTGTGAAGCAATATCGCGATTTGGCTAACTCATCGCAGTACTGCACGCCACGGCACTTTGATTACGAAGATCTCGAGCGGAAGTACTGGAAAAACATCACCTATGTTGCGCCGATTTACGGCGCTGATGTTAGTGGCACTTTAACTGATCCAGAAGTTGAAGTAAGTGAATTTTTGTGATATTTTTAGTTATAATTTTAACAATAAGCAACAGAGAGTAAATATTTTGATTGGTGTTGATAAAGAGTTTAATTCTGTGTTTATTTATGTTGGAATTAGGAGGATTGGAGGTTTATTTTAGGAGTTATTGACAAATAACGCGAGTTTGTTGAAATTTTAGTAAATTTGTTAGTTTGTTTGTTTTTTGCTTGTAATTTTTAAAATATTGATTGAATGTTTAATTTTTTTGTTTTATTAGATGCAGAATTTAATTCTTTATCTAGTAATCTTTAAATTATGCTGATTATAACTTTGTGGGAAAAGTTACTAAGCAAAATTTGAGTAATTTCGAGTTTTTTTAAGGAAAAATTTTAGTTTTTGCCTCATATCTTCCAAATTATTTGTTTAAAACGCAAATTGTTTTCATCAGTAGATGCAGAATTTAATTCTTTGTCTAATTGCATATGAATTGTAAAATTTATAACTTTGTGCAAAAAGTTATTTAGCAAAATTTGAGTCATTTCGAGGTTTTTGTAAAGAAATTTGCAATTTTTTCTTCATAACTTCGAAATTATTGGTTTAAAATGCAAACTTGTTTCAATATTAGACGCAGATTTTAATTCTGTATCTAATAATATATAAATTGCACAGATTACAACTTTGTGTAAGAAGTTATTAAGAAAAATTTGACGAGTTTCGCAGTTTTTTTCAACAAAATTTTAGTTTTTTCCTCATAACTTCCAAATTATTTGTACAAAATGCAAACTTCCTTCATTATTAGACACATAATTTAATACTGAACACACCACAATTCAAATAACAACCCTACCACTAATACTCTACGAATAATCAGTAAAAAATCTAACAATTTCTACGTTATTTTTCAAGGAATGGAACATAAACAAACTCGGAACAATCCTGGACTTAGTCAACGAAGACTACGGCATCTCAATTGAAGGCGTAAACACCGCCTACTTATACTTCGGCATGTGGAAGACCACCTTCGCCTGGCACACCGAAGACATGGACCTCTACAGCATCAATTACCTACACTTTGGCGCACCGAAAACATGGTACGCCATTCCCCCAGAACACGGCCGCCGATTAGAACGCCTCGCAAACGGATTCTTTCCTCCACTGGTAAAATCATGTCAAGCGTTCCTCCGGCACAAGATGACGCTGATCAGTCCACAGGTCCTCAAACAATATTCCATTCCATACAACAAGGTATAAAACACTTTAAAATAAAAATTAAAAAGTTTTGTGTTAAATATTTGTTATTAATTTGTAGATAACACAAGAAGAGGGTGAAATAATGATCACATTCCCCTACGGTTACCACGCCGGGTTTAATCACGGATTCAACTGCGCGGAAAGCACGAATTTCGCCGCGCCCAGATGGGTGGAGTACGGCAAACGCGCATCACACTGCACATGCTCCAAAGACATGGTGAAGATCTCCATGGACACATTTGTGAAGCGTTTCCAACCCGAACGCTATGAGAAATGGCTGCAAGGCTGTGATATCGGACCGCATCCGGAGGAACCCAATCGCCAGGTGGCAGCACCTCACCCCAACGCGTTGGACATCCTGTGTAATAAAAACAATCCGGAATTACCGTCGAATTTCACGCTGCCGAAGAAACCCGGCCGCAAGGGTAAAAACTTCAACAATATGAATTTATCTCTAATGGAATTCTCACCGGAGTTACAAAGGCAAATCATAGAGGAGGATATGGCGGATGCGGCGGCTGGAAGGGATGACGTAGCGCCCGATGAGCAACAGATGGAAGTCCTCGAGGATATCTGGCTGAAAGCAGGGGAGATTGAGATTGAAGACGCGACTGTCTACGATGATGGATACAAGGTCAACTCACCACATCGCAAGAAGGGTAAACGGAAAAAGGAGAAGAAGATGATTGGCGAACGGCGCAAGCGCACGAAAAAATTCCTGTTGACTTAGCACCGGAGGATATAAAACCAGTGGATATTTTTGCTGCTACGACGAGTTCCGGTGGGCAGGCGGAACCCAAGAAGATTTGCGGACCGATTATAGCGCCACCATTGACTCCAGCGAAGAAAAAAGCAGTGGAGTCAATTATCGCTCCGCCAATAATCAGAAATCCATTGGATATATTATCAGGTAGGCAACTTTCATTACATACATGTCAAAATAATATGTCATAATGTAAAATTTAGTTGTTGCAGTTAAAGAAGAGCCGCTAGAGGGCACCACGTCAATCGACGCCATCATTAAAAAAGCAGAACTTGAACACATTAATCACCTAAGAGTCAAAGAAGAAGAGGATGAGGATACACCACGACCGGATTACAACGGCGCATACTTGAACTTCCTCTCACAGGGGTCAACAGTGAGTAGAATACCTGGTTTACAGGTGAATAAAGACTACAATCGTAAAAAGTCACGAAAATCAGCGAATCCGAAAAACGTCAAGGATATAACCGTGCTCAGCGTGAAAGATTGCCCGAATCTACTCACAGCTGACCGAATGCCGGTGCTCTGCCGGCAGGAACACACAATGCCCGCCATTAAACTGGAGTATAACGAAATGCCTACGTTGAATCCAACTGTCAGCGCTGGTGGAAGTAATAGTAGTAGTAGTAGGGGTTTATATGAGCCGCAGAAGATCAAGATGATGCGCATACCGAAGAAGACCGACCGCTCGTCGCTAGATGACGCCTACATCCAGACCTCGGTGCTGCAGCAGCACGACGCCGCCCAGGAGCGCGCGCCGCCACCGTTCAACGTACGTATAGCCCACCTACCATCAACGTCCTCCGTTGATCCTCACACTAAGTTCACCTTCGTTGACGATGCCGCAGCAGCCGAGGCCGAGTTCGCACCCACACCGGCGGCGCCCGTCGAAATGCGCGCCGGGCGCAATCTCACCCACTCGCTGCTCGTCGCACAGCTCTCCACACAGCAGCTGGAGCAAATCCGCTTCGGGCATCAGGCTGAGCGCGTCCTGCGACAGCAGGTTAGCAACGAGCACGCCCAGGTCAGCCGAGCGATGAAAGCGCCCGACTCTCCAACGCCACCGCCACAGCAGCAACAGAATCAAAAGAAGTCGAGGCGGGCGAAGAAACCACGCGTGCGTAAACCAACACAACACGAACACCACGTAGAGGTTAAGCCGTATACCGCTGAGGATGAGCATTTGTATGCGCATTGTAGTAGTCGTCATCGGGTGGATAAGGTGCTTGTGCAGACGATTGAGAGTCAGTATGCGTTGGATGCTAGTGCGCATGTGCAGGTACATGATGATTTTAGTACGGAGCAGGCGGCGCTGGAGTTTGGTCATGGTGCGGGCGAGAGTGGGGAGCAAAATGTCAATGGGGATGCGGTTTATATGCTGGGGTCGTTGATTTATGCGCCTACGGGGGAGGAAACTATGAAAGAAGTTATTAAAGTATGTATAGTTATATATTATTTGATTAATTATTAATTTTATACTTGAATTATTTTAGACTGAACCTCTGGATCAAGAAGATGGTAAAAGTCAACATGACTTGACGATAGAGGAGCATGATCCTATGGAACACATGTCAAAACAGTATAATGTAAGTGTTTTTCTTTTATAATGTCGGTTTTTTTCACGGTTTTGTGATATAAAATGTCATTGAGTGACATTTGCGTATGTAAAGTTGCCTACATTGCAGCATAAGACTATGAAATGTCATATGCTGTCAGTCAAACATGTCAATGATGGCGCTGCTGCTGCAACGGCAAAGTTGTTAATTATTCGATTGCTCAAACGCTCGCTACGCCCTCTCTCAGCTAATCTCATAACTAAAATTGACACTTACTCATTTTTTACATAAAAATCATAATGTTTTAATTATTTTCCTTATTTTAGGCTGTAGTAAAAGGTATATGGGCAAAACGTGATGATGGTATCTACCGCAAAGGCCAAATCCTCCGCAGCGAGATCGGAATCCTCTGCAGTGTGTTACTCTTGCGTAATGGCGGTCTCCTCCTTGACGTCCCCCACTCCGAAGTAAGCCGTTTGGAACAATCCAGCACTACTACACCCACAAAACCACAGTTTGTTGTGGTGAAACACAATGGCCAGCTATACGATGGTCAACTCCTGGAAGAAACCACCCAAACTCTGCATCACGTGCAGTTTGACGATGGCGTTGTGCAATGTGTACCCGACGCTTGTATCTTGCCGCTGGGCTCGAAGTATCCGCAGCTCATCTCTCAGCTGACGGTTTAAACCTCCTCCTCCTACTTTTATTTCCTTTCCTTTCCTTACCTAGAATTTAATTGTGAATGTTTGAGAATGATTTCGTTTTATTTCTACATTTCGACAAGTATTTATTGCGTTGTATTATGTTCCGTGGATGACAGACACTGTGTGCGCGTGCGTGTTGGGCTCGAAATGATGGACGCATTGCTGCTTAGATTAAGACTGATTGTTGTGGATATTGTGCGCGGGCGAATATCTAGTACAAATTCAATCGTATTTGGTTCGATTACACGTGGTTGACTGTATGGTCTTAGCGAGAGCACTCACATTGTATATTTCCTCGATTGTATAACTGATGAACTTAGTGCTTACAATGTACGAGATTTCAAATGTATTTGATTGTTAATGACGTGTTGCGCGTTGTATGCGCGGATAACGATTATAAGATTAATAACATTGTACAGCCAGTAATTATGCTTGATTAATAGCCTTTTTCTAGTTAAGAAGATTGGGGTTTGTTTTATTTTGTGTCATTGTGATCTATTTTTAGGTTATTTTTCGGTTACAATGGATTTCTTCATTGTGATTGAAGTTGTTCGTTGTCCTGGTGAGGTTATGTTGTAGGAGAGGGGATTCTTTTCAACTTGTGAACCTTTTTGTTGTTTTAAACCCTACAAAAGTGCTACAAGTTGCCTACACAATTATATTTTACTCAAATTTGACTTTTTGTGGAAAATAGCCAGTATCTTTTATACTAGTAGATCAATTTAAAGTTTCTCAACGTCATATCATAGTTGAAGAGTTCTTTTATAATGTGAGTATATTCTTGATCCTTCAAGCTGCCGGCAATTGCCCTAAATTGATCGTCAAAAATAGATTTTTCAGTAACTTTTGTAATTGAGGTTAGAAAACAGCTCATATCTCATGTAATAACCTCGTATTTGCTGATTTTAATATCTTATATCATAGAGAATTTCCTGTAGATTAAGAATCTTCAATCCGTTCTTCTTTATTACTTTTAGTTTACGAGATATTCGCAATTGAAAAAAATGGTCAAAAAAACGAAAAATGTCACTTTTTAGCACTTTCAGTCACGTTTTTGGATCTTTTCCGGCACGAAATTAAATTATTTTTAATACTTATCAGATAGAGAATTTTCCTATCTTTCATAATCTTCAATCCGTTGGTGGCTATCGCTTTTAGTTTAGAAGATATTCCAAAAATACCGATAGTACTCGAAAAAGCAATGATCAAGCATTCTCTTCGCATTGTTTGTTAAGGTTTTTAAAGCACTTCTATGCAGTTTTAATAGTTACCTTGTACCTTATTTGAAAGAACACGTCTTCCTCTACAAAACAACAAAAAGAAAACATATCATAAACGCCTAATTACCAAGATATCAATCAAATAAACACGAAAAATGTCACAACATTCAAAACATTCCCAGATGGCGCCACATACACGCTTAGACCCACACTTACACCTGGATTTACACCAGAAAAACACACACGGCGTAACTACCGATTGTTTTTAATCATAAAACCACTTTAAATCGTGTAATTGCATTGATTTCCACCCCTAATACCTTAAAACAAGTGCCCCAATAAAGAATAACTACTATTATGTGTGAAATTGTGTGCGCGGAGGCTTCCACACACCAAACAATGTAAGAATCTTCTTTATAACCTCAAACAATCTCATTTCTTTAAATATTTAAACATTCACATCATTTTAAAGGAATTAAACCTCAAAAAGAATCAAATAATACCTAAAAATGCTAGCTGCATCAACAAGCATGGCCCCGGCAGGGGTCGGAGACGCCACAACTGCACAAACAACACAAATGAACAAGTTCCGCAGCTATGTCAACATGTTAGTCGATCCTGGAGTCAAAGATGATATAAAACTCAAAGCCACACAGGAAATCAGCGAAAATTTCGAGGTAAAACACCATAAAACCATCATAATCACCATAATAAAATAATTTTATAAATTCTAGAAAATCCTATCATCAACTTTATATCCAAGTTTCCTCGATCATTCAATGAAAATCTTCCTGAAGATCCTCCAGGAAGGCGAGCCGCATTTCATCGCCGAATACAACATCCAACAAGTGCGTAAACTAATCCTTGAAATCCTCCATCGCTTACCACCCAATGAATCACTTAAACCCTACTTTAAATCCATGCTATCCTTAACATTCAAACTCCTCAAGATAGACAACGAAGAAAACGTCTTAGTCTGCTTGAAAATCATCATTGAACTACACAAACAATATCGCCCTACATTCAACGCGGAAATCCAAGACTTTCTGCAATTCGTCAAGTCAATCTACTCCGATTTACCGTCACATATGAGTAAAATCTTCGAACCGCGTCAACCAATCAAAGTAAAAGATTTATCCAAACTCAACATCGAAGAGTTACTACAGGAAACCTTCACCATAACCACAATACAGACGGAAATGCGTAACAAGGAAGGCACAGTTGTCAGTTACAACCTGATACCCAAAGCAGTTTTGTCTTTAAAAGTCATACAGGAACTCCCGATTATTGTCGTGCTTATGTATCAGTTGTATAAACAATCCGTGGATCAAGACGTGTCGGATTTCATCCCGCTGATCATGAAGACGATTGTTCTGCAACCCTCACCACAGCAGCGACTCTCAGATACATTCAACAAAGAGATTTTCGTTGATTTCATGGGCGCGCAGATAAAATCACTGAGTTTTCTTGCTTATATTATTAAAATCTACCAGGAGGTTGTCTCCTGTCATAGTAAAATGTTAGTTCAGGGTATGTTGGGGTTACTGACCTTGTGTCCAATGGAGGTTGCGCATTTACGAAGAGAATTGTTGATTGCATCCAGGCATATTCTAGCGACAGAGTTACGAAATAGTAAGTAGGCTTTTTTTTATTTATTTTGTTTATTTCTGGTTGTTATGGATTTAAAACTTGTTTTGATTTGTTTTAAATAGAATTTGTTCCGCATATGGAACGCCTCTTTGACGAGGAAGTACTCCTTGGTCGTGGTTGGACAACGCACGAATCACTCCGCCCATTGGCTTATTCAACACTCGCTGATTTAGTGCATCACGTACGTCAACAGTTAACAATGGCGGACATCGCACGTGCAGTGCATCTGTTCAGTAAGAACGTGCATGATGATTCATTGGCGACGACAATACAAACCATGTCGTGTAAGTTATTACTTAACCTCGTTGAATGTATCAAGAAACGTGTGGAGATTGAAACCAGCACGGAAGGGCGTGGGTTACTCATGCGTATGTTGGAGGTATTCGTGTTGAAATTCAAAACTATCGCGAAGATACAACTACCGAAGATGACAGATAAGTGTAAAATGGCCACCACTGGTGGTGGTGGTAGTGGTGCAACAGCGCCATCTACAATGATGAGTGATAATGTTGCAACTACACCTACGATTAAATTAGAGGAAGGTGTAGCGATTAAAACAGAAAAAGGTATTGTTGATTCCCTGGAAGGGTTGGGAGGAGCACCTAAAGAAGAAAAATCCAAGTTTGGATTCCCGCAACCCACGAATTATAACGTGACAGAGTATCGGAGTTTGGTTAAGACTTTGGTGTGTGGTGTGAAGACTATCACATGGGGTGTAGCATCATGTAAACCTAGCCTCAAACATTTTCAACCGCATGAGACGCTTGTGTTTATTCGATTGGTAAAATGGGCGTTGAAAGCGTTGGATATTTATACTTTACAAGTTGGACAGCCAATTGCAGGACCACAGAGGGTTACACAGCAGAGTGTGCGTAATAAGGAAGAAAAAGAGGTTTTGGAGCATTTTAGTAGTGTGGTAAGTTAAGAATTTATGTTTTTTGACATTTACGTATTTTGACATATGTCAAATGTCAAAAAAATGTCAAAATTAACATTTTTTTTGACATTTACGTATTTTGACATATGTCAAATGTCAAAAATGTCAAAATTAAATTATTTTTCTTACATTTACGTATTTTGACGTATGTCAAATGTCAAAAAATGTCAAAACTAACATTTTTTGGCATTTACGTATTTTGACATATGTCAAATGACAAAAAAATGTCAAAATTAACATTTTATTGACATTTACGTATTTTGACATATGTCAAATGTCAAAAAAATGTCAAAAATGTCAAAATTAACATTTTGATTTAAATTTTTTCTAGTTTTCAATGATGCATGCCCAAACCTTCCATGAAATCTTCAGCACAACCATTGAATACGTCGTCGAGCGCGTCTACAAAAACTCCACACTTCAAACAGTACCTAACACCCTCCTAGCCAATCCAACAACATCACCAATCTTCGCGACAGTATTAGTCGAGTATCTCCTCGAGCGTATGGAAGAAATGGGCTCGAATCAAGACCGCAGTAATCTCTACCTGAAACTCTTCAAACTCGTCTTTGGCTCCGTCAGCCTCTTCCCGCAAGAAAACGAAAAAATGCTCCGACCCCACCTGCATCAAATCGTCAACAGATCCATGGAGTTAGCAATGAGTGCAAAAGACCCATTCAACTATTTCCTACTCCTTCGAGCATTATTCCGATCAATAGGAGGGGGAAGCCATGATTTACTCTATCAAGAATTCCTACCATTACTTCCAAACCTCCTTGAAGGTTTAAACCGGCTACAGAGCGGTCTACACAAACAACACATGAAAGATTTATTCGTTGAGCTGTGTTTGACTGTGCCTGTCCGTCTGAGTTCACTATTACCTTATCTACCGATGTTGATGGACCCGCTGGTGAGTGCCCTGAATGGCTCGCATGTTTTAATATCACAAGGATTGAGAACACTGGAGTTATGCGTGGATAATCTACAGCATGACTTTTTATACGAACATATTCAGCCTGTACGCGCGGATTTAATGCAGGCATTATGGCGGACACTGCGGAATCATGACCATGGCCATGTTTCAACAGTTAACAATGGCGGACATCGCACGTGCAGTGCATCTGTTCAGTAAGAACGTGCATGATGATTCATTGGCGACGACAATACAAACCATGTCGTGTAAGTTATTACTTAACCTCGTTGAATGTATCAAGAAACGTGTGGAGATTGAAACCAGCACGGAAGGGCGTGGGTTACTCATGCGTATGTTGGAGGTATTCGTGTTGAAATTCAAAACTATCGCGAAGATACAACTACCGAAGATGACAGATAAGTGTAAAATGGCCACCACTGGTGGTGGTGGTAGTGGTGCAACAGCGCCATCTACAATGATGAGTGATAATGTTGCAACTACACCTACGATTAAATTAGAGGAAGGTGTAGCGATTAAAACAGAAAAAGGTATTGTTGATTCCCTGGAAGGGTTGGGAGGAGCACCTAAAGAAGAAAAATCCAAGTTTGGATTCCCGCAACCCACGAATTATAACGTGACAGAGTATCGGAGTTTGGTTAAGACTTTGGTGTGTGGTGTGAAGACTATCACATGGGGTGTAGCGTCGTGTAAACCTAGCCTCAAACATTTTCAACCGCATGAGACGCTTGTGTTTATTCGGTTGGTAAAATGGGCGTTGAAGGCGTTGGATATTTATACTCTGCAAGTTGGGCAGCCTATTGCAGGACCACAGAGGGTTACACAGCAGAGTGTACGTAATAAGGAAGAAAAAGAAGTTTTGGAGCATTTTAGTAGTGTGGTAAGTTAAGAATTTCTTTTTTTTGACATTTACGAATTTTGACATATGTCAACTGTCCAAAAAATGTCAAAAATGTCAAAATTAACATTTTTTTGACATTTACGTATTTTGACATATGTCAAATGACAAAAAATGTCAAAGTTAACATTTTTTGACATTTACGTATTTTGACATATGTCAAATGTCAAAAATGTCAAAATTAACATTTTTTTGGCATTTACGTATTTTGACATATGTCAAATGTCAAAAAAAAGTAAAAAATGTCAAAATTAACATTTTTTGACATTTACGTATTTTGACATATGTCAAATGTCAAAAAAATGTCAAAAGTAACATTTTGATTTAATTTTTTTCTAGTTTTCAATGATGCATGCCCAAACCTTCCATGAAATCTTCAGCACAACCATTGAATACGTCGTCGAGCGTGTCTACAAAAACTCCACACTCCAAACCGTGCCTAACACCCTCCTAGCAAATCCAACAACATCCCCAATCTTCGCGACAGTATTAGTCGAGTATCTCCTCGAGCGTATGGAGGAAATGGGCTCGAATCAAGACCGCAGCAATCTCTACCTGAAACTCTTCAAACTCGTCTTTGGATCCGTCAGCCTCTTCCCGCAAGAAAACGAGAAAATGCTCCGACCACACCTGCATCAAATCGTCAACAGATCCATGGAGTTAGCAATGAGTGCAAAAGACCCATTCAACTATTTCCTACTCCTCCGCGCATTATTCCGATCAATTGGAGGGGGAAGCCATGATTTACTCTATCAAGAATTCCTACCATTACTTCCAAACCTCCTCGAAGGTTTAAACCGGCTACAGAGCGGTCTACACAAACAACACATGAAAGATTTATTCGTTGAGCTGTGTTTGACTGTGCCTGTCCGTCTGAGTTCACTATTACCTTATCTACCGATGTTGATGGACCCACTGGTGAGTGCCCTGAATGGCTCGCATGTTTTAATATCACAAGGATTGAGAACGCTGGAGTTATGCGTGGATAATCTACAGCATGACTTTTTATACGAACATATTCAGCCTGTACGCGCGGATTTAATGCAGGCATTATGGCGGACACTGCGGAATCATGACCATGGCCATGTTGCGATGGTTGCGTTTAAAGTTTTAGGAAAGTTTGGTGGGGGTAATCGTAAAATGATGATTGAACCGCAAAAGCTTGAATATGTACAGAGTGATTACGATCCACCTGCAATTCTCGCACAATTCCCCGACCAGAAAACTCCACTTGAGTTCCCCGTGGAAAAAGTGATAGAAACCGCGTTTAATGCATTAAAACAAAGCACAACGGATAGTTTCTATCGCAAACAAGCGTGGGAAGTGATTTCTAGTTACCTCACAGCATCACTAGACCTACAAGATGATAAAAAAGTACTTTTAAATCTATTCATGCATGCTAGTTACCAAGATGGCGGTAATATACCGCCATTAAAAGGTGACTCTTACAAATCCGTGTATACACAAGCCAGGGAAACGCATAAAACCGCTCTGATTGGTATGTTCGTCGCTGTGGCCATTAAAGAACTCCGAACGACAGTCATAAGCACACTGGGGAATATCGTCAGGCATTATACAATGGTAGCGGTGTCACAACAATCCGGCGCGTTTGCAACCACACCCAGACCTAATGAACAAGTAACACTTGATCCATTAGTGTTAATCGACGCACTGGCGGTGATAATCGGACATGAAGAGAAGGAATTAATCAAACCTGGACACTTGGCGTTGGTTATTATTATAGATACAGCGACGGCCATCTTGGGATCGCGTGACTTGGCATGCAGGTTGCCTATGGTTGAGTACATCGCTGAGAAAATGTGTGCGTTGTGTTACGAACGCGCATGGTACGCTAAACTCGGCGGATGTCATGCAATTGGATTCTTGATAGGTAAATGTGCATTGCGATGGGTGTACGCACACATGTTCACATTCCTCAAGGCTTTACTATTCGTCATGATGGATTTAACCGGGGAGGTATCCAGCGGTGCGTTGGATCAAGCGAAGAATAATCTAGAAAAAATGATTACTGTCCTCGTAGCGCCTGTGAAAAACGACGGTGATGAGGTTTATCAATCCAAAGCTCTGTGTAAAGTCACTCATGAGTTGGTGAGGCAAGTTACAAGTCCGCATACAATGGTACGTAATCAATCCATGGCTAGTTTGAGACTCCTTGCGGAAAAACAAGGTAAAACCGTCACGGCTGTCATGGAACCCTTTAGGGATGTCTTGGCTGATATGGTCCCACCGACGAAGCATTTGTTGAAACACCAACCCGCGATTGCACAGATGGGTTTGATGGATGGTAATATGTTTTGTACGACTTTGACCCCGCGGTTGTTTACCATTGATATGGGTACAAAAGAACACAAGCAGTTTATCAATGATTTGATCTCGTTGTGTGAGACTGAGGATAATCGCCTGGTGAATTTGTTTTGTTATAAAACCATTTCGAATTTCACGCCGTTGAGGACCAGTGCACTGAGGGTGTTGGCTGCGTGTCATTATTTGGAGGATAAGACACGTAAGGATATTTTTAAGGTGTTGTATAATACGCTGGAGAAACCGAATCCGGAGCTGCAGCAGGTGGCGTTTGATTGTATGAAGACGTTCATTGCGGGGTATCAGGTGAAGATGGATATGGTGCATGAGACGATGCGGCCGCTGATGAAGACGCTGCAGGATGTGAAGAATGTCAGCTTGAATAATGTGAAGATGTTGTCGTATCTCACGCAGCTGTTTCCGAACATTTTCAATGATATGTTGTGTAATAAGTTGATTACGCTGCTGGGGGAGATTCAGAAGGTTGTTCAGCTGCAAGTTAAAAGTAAGTTGCATTTTTTTGTTATTTTTTAGTTGGGTGTGGTAATTATTTGTGGAGGGTTTAATTGTGTGTAGTTTGAGACTAATTTTTTTTTTTAATAGTTTTTGCTATAAAAATTAATTTTTTGTCGAAAAATTGAAAATTTTATCATTTTTTGAATGATATCTTGAATATTTTTTATTTTTGTTTGTGGGGAATTTAATTGTGCGCAATTTGACTACTAAATTATTGTTTTTTAATGGTTTTTACAAAAGTTGCTACGAAAAAAAGATTCGCGAAGTCAATTTTTCGCTAAAAAATTGAAAATTTTATTAATTTTCACACGTAATTTGTATTTTTTTCTATTTCTACAAATAGAGAATTTAATTGCGCATAATTTGACTCCAAATTTATTATTTTTTAATAGTGTATGTAGAAATTACATCGAAAAAACCAACAAATTTCATTTTTTGTTGAAAATTTGTAAATTTTATTTTTTTGCGTGAAAAATTCAAATTTTTTTTTTAACGAAATCTTAATTATTTTTTATTTTAATTTATAGAGAATATAATTTCGCACAATTTGTCCGCAAAATTATTATTTCCTAAGCGTTTTTGTAGAAATTGCCACGAAAAAACGCGTAAAATTCTATTTTTGGTTGAAAAATTGAAAATTTTATTGGTTTCAGTTGAAAAACTTATAATTTTATTATTTTCTGATAGAAATCTGAATTCTTTTCTATTTTTTATTGTGGAGAATATAATTGCGCACAATTTGACCCCAAAGTTAATATTTTCTAATAGTTTTTGTAGAAATTACAACAAAAAAACGCGTAAAATTTTATTTTTTTGTTGAAAAATTACAAATTTTCTTACTTTCTGAACGTAATCTAAATTGTTTTCTATTTTTCTTTATGCAGAATTTAATTGCGCAGAATTTGCAACTAAATTTATTATTTTCTAAAAGTTTTTGTAGAAATTACAACGAAAAAACACGGAAACTTAAATTTTTTTGCTAAAAATTGAAAATTTTATTAATCTTCAAACGAAATTTGAGTTATTTCCTATTTCTGTTTGTACAGAATTTAATTATGCATAATTTGAATGCAAATTTATTATTTTCTATTAGTTTTTGTAAAAGTTACAACGAAAAAACCCGAGAATTCAATTGTTTTCGCTAAAAATTAAAGGATTTATTCTTTTTTAAACAAAATTTCAATTATTTTTTATTATTATTTGTAGAGAATTTAATTGCGCGAAATTTAACACTAAAATTATTATTTTCTATTAGTTTTTGTAGAAATTACAACTAAAAAAACCCACAAATCTAATTTTTTTCTTCAAAACATAAAAAATTATAAATTTTTAAACAAAATTTTAATTCTAAAACCAATTTTACCACATTTTACACTAAAAACACTCAAAATATTAATTCTTTCCAGCTGCTGTTACGGACGTAACAAAAAAATCCGAAGAAGAACAAAAGATCGTCACAATCCTCACATTTTTCCACCAATCCCAAACCGCCTCAGCCGTATATATCGAGTCCCTATGCCACATGATCCTCCAAACCGAAGCCATCCTCCTAATCGAAGCCAGCTCACCATTCCGCGAACCATTGATGAAATTCCTCCTGCGTTTCTCCGTGGAAACACTAAACATCTTCACGGATGACGTGCACATTCGCGACCAGCAATATTCCCGCTTCCTAGAATACATGCTAAAACACCCTGATGGCAGACCATTCAGACAACACATCCAAGAGAATATGGTGGAGAGATTGATTACATTAGCTTTGGCAAACACCTCGCCAACACCACATATGACACAATTAAGTGCAAGCGATCGCAACGAAATGCAATATCAAGCGATAAGAATCATTTACTTATTAATACGCAAAGATGAACAGTGGTTGAGCACGCGGCAGGATTTAGTGGAAGCGTTGAAGATGATTTGGTGTAATGACGCGTATCAAATCCGGCATAAAACGGTGGATACGTTGGAGTACACGCATTGGAGAGAGCCGAAGATGTTGGTGAAGATATTGCTGCATTACTTCTGCCATCATCCGACGAATATTGATTTGTTGTTTCAATTGTTGCGCGCGTTGTGTGATAGATTCATACCGGAGTTTCAGGTAATTTATTTTTTGTTTTTTCTGGGTTTTTGTGGGTTTTGTGTTTTAATTGTGTTTTTTTTTCTGCTTAGTTTTTGAAGGAGTTTTTGGAGAATACCGTGGCGCAGAATTATAAAGTGGAATGGAAGCGGCAGGCGTTTTTCCTGTTTGTGGAGCAGTTTAATTCGCCGGCGATGTCGCAGGAGTTGAAGGCGAAGGTGTTGCAGTTGGTGATTATTCCGTGCTTTGCGGTGAGTTTCGAGCGGGGGGAGACGAATAAGCTGATTGGGACCATGCCGGCGCCGTATCAGGATAACCCGGAGAATATTGTGTCAGTTTTTATTAATAAGGTAAGTGGAAATTGTCAAAATTGTCAAAATTGTCATTTCTATGTTTTTGGACGAAAACTTGAAAATTTTAGTATTTTTCGAGTGTAAATTTCAATTGTTGTCAATTTGTGTTTGTGGGGAATTTAATTGCGTATAATATGAGGCTAAAATTATTATTTTCTAATAGTTTTTGTAGAAGTTACAACGGAAAAACTAAAAAAATCTTTTTTTTTGTTGAAAAATTGAAAATTTTCTTATTTTTCGAATGAAAACTGAATTTTTTTTATTTCTCACTGTGGAGAATTTAATTAGGGACAATTTGAGGTTAAAATACCTTTCTAATAGTTTTTGTAGAAATTATAACGAAATAAGCTTGTAAATTCCACAATTTTTGTTGAAAATATGAAAATTTTATTTTTTTGCGTGAAAAATTGAAAATTTGATGATTTTGAGAACAAAATATTAATTATTTTCTATTTTAACTCATAGAGAATATAATTGCGCACAATTTGACCATAAAATTATTATTTTCTAATAGTTTTTGTAGAAATTACAATGCATGAGACGATGCGGCCGCTGATGAAGACGCTGCAGGATGTGAAGAATGTCAGCTTGAATAATGTGAAGATGTTGTCGTATCTCACGCAGCTGTTTCCGAACATTTTCAATGATATGCTGTGTAATAAGTTGATTACGCTGCTGGGGGAGATTCAGAAGGTTGTTCAGCTGCAAGTTAAAAGTAAGTTTCTTTTGTTTTTATTATTATTTTTTAGTTGGGAATGGTAGTAGTTTTTTTAGGATTTTTTTTGTGGAAATTGCAATGAAAAAACTTAAAAATTTCATGTTTTTTGTTGAAAAATTTAAGATTTTATTACTTTTCGAATGAAACCTGATTTATTTTAGGCGAGTTTGGTGGGGGTAATCTCTGCATAATTTGACTCCAAAATTATTATTTTCGATTAGTTTTTGAAGAAGTTACAACGAAAAAACTAAAATAATTAATTTTTCTTTGTAAAAAAAACATGAAAATTTTACTATTTTTGAATGAAATTTAAATTGTTTACTATTTCTATAAGTAGAGAATTTAATAACGCACAATTTCACCGTAAATTTATTATTGTTCATTAATTTTTGTAGCAGTTACCACGAAAAACTTAAAAAATTCTTTTTTTGTTGAAAATGTTGAAAATTTAATCATTTTTTGAATGTTATCTTGAATGTTTTTAATTTTTATTTATGGGGAATTTAATTGCGCGAAATTTGACCACAAAATTATTCTTTTTTAATAGTTTTTGTGGAAATTACAACAGAAAAACTCGCAAATTCGCAATTTTTTGTTGAAAAATTGAAAATTTATTTTCGTCACTTGGAAAAATTGGAAATTTTATTATTTATTGATTGAAATCTGACTTTATTCTATTTTAATTCATAGAGAATATAATTGCGCACAATTTGACCTCAAAATGATTGTTTTCGAATAATTTTTGTAGAAATTACAATGAAAAAACACGGAAATTTAATTTTTTTTTGTTGAAAAATTACAAATTTTTTTAGTTTTCGAACGAAATTTCAAAATATTTTTTATTTTTCTTTATGCAAAATTTAATTGCGCGTAATTTGACACTAAATTTATTATTTTCAAATAGTTTTTGCAAAAGTTACAACGAAAAAACACGGAAACTTAAATTTTTTTGCTAAAAATTGAAAATTTTATTAATTTTTAAACGAAATTTGAATTATTTTCTATTTCTGTGTGTACAGAATTTAATTGTGCATAATATGACACTAAAATTATTTTCTGTTAGTTTTTGTAAAAGTTACAACGAAAAAACCAGCAAATTCAATTTTTTTTCGCTAAAAATTAAAAATTTTATTATTTTTTAAACAAAATTTCAATTATTTTCTATTATTATTTGTAGAGAATTTAATTGCGCGTAATTTGACACTACATTTATTATTTTCTAATAGTTTTTATAGAAATTACAACTAAAAAACCCACAAATCTAATTTTTTTCTTAAAAAACATCAAAAACTTTTCTAAAACAATTTTCTAAACAAAATCTTAATTTAAAGACCAATTCTACCACATTTAACACTAAAAACACTCAAAATATTATTCTTTCCAGCTGCTGTTACAGACGTAACAAAAAAATCCGAAGAAGAACAAAAGATCGTCACAATCCTCACATTTTTCCACCAATCTCAAACCGCCTCAGCCGTATACATCGAATCCCTATGCCACATGATCCTCCAAACCGAAGCCATCCTCCTAATCGAAGCCAGTTCACCATTCCGCGAACCTTTGATGAAATTCCTCCTACGTTTCTCCGTGGAAACACTAAACATCTTTACGGATGACGTGCACATTCGCGACCAGCAATATTCACGCTTTCTAGAGTACATGCTAAAACACCCTGATGGCAGACCATTCAGACAACACATCCAAGAGAATATGGTGGAGAGATTGATTACATTGGCGTTGGCAAACACCTCGCCAACGCCACATATGACACAATTAAGTGCAAGCGATCGCAATGAAATGCAATATCAAGCCATACGAATAATTTATTTATTGATACGCAAAGATGAGCAGTGGTTGAGCACGCGGCAGGATTTAGTAGAAGCGTTGAAGATGATTTGGTGTAATGACGCGTATCAAATCCGGCATAAAACGGTGGATACGTTGGAGTACACGCATTGGAGAGAGCCGAAGATGTTGGTGAAGATATTGCTGCATTACTTCTGCCATCATCCGACGAATATTGATTTGTTGTTTCAATTGTTACGTGCGTTGTGTGATAGATTCATACCGGAGTTTCAGGTAATTTATTTTTTGTTTTTTTCTGGGTTTTTGTGGGTTTTTTTTGTTTTAATTGTGTTTTTTTTTGTGTTTAGTTTTTGAAGGAGTTTTTGGAGAATACCGTGGCGCAGAATTATAAAGTGGAATGGAAGCGACAGGCGTTTTTCCTGTTTGTTGAGCAGTTTAATTCGCCGGCGATGTCGCAGGAGTTGAAGGCGAAGGTGCTGCAGTTGGTGATTATTCCGTGCTTTGCGGTCAGTTTCGAGCGGGGGGAGACGAATAAGTTGATTGGGACCATGCCGGCGCCGTATCAGGATAACCCGGAGAATATTGTCTCGGTGTTTATTAATAAGGTAAGTGGAAACTGCTAAAATTGTTTAAAAAATGTTTTTTTGTTGAAAAATTGATGATTTTATTATTTTCCGGGTGTAAATTTGAATTGTTTTTATATTTTTGTTTATGTGGAATTTAATTGCGCATAATTTGACACTAAATTTATAATTTCCTAATAGTTTTTGTAGAAATTAAAAAAATCCTTTTTTTTTGTTGTTGAAAACTCGAAAATTTTGCTATTTTTCGATTGAAAACTGATTTTTTTCTATTTCTCACTGTGGAGAATTTAATTGGGGACAATTTGAACATAAAATTATAACTTTTTAAAAGTTTTTTTAGAAATTACAACGAAATAATCTCGTAAATTCAATTTTTTGTTGAAAATTTGAAAATTTTATTTTTTTGCGTGAAAAATTGAAAATTTTATGATTTTTCGAAAAAAATCTGAATTATTATCTGTTTTAATTCATAGAGAATTTAATTGTGCACAATTTGACCTCAAAATTATTATTTTCTAATAGTTTTTGTAGAAATTACAACGGATAAACACGGAAATTCTATTTTTTGTTGAAAAATTACTAATTTTCTTATTTTTCGAATGAAATCTAAATTGTTCTTTATGTCTCTTTATGCAGAATTTAATTGCGCATAATTTGACATTAAATTTATGATTTTTTAATAATTTTTGCAAAACTTACAACGAAAAAACCCGCAAATTCAATGTTTTTCATTAAAAAATTGAAAATTTTATCATTTTCTAACTAAAATTTGAATTATTTTCTGTTCCTGTTTGTAGAGAATTTAATTGCGCATAATATGAAACTAAATTTAATATTTTCTTATAGTTTTTGCAAAAATTACAACAAAAAAACGCGCAAAAATCTAATTTTTTGGTTGAAAAATTGAAAATTTTATTATTTACCGACGTGAATATGAATTATTTTCGGTTTATATTTATCTAAAATTTAATTACGCGTAAATTGACCTAAAATTTATAATTCCCCAAAAATTTTCATAAAAATTACACGCAAAACAACATTTTTTTCCAGCTAATAGACCCCGAAACAGCCTCACCATTCGCCGACTGCGTCCGCATCTCCCTCCTCCAATGCTCCTGCCTCCTCGTCGAACAAGCCTCCCCACACATCCACGACCGCATCATCAACAAAGCGCAAAGCTTCAAACTGCGCCGCCTCATGACCTTCGCATGGCCATGCCTCCTCGTCAAAAACTGCGTGGACGCCGCCACACGCTACCACGGCCACCTCCTCCTCAGCCACATCATCGACAAATTCGCCATCCACCGCAAAATCGTCCTGCAAGTATTCCACAGCCTCCTGAAAGCCTACGGCCTCGAAGCGCGCAATGTCGTGCGTCAAGCACTCGAAATCCTCACACCATCCGTCCCCTTGAAACTCGAAGAAGGCCACAAGATGCTCACCCACTGGACAAAGAAGATCATCGTCGATGAAGGCCACTCCATGCAACAACTCTTCCACATCCTACAACTCGTTGTGAAACACTACATGGTATACTACCCTGTGCGCCACCATCTTGTCCAGTACATGGTCAGTTCCATTCAGAGGTTAGGTTTTAACCTCACAGGAACATTCGAACACCGCAAACTCGCTGTAGAATTATCCGAAGTGATCATCAAGTGGGAATTGCATGGGATACGTGAAGAAGTCGACACTGAAATGGACACAGACAGAAAAAGAAGCCTAAATGATCCGAGTGATACAGACCCAAATAAAAAACTGGCGTTTGGTGAAGGGGCGACAGCTACAGTCATCAAAATGGAACCGAATGCATCTAAGCCCATTGAACGTGTACAAACCGACACAGTATTGAACTTTCTTTTGAGGTTAGCTTGTCAAGTGAATGACCAATCCACACCGACGCCTGCACTGCCCCCTGGGAGCACACCAGCGGAGATTTTAAGTCGGAGATGTGTCACTTTATTAAAGATGGCGCTGAAGCCGGAAGTATGGCCGCAGCAGATTGAATTAAAACTTGGTTTCTTTGATAAAATTCTACTGGGTGTTGATCAGCCGAATGCTAATATAGCGTCGATATGCACCGCATTGGAATTGTTGACGTTTTTGTTGACTGTAATGAAAAAAGATCAGATTTTGTTTAATTTCAAGCCGTTGCAGAGGGGTATAGGCGCATGCGTCAGTTCGAATAATAATAAAATTATTCGATTGGTGCATTCATTGTTGCATAAGTTAATGGAGTTGTTCCCGACCGAGCGTACGAATTCCAATATGAGTTGTCGACATGAAGAGTTGGAGATTTTATATTCGACTGTTTCTAAGGTTATAAGTGATGGTTTGAGTAATTATGATAAGAATAGTCAGGCGACTACGAGTAGTCTCTACGGCACGATTATGATCCTCAAAGCTGCTTGCATGAACAATTATAGTTATATTGACTTGTTGATTACGTCTTTCATGAAAGTTTTGTTGAGGATCGCTAAGGAACATCTACAACCGACAAATAATGACACATTAATGAGTAAGTTATGCGTTTTTAAGCTTAAAAAACATGTTTCTGATGTTTTGTTGTAGTAACAAGTGAATTACTCATCTTGTCTTTGGATTTGGTGAAGACGCGTGTTGTGGTTATGTCAATGGACATGCGCAAAACATTCATCGGGTCTATATTGGTGAATCTGATAGAAAAAACCACAGATATGAAGGTTATGAAAGCAATTATCAAGATGTTAGAAGAATGGATTAAAAATAAAAACGTGGTTACCCTTTCCCAAGCTCCTAACCTTCGTGAGAAGTCAATTTTGTTGGTTAAGTTGATGCAATACGTCGAGAAACGCTTCCCGGATGATTTGGACCTCAACGCGCAGTTCCTGGAACTTATTAATTATGTCTACAAGTAAGTTTTTTTTTACTTCTTTATATTTTAAACTTATTTATGATTAATTTCCAGTGATGAGCAACTAAAACAAACCGAACTAAGCGCTAAACTCGAACCAGCGTTCCTCTCGGGTTTGCGATGTACGCAACCACACATACGCGCGAAATTCTTCAAAGTGTTCGACGATAGCATGCAGCGCCGCCTACATGACCGCTTGTTATACATAACCTCTTCACAGAATTGGGAAGCCATCGGGCCACACTACTGGATCAAACAATGTATTGAACTTCTACTAGTTACAGCAAGCCCCGATGTCAAAATACAGATGTCGCATGAGTCGTCCATCTTGCCATCGATCACATCCGTGTTGAACCACGTAGATGCCCGAAAACGTGAGCAATTCTACGCGAATATCCAAGCAACGTCAGAGTTGCTATTCTCACAAACATCTATGGATGGTGAGGTTAAAGAAGAAGTCGTTGATTTGAATCATGATTTAAATAATGATGACGCCATGCAGACTGAGGATAACCCGGGTAGTCGTATGGAATACGTCATGGGATTAGTCTCGAAACATTATGATTTCATCGAAATGTCACGCAATACCACTTCGTATAGGTTCCTCGTCGCGGCTGCGCAGTTGTGTCACATGGACACATCACTCGCTGAGCAAGTATGGTTGTCTATGTTCCCGAAATTCTGGAGTGTATTAGATGAGCAACAACGCCAAGAAATCCAACCTTTCATCGCTTCCGGCGCGCATATTATACAAAAAGACTCACATCCAAGCGCGATTAATACTTTCATTGAGAGTTTATCACGATGCAAGCCGCCATTACAATTACCATCACCGCTGATCAAATATCTCGCGAAAAGTCATAATTTATGGCATAGAATGGTCCTAACCTTAGAGCAAATGGCGTCGGACCCCAGCATGAAACTTCCTGCGAATCTATATGATTTCGAAATGGAGGTTAACCCAAAACGTGAAATATTAGATAATTTAGGTGAATTATATTCACTGTTATGTGAAGAGGATATGTGGGCTGGTTTATGGCAACAACACGCGCATTACAAAGAAACAAACATCGCTATTGCCTACGAACAACATGGATTCTTCGAACAAGCACAAACAGCGTTTGAAAACGCAATGGCGCGGCACAAACAAGACAGCATCATGGGTCCGATGCCCAGTGACATACAACGCGAGGTCCTCTTGTGGAATAACCACTGGATCCGATGCACAAAAGAACTCAAACAATGGAACTTTTTATTCGACTACGCGAAAAACGGTGTATATGACCCTTATCTGATTCTTGAAGGAACATGGCGGACACAAAACTGGGAAACAGCCAAAGACGCCATTTCTAAATTAGATCATTCATGTCCCAAGGAATTACAATGGAAAGTAACATTATATAATGGTTATCTTTGGGTATGCAACACAGAAGACAAGCAACAGTTGAAAAATGCCGAGAGGTACGTAGAGATGGCGTCACAGATGTGTCTACAAGAATGGCGTCGATTACCACATATAGTCAGCCATATACATTTACCATACCTACAAGCAGCTCAACAAATCATGGAGTTACAGGAAGCCTTTCAAATCAGGAAAGGATTACAACAGGGGCATCAGAACAGTCTGCATGATATGAAAGCCATTGTGAAAACATGGCGGAACCGGTTACCTGTCATCGCGGATGATCTAAGCCATTGGAATGACATCTTCAACTGGCGTGAACATCACTATAAATTCATTATAAAACATTATGAGAAGATAGATCCAAGCACACATCATCCGAATTCCATGCTTGGGGTGCATGCAAGCGCGCAGAGTTTGATACACTTTGGTAAAATCGCCAGAAAACATAAATTACCAAATGTCTGCTTGGAATCTTTGAATTTAATCTATAATATACCATCGGTGCCTGTTGTGGATTGTTTCCAGAAGATCCGACAACAGATTAAGTGTTATCTACAGCAAGGGTCTATTTCTGGTAAGAATGAGTATCAGGAGGGTTTGGATACATTAAACAAAGCGAATGTGAAGTATTTCACTAAAGAAATGAACGCGGAGTTTTACGCTTTAAAAGGTTTATTGTATCATTTATCAGGAAAGTCTGATGAAGCTAACAAAGCATTCTCAGCTGGTCTACAACTGCATGATGTATCCATAAAAGCATGGGGATTGTACGGTGATTATTTAGAATCTGTATTCACACGTGATCCTAGACAGATTTCCTATGGTGTGAATGCTATTGCTTGCTTTTTACACGCGTGTAGACATCAGAATGAGTCTAAAGCACGTAAACACCTCGCGAAAGTCTTGTGGTTGTTGAGTTATGACGATGAAGAGAATACGTTGATGCTGGCGTTGGATAAATACGCCGCTGGTGTGCCGCCATTGTTATGGCTGCCATGGACACCGCAGCTACTCAACTGTCTGGTACTATCCGATGGCAACGCCATCTTGAATCTATTCTTACTCATAGGTAAAACATTCCCACAAGCTGTTTACTTTCCAATTAGGACTTTATATCTTACACTGAGGACTGCAACAGCAAGAAAAACAAATGCTAATCAAGTTGTGAGTAACCCCGAAGATGCTAGTGATCAAAACAGTCAGAATCAAAACTCACAAACACAGCAAAACGTCGAGAGTACGATTAAAGCCTCACCGCCGATGGTGAGGTGTTCAAGAATCATGAAAATGCAGCGGGATATACACACGACTGTGCTGAGTAGTCTGGAAGGTATTGCTGATCAGATGGAGTGGTTCAGAGAGAATTGGCATGAGGAAGTTGTGAGACAATTACGGCAGGGTTTAGCGAAGTGTTATGCTATAGCGTTTGAGAATCGTGAGAATGTCAACGAGGCGAAAATCACACCGCATATTTTGAGTTTTGTGAAGAAATTAGTCTCTACCTTCGGGATTGGTGTGGAAAACATTGGGAATTCCACGAATGCAGGGTCTAATAGTACAGCTTCTGAGAGTTTAGCACGCAGAGCGCAAGCAACTTACCAGGATCCTGTTTTTAAGGAAATGAAGTTAGAGTTTACAAAAGATTTCGATTTTAATCAGTCTAGTGCGCTGCGCCTGCGTACTTTGATTTTTAAATTGAAGAAATGGATAAAAATCTTGGAAAATCGATCGAAGATGTTTAATCAGTAAGTAAATTTAATATTATTTTAAAATATAAAAAAAATACTTATTTTATGATGTTTGTTGTTTTAGATCGTTTTTAATCGAAGAAAAATGTCGGTTCCTATCGAATTTCACGCTGAAAACAGCCGAAGTGGAACTTCCTGGAGAGTTTCTCTTACCAAAACACACACATTACTACGTTCGTATAACTCGTTTCATGCCCCGAGTGGATATCGTGCAGAAACACAACACAGCCGCGCGTAGATTATACATCCGCGGCCATAATGGTAAAATCTACCCGTATTTAGTCGTGAATGACTCGGGATTGGTCGATGCGCGACGCGTCGAGCGTGTGTTGCAACTTCTACGCATGCTCAATCATTACTTGGGCAAACAAAAAGAAACATCACGACGTTTCCTACATTATACAGTCCCTAAAGTAGTTGTAGTCTCACAACAAATAAGATTAGTAGAAGATAACGTTGCTTCTGTGTCTTTACTGGATATTTACAAAAAAGGATGCGCGAAGATTTTGAATATCGAGCATGACGCACCGATTAATATGTATTACGAACGCCTGGCGATTGTACAATCACGCGGAATCAAAGCTTCACATCAAGTATATCGAGATATATTGAAAACTATACAAACCAATATGGTGCCGAAGAGTTTATTCAAACAATGGGCGGTTGGTACGTTCCCCTCAGCGACTGATTACTGGCAGTTTCGAAAGATGTTCACACTGCAGTTGGCGTTGGCTTGTTTCGCTGAATACGTACTGCATTTAACACGTTTGAATCCGGATATGATGTATTTGCATCAGGATTCCGGGTTGATGAATGTTTCTTACTTTAAATTCGATGTGGATGATAGCACAGGGGAGTTGGACACGACGCGTCCGGTCCCGTTCCGATTAACGCCGAATATCTACGAGTATGTGAGTACGATTGGTGTGAATGGTCCGTTGACAGCTGCGATGATTGCGGCTGCGCGGTGTTTTGCCTATCCGAACTTCAAGGTGACGGCCATCTTGAAGCCTATTCTGAAGGATGAGATGGTGTTGTCGAGGATTAAGAAGCCCGAGGATGGCGATGGGTCTGCGAAGGATGATAAGCTGACGGATAATGAGCAGTTGATTAATATGGTGAATAAGGCGGTGGCGGCCATTTCGGGGCGGTTGACGAGTCTGGCGCATTTTGATGGTATTGACAGCAAGGTATGTTTATTTGTTTGTTTATGAGGGATTTTGGGTTTTTTTTAAATTTGTTTTTGTGGTTTTAGGTGAGTCAGTTGGTGGCTGCAGCGAATAATCATGATAATCTGTGTCGAATGGACCCGGCGTGGCATCCGTGGTTGTAATTTAGTTTATTTTTTAATATTTTGATGTCGTTTGATGCGTTTATGGTAGTTTTTGTATTGATTTGAGTTCAATGGATACTTACTTAATAATACGATTTATGCATAGTGTAATGCTTTTTATTGATTTATTCATAAAAAAATTAAGCAAATAAATTAGATTTTTGTATGAAAAGTTTTGAATAAGTTGATTGCAGCGACATCTATGCGCGCGTTATTGAGTTATATGTATAAATTGCTATTCGTTTAGATAGTGTGGGGCATGCACAGTTTCTGGTACGTGTGACACACGAACACTGCTATTTAACGCCGTGACCATTCACTGCCACATAGACATTTTCTCACTGACACATATGCGCTGCATACTTCTTGAAACACTCTGTATTGTGTCATATTTTCTTATGGTGTTATAAGGGAGTAGTAGATGGCGCTACAATGCACATTTCATACTAAATGAAATCACGCCACCAGAAATGTGAGATTTGATAACGTTGAGATAGTTTGCAACAGAGATAAACAAGTTTTATCTGTATTTATTTACATTTTATTTGTGTACATGTCGTATTCTTGTATTTTAATGCAAATAAATTTGTTTTCAAGAGTAAATTGTCTTAATTGATTAGTAATTAATCACAGAAAATGTAAAATAATGAAATTTAGTGTTTTTATTGTAGAAGATTTAAGGGAACGTTGTTTTGAGCGAATTATCTTAGTAAATTTTTGTTGTATGAATAATAAATTTCTTGTTATTTGACTAATTATCAATTTTTTTTGTGTTTATTTTCATTTGACATGCGTTTTAACTTCTGCGCACTAACATAGGACACATAAGAGTTGTCCTTGAAGACAAGAGAACTTCTGATGATTATTTTTAACGTTTTAAATGCCTCTTAATATTAAATCCATCCTGAATACAGAAATTAAATCTTTCAGTTTGTTGAAATGTGTTGTATGTGTTGCCTACCCACGTAAGAGATGCGCACTTATAAAAACAGTTCTGTAACGATGAAGTCGTTGAATAAAAACTAAAAACTTTATTGTATCAATCGTTAATTCTTTCTGCTGACATAAAATCCATCAAAATTCATTTAAAACAATACTAAATCTAATAATATCAACATAAACAATAACAAAACCAAAGAAACATCAACAAAACCAACAAAAAATCAAATTAAAACCTCTCACATCACTCAAACAACAATTCATCATTCATAAATCACCATGAGTACGAAAACAAATGTAAGTATAGCCAAGTAAAGTAAAACAAAGTAAAATAAAGTAAACTGCGACACCAACACGTCTACTTTGTTTACCTACATGCGCTACATCCTACAATTCATCCTACATTCACTATCACGTTCAACTTTACTTGATTTTACTTCACTCCACTTTCTACTCCACTCCTCACATCATCTCTCTCCCACTCTTCCCCAACCAAATAACACACTCTTTGTCTCTGCGTCAGCGTCAACCCTTATCGGCGCACTTCGTTGCGCGCTGTGCTCCTTCCACCGTTCCTGCGTGCAACTCTTCGCCGCACATTCAGCGCGCGTTCAGTCGCAGTCCGCGTTTCGCCGCACGCGCTTCCATTCCGCGCACGCGCACCAAACACACACACAAACAGAATTTAAAAAAACGCGTTAAAAATTTAAAAAATAAAATAAAAAACATTTAAAGTGATTTAATATTTAATTATGAATACTATACGTACAACTTTCTGTTTGTTGGTAACAACCGCATTGGTGTTGGTCCCCGCGTCGGCCGGCACCTGCCGCGAGGCGAAACTCTGCTGTCCCGGTCGTGATTCCTCCTGCGTGGTCCAGAAAGCCCCGCTGAACGACATCATCCAGGATTTGACGGACAAGCCGTGCTACTGCGACCATGCCTGTCTTAAGCTGGGGGATTGCTGTCGGGATTTCAAGGAGGCTTGCGGTGGTAAGTGTTAAACTTCATTAAATAACTATTATTATTTATTATTATTTATTTAAATGTTTATATTGTGCTAGAAATGTTGTTATGTTATGTTGATTTCGTATAGAATATTATTCTCTGCGATGTTCGATGTTTGAATATTATCTTATCGGCGATTTACGCACGACTAAGTTTTTCTCTTCTTTTCTTTCGTTTTTTATTCGCGAATTTTATTTCTTTACCTTCGGGGATGTTTCTCTTTGGATGGCGTGTTCTTTTCTTTTTTGTTGCCGCGTTGGGGGAGATTCGACGTTCGATTTCGCCTGCTGTATTTTTGCATTTTTACATGACATAACATGATATTGTTGACCTCATCATTTTTGACTTTAATATCAATTTAAAGGTAGTTGTGTATTCGCTGAGGGGTGGAAAGTGATGTTGAAGGGAAGAATAACTATTTCCATGTGAAATAATGAGGAGAATGGTTGAGATTGTTTCGGGAGTTTGGATACAGGGTGTTTTTTATTGGAAATTTGAAGGTTTTTGAAGTTAGAGGCAATTTAAGGGTGAAAATGTGTTAAATAAAGGGTTGTAATTATTTTTAATTGATAGAATATGCGTTTTTCTATAAATTGATGAAGAAAAATAGTAGGATTTTATTGAGATTTTTGTTATACAGAGTGTTTTTTAATGGAAAATGCGTTGTTTTGTCTTCAAAGTCAATTTAAGGGTAGTTTTTGATTTACAAAAGGGTGGAAAATGATGTGATATGAAAGAATAACTGTTTTGATGTAAAATAATGAGGAGAATGGTTGAAATTGGTGCAAGAGTTTGAATACAGAGTGTTTTTTAATGGAATTTTGAAGGTTTTCGAGTTTAGGGTTGATTTTAGGGTTGAAATATTTGAATTTAAGGCTTGTAATTACTTGTAGTTGCAAGAATGTGTGTTTGGCTATGAAATGGCAAAGAAAACTATTGAGACTTTTGTTATACAGAGTGTTTTTAAATGTAAAATACGTTGTTTTGACTTTAATATCGATTTAAGGGTAGTTTTTGATTTGTTAAAGGGTTGAAAATGAAGTCATATGGAAGAATAACTGTTATGTTATAAAATAACGAGGAGAAATAGTCAAATTGTTATTGGAGTTATCATACAGAGTGTTTTATAAAGAAAACTTACAGTTTTGTTGGTTTCGGATCGATTTAAGGGTAGTTGAAAGTTAATAAATAGATAAATATTATTACAATATGAAAGAACAAGTGTTCAACTATAAAACAATATATTAAAACAATAAAATTTTATTAAAACTTTTTATACAGAGTGATTTTTTAGTATGATGAAAGACACTTTTAACTTTACCGTTAGTTTAAGGGTAGTTGCGAATTTTATAGAGAATTCAATTTAATGCGAAATGAAAGAACAGCTCATGCTCTATCATATAAAATAAAAATGAGAAGAATTGAATGAATAGTTTTCACATAATATGAATTTGAAGATGCAAAAACATAAAAGAAAAAATAATTAAAATTTATTTTTTAAATTTAATTTGATTTTAATGTTAGTTTAAGGGTAGTTTTAAATTTTGCATGGAGTAAAAAATATATTTAACATATTAGTAAACTATTTAACTTTCAATTTATGAAGAAAAATATTAAAATTTATTATTACTTTTTTATACAGAGTGGTTTGAATAAAAAATATCATTTTTTGCGTTTAATATCAATTTAAGGGTGGTTCTATATTTGTAAAGGGGTTAAAAGTGATGTTATATAAAAGACAACCTATTAAACTATAAGTTTATGATGAAATAAGTTAGAATTTATTAATAACTTTTTATACAGAGTGATTTAAATAAAAAAATACACTTTTTCAACTTCAATTTTTAATAAAATGTAATTTTATGATTACAACAAATTAGAAACCTTATCCACACATTAAAATATAAAATATCTTCTCCAATCATAAAACAAAGTAAAATTTAATCGATTTAATATTGAATCCGTAATCCGTAATTACCATTCAATGCGTTTTTCTATAAAATAAGGCAAACACGAAACGCGCAATGCTGTAAAACGTAAAATGTGATACTTAGGAATAAAGTAATGATGGAGAGATGAAAATATCAGATTTATGAAGCTTATTAACTGGATATTCCGGTGAGGATCGTTTAATATAAAAATAATGAAAAGCTGGCGGTGTAAAAACTTGAAATTAGTTTTCCTAACAAGAAAACGACATTGTGTTTTTTACTGGCTTCAAAATTTAATAATAACGCAAAAAAATGACAGGAAATGGTAGTAGTTTTTAATAAAATTTTAATTACTGCTATTTTACATGTGTTTTATTAATAAATCATGGAAAAATTTAAAACATTTCAGAAAATGACAGGAAACATGTTGAAACTAAAGAAAAAACAAGAAAAAAGTGAAAATTATAGAGGTTTATTAAATTTTAAATATTACTGCAAAATTTAATAATAAACAAAGCAAAAAATTATAAAGAAAAGTCAAGAAAATAAATAATTAAAAAAAATAATAAAAACAAGACAAAAATTGCAGTAATTTTTAATAAATGTACAATTAAATCCCTTGCAACTTATTTTTTACATTAATATTTAATATCATCTTGAAATTTAATAATAATTAACGAAAAAATACAAAAAATGCAAAAAATTGCACAGAAAATGCAAAGAAACTTGAAACAAGCAAAAAAAACAAGCCAAAAATGGATGTAGTTTATAATACACGTTTAATTAATTCAATTTTTACCTGTTCTCATATTCTGCAAGCTTACGGGTGGTCGTCGCCTTCAACAAGTTATTAAATCTCTTAAACCTCTTTAAACCTTTCAATATTTTCATATTTTAATATTTTAAATCCTTTACCTGCCATCGCATACCTGCATACAACTTGCTAATGCAAAAAAAATGCACAAGAATACATTCTTATTGTGTGCCAAATCACAAATCCACCTTAACTTAAGTCATAACTTAAGTCATTAAATATAAAACTTAAATATTCATTCAAATCACAAGAAATAAATCAATTTTATTTTGATTTGATTTTATTTATTGTTACTAACATTTATATTTCTGTTAGTGTTGTTGTTTTGGTTGATATCAAACTTGCCAATACTGATAACAACACTAAACCCGACACTTTGTCTCCACGTCTTATCTCTTCTACTTCTTACCTATGTGCAAGTTGTAAAACTAGTCGATTTGATTCTCGCACCTCAAATCCACAAAAACATCATTCAACAAACACATCACGACTGAATTACGAGTATTTCCATTTCATTTCATTGCATTCTCATTCTCACTTCATTCCTCTTCTACTCTTCTCCTCTACTTGTACTCGTACTTGTATAGAATGTATAGATGGTTGTGTTATTTTCCATTCGCTTGACTCACTCGAATGTAAATTCATCTTTCTTTCTTTCTTTCTCGACACACTCTTTATGTCTCTTTATTTTTATGTCCTGACTTGACTTTTAAACTAAACATTTTCATTTTCCTTTCCATTCACTTGCAACTTCATGTGTCACTCAATCGATTTTATTTTTAAGCTTATATTTAAAGCTTTTCTTAGTTTTTTTTTTTGGTTTTATTTTTGACTGCAGTATAGCTGCCGCTGCAGCAGGTCTTTAGGCATTCGGATTAATGTCTTGAAGCGTCTTGAATGTCTCGGCGTCGGCGTCGGCGTCGAAGTTAATAATAAAACCGCGCCGCCCGCAACGCCGACACCGCAGGAGGGATTTTCCTGCTGAGACTAAAGATAGGAATACCTACCTACCAAAAGAGAAGACTCAGACTCAGAGTCTTTTTAGAATTCTTACAACTTTTTGCGCTTTCTGCATTTTCAATTCTTTGCATTCCACGAACGCGAACGCCACTTCGAAAACAAGTGCAAGTGCTAAAGCAAGTACTACGGCATTCTTAAAATTATTAATAAAGAAAAATATAGGCGTTGTTTTTAAATAAATTTGTTTTATTCAAGAGAAATACGCATAAATAAGTATTGTTTGAGGATTATTTGAGTTTAATATTAATTTAAGGGTGGTTTTATGTTTGTTAAAGAGTGGAAAAGAAGTTATATGAAAGAGACACTATTAAACTATAGATTTAAGAAGAAATAAGTTGGAATTTATTAATAACATTTTATACAGAGTGATTTGAATAGGAAATGTCATTTTTTGAGTTTAGTATTAATTTAAGGGTTGTTATATTTGAAATAAAGGGTTAAAACTACATTTACATGGTAGAATATTTAATTATCTGTCAAATAAAGTTAAAAGTATTAAAATCGCATGATTAGTTTTGTCACAATTCTAAATTTACGAAAATATTCAAGATTTACTTAAAAAATATGCAAAAATATGATGCATTTAAATTATAGTTTAATTTGAATTTAAGGGTAGTTCTATCTTTGTAAAAGGATTGGAAATGAAAGTTATATGAAAGATTGACTATTAAACTATAGATTTATGAAGAAATAAGTAGGAATTTATTAATAAATTTTTATACAGAGTGATTTGAATAGAAAATGTCATTTTTTGAGTTTAATATCAATTTAAGGGTTGTTATATTTGAAATAAAGGGTTGAAACTAAATATTCATGGTAGAATATTTAATTATCTGTCAAATGAAGTTAAAAGTAGCAAAATTGCATAATTAGTTTGGTCACAATTCAAATTTTACGAAAATAATCAAGGTTTACTAAAACTAAGCAGAATTATGAAGTTTTTAAATATATTTTGAGTTTAATATTAATTTAAGGGTAGTTATTTATTTGTAAAGGGGTTTAAAGTGAAGTTATAGGAAAAAGAGATTATTAAACTATAGATTTACGAAGAAATAAGTATGAATTTATTAATAACTTTTTATACAGAGTGATTTAAATAAAAGATATCATTTTTTAAGTTTAGTATCAATTTAAGGGTAGTTATAGTACAATAATAGGTTGACATATTATATATAATGAAAGAGTAGCTTATCATCTGTTGAAAACAGCAAAAATTAGGAAAATTGGTTGATTAGTTTAGGCATAATCTTAATTTTACGAATAATAATCAACATTTATTAAAAATAAGCACTATTTAAATATAATTTTACTTTAACATCAATTTAAGAGTAGTTTTATTTTTTATTTAGTGTTAAAAATAACCACAATAGAGAAGTACACTAATTAGTAATACATTTATTCAGGAAAAAAGCAAATATTTAAATAACTTTTTATACGGAGTGATTTAAACAAAAAAAAACTTATTTTCATTTCATCATCAAATTAAGACTATTTAAAAATTATAGAAACATTATATTTTACCATAGTATGAAAGAACATTTTATTCACTATCAAACAAAGAAAAAATCACCAAAATCCCCCGAAAACTCTCTTCGCAACTCGCATCAGAAACAAAAAAGTCGCCAACAAAAAAGAAATCAATGTGTCACTTCACCGGCATAAAAATATGCGCAATCATCAGAAAGTGTCAAGTGAGTGTCAAACGGACGTCCACCGCCTGTCACCCTACACACACTTGATAAAACACTCTCTTGCCGCCTCCGCGCCCACCCCCACACTCAGTTTACCGGCTTTTTGTTGACGAATATGCTGAATATGCATGCGCCGCTCGTATGTTGTGTGTGGGCAGGATTTGCGCTTGATTGGCAAACGCCGGGGGCGGCAGTCCACCAAAAAAACAATATCCCGTGCATTTCACACTCAAAGCGCATTACACATGCGGAATACAAATGAATGCACAAAAGTTTACTCGCCGGAGTCAACACATTTACATTACTTTAAAATTAACCCAACTTTTGCGGTTTTTGAGGTTATGGTTGTAAGGGAAGTGTAAAAATTAACGCAAAGGTAATTTCTAACAAAAATTAATCATCCTCAAGGGATAGAGGGTTGTGGGTTGGGGGATGTGGGTTGAGGGGTGGTACAATTATATTACGGGCGGTAAATCACACACCGCTGCCGTCGCCGCAGCAGTTGTGGCGGTGTAATAAGATGGCGTGGCGTGTCCGCCTCCGATGTTCGCACTTGATACCACGCGAGTAATGTATACTGAACACGCAAAAACATTGTGTATAGTATTGAGTTTAGAGTTGTGTATGAGTATAGAGGAAATTTTTGAGGTTTTTTTAGTTTTGAGGAGTTTAGAGGCAATTTAAGGGTTGTTGTGTTTTTATTAGGGGGTGTAAATTATAAATAGTTGAAAGAGTGATAAATTGTGTGTAAAATATAGTCAAAAGTATTAAAATTGAATGATTAGTTTTGTCGTAATAAATTTTTGAAAAAGAAAATGTATGGAATTGAAGAGAATAAAGTTTATATTAGTGAATTTAGAGTTTTAATAGCAATTTAAGGGTAGTTGTAAATGTAGTTTAAGATTGGAAATAGTTTTAATTGAAAGAAAAACTATTTAGCTATATAATTGTGAAGAAAAACATAGAAATTTATTAATAACTTTTTATACAGAGTGCTTTGAATAGAAAATGTCATTTTTTGAGTTTAATAACAATTTAAGGGTAGTTACTGATTTATGATAAGGTGTAAATATAATATAAATGAAAGTAGAACTAATTCTCTATTAATTAAAGTAAAAATAATAAAAATCGCATTATTACTTTTAACACAATATAGATTTTAAGAAAAAAATCAAAATTTACCAAAAATAATCATAATTCAAAAATATTTCATCTTTAACATCAATTTAAGGGTAGTTTTAAATTTATTATTAATTTAAAAATAATCCTACATTACCTAGAAACTATTCAACTATTAAATTACGTAGAAAAAAATGAGAATTCATTAACAACTTTTCCTACAGAGTGACTTAAAAGAAAAACTTCGCATTTTAACGTTTAATTTCCATTAAAAACTAAAAATTTAAAGTTTTTAATACGCCTCTGGAGTGCTTTATGTACTTTACGGTTTTACTTCCGGTCGGCGGAGAGTCGTCAACCCTTTCGTCGTGTATTCTAATTATAACGCCTATATATTCACACATTACACCCTCTTAAGCCAGCAAAGCGTAAAATCCCACACGGTCTTAATTAATATCCTTTGGGGGGCGGCAAAAATTATAAAAAAATTAAAATATTCAAAAACAACAAATATTTAAACAAAAACTCACAAAAAAACAAAAATTATCAGCCATATTGGCATCGAAACTCCATCAATAATATTTAAAGGTCAAAAAAGGTCAAGAAAAAGTTAAAGAGGCGGCAAAAATTGACCAAAAGCAAATAAATTAAAAAGTAGAAATATTAAAACATAAATTTGCAAAGAAACCCAAAATGTCTCGGCCATATTGGCACCAAAACAACGCTAATAACATTTAAAGGTCAAATTAAGGTCAAACAAGAATCATGGAGGCGGCAAAAATTGAAAAAACCTATACAATTAAAAAATAGAAATACTGACATGTATATACGCAAAAACCCGAAAATTATCGGCCATATTGGCACCAAAACAACGCTAATAACATTTCAAGGTCAAATTAAGGTCAAAAAAGGATCAAAAAAGCGGCAAAAATTAAAAAAAAATTATATATTTAAAAAATAGGCATATTGAAACAAAAATACACAAAAAACCCGAATACTATCGGCCATATTGGCACTAAAACAACGTCAATAACATTTCAAGGTCACCCAAGGGTCAAGTGTGCCAGTAATAAATCGCATTGTGTAGAAAACTTTCTGACGCATAACATAAATCAACAAATTTCGGCGGAGGCAAACACTGTGAATGACCAATGGTTGCATACTTTACGTCTTAGTCCTTTTCGTCCTTTCGTCCTTGAATACCATAACTATTCCACCCCCAGTGCCCAATGCGCACGCCGGGATTAAATTGTTTTGATAGTTTAGGTCTGGCGTGGCGAATTTATTTAGCGAAATTAATCTCCAAGGACGATAGGTAGAAGGCGATTAGTTAGTTGGCCACTTTCCGGTAAACTATGCGCCCGCCGACGAGGAAAATTGCACCCTTTCACCGCCCCTAATACACTACATGTGTGGCGGGTCCTTTTGGTCCTCTTTTTATCACGGCCATTATATCGCACCCCTTTCGCGCGCGTAAAACAAACATCCGGGCGGGGTTATAAATCGCTTAACGCTTTCAGAGGTCGGGCGGAAGGTCATTTGGTCAGCGGATTATTTTATTACGCTTTAAAATTGACTCCTGTCAACATTCGGATGAGGTTTGGAGTTTGATGGGGGTTATAAACCATTTTTTATGTTTTAACACCTTTTGGGGCTTGTTTTAAAGCAAAGGGGATGGAAAGTAGTTTATGTTTTATTCTAATGTTTAAAGTGTATTGTTGTTAAGTTTGGTTAAAATCGGTAGAGTAGTTTTTACGTGAAAGAGGAACAAACATACAGTAAATTTTTATTTTGCTTATTTTTTGATATTATGAGTGGATTTTATGCTTTATTAAGCATATAATGACATTATCTACGTTTTTACACCTTTCAACCCTTATTTCACCCCGTTTAAAATTTATTTCCTTGATAAAAACTAGCTTATCGTCTATTCTAATATTTAAACTATATTCTTACCAAATTTTATGAAATTCTGTCAAGTAGTTTTTGCGTAAAAGAGAAACAAACTTTCGATAAACTTTTTCTGTGCTTATAAACGTATTATCCACGTTTTTTCACCTTTCAACCTTTATTTCACACTTTTCCTTAATTATTTCCGCCATTTTAACTACCTTATCTCTTATTCCAATACCTAACCTACATTTCCATAAAATTTCATCAAATTCCGCTGAGTAGTTTTCGAGTAAAAAAGAAACAAACTTTCGATAAATTTTTCTTTTGCTTATAACCGTATTATTTACGTTTTTTTACTTTTCAACCCTCATTTCACCCTTTTTCCAAAATATTTCCGCCATTATAACTACCCTATCTCCTATTCTAATACCTAACCTACATTCCCACAAAATTTCATCAAAATCCAATCAATAGTTTTCACGTAAAATAGCAACAAACATTCATGTCTTAGTTTTATTCAGTTTTCCACCGCTATACACCGCCCTCTGTGGTTTCACCAACCGTTTATCCTGTTTAACCACAAACGCCTGCTTCTTCTTCACTTCCCACGCCCGGCACGGCCATTTTGCTTTCGGGCATTTGACAATACACCTGCAAATATCCGGCGTGTCTTTCAAACGCTGCAAACGCCCCAAATTTCTGTCACACGGGTTGCATTCAGTCGGGATCGTACCTTCCGCGCATGGAAAGTACGGCTTTATAGGTTCACCTACAAAATATAAACAAATTCATTAACTTAACCTATAAAATCAAAAATAAAAAAAAACAGAAACCTGTAATTGGATGCGCCCCGGGTAGATCCGGCACATCCTCAATACACTGCCGACTCTCCCTGAACTCTTCGTAATACTCCGCATACCGCGCAGCAGTCCACAGCGGTTTCTCTCTCACAGATGGCGCGCACTCGTGCTCCCCACGCTACGGCACGCGGGGCGCTGTCGTCTGCGTCTGGATGCGTTAACCGTCATTGCGCGTTCATCACGGCTGTCGTGACAATCGCTGCGTATCCTGCTTCCACGCACGTAGCCATCACCAATACACGCATAGTTACACGGCGCGGAGAAAAACATGAATAAATGAATGAACACGTGAATTTCGCGATGATGTACTGGCACTGACGGAAGTTGCTGACGCAAAACGACAGAAATAACATTTTAGTTGTTATTCCGCCGGGTAAAATCGGTCGAAATGATTCATCGCGGCAGGTCATTTTAATTACCGGTGTATTTTGCGTAAGGGCGAAAGTACACCGTTACATTGTTTTGTTGTATGCAATTTTGCGCCAGCGCAACAATCAAAAAACACACCGCGCATGTCACGTGAATAACATAATACCTGCGGATCAACACGCCGTCGCTGGGGGATGTCTGGAATTTAGATGTTTGGGACCTTTATAACCTTTAACTTCCGTTTTCACCTTGCTCTCACAATTTAACTCAATTCCAGATATTTGGTATCTTTAATTTTCTTTTTTTCACTGGATGGTGACTTTTTTGCAGCAAACAAGTCAAGTTGTCGCGCGACCTTTGTTTCCCGAGTCCTGGTTGGTGACCATATCCAGCCGTCGCGCTGCGCGGGCGCGCAATAGCAGGCACAGCACGCAGCTTTTATCTTTGCCGAAACTTCGCTACTCTTTGCGAGCGTGGATCAACAAGGACGAAGCGCTGGATAAACACCAGGCAATCGATTCCCGCTATCATAGTAGCATATTTTGCTCAAAGGCAATAATATTTTAATATTACGTAATATTTTTGCGAGCGGAAACCGGAAAGACGGAAGTGGGAACCGGATATTTATAAAGAATTTATTACTTTATAATATTATGTAGTTTATGATATTAATTTCAAAATTTTATTTTTTTACAAAACGAAAACAAAATAAATCCACGGATATAATGAGATATATTTTACATAATGTTGGTATTTTTATATTGGCGAGTAATTGTGTGAATTTCATCTAGCAAAATTTCCGTGTGTTTCAGTTTCGGTTGCATTTTTTCGGCGTGATAAGGTAAAAAGGCGTATCTCTGGGTACATCGTTTCTCTTTGGCGTTAGTATACATGCTTTTGATTCATTGTTCTGGCGCAAAGTGTACCAAAAGGGATGAAATAGCGGCGCGATTGAATTCAGCGCGGGAGAAAGATCAGCAAACGTATAGGGAACGTAAGGAAATTTTGCGCTTGGCGCTTAACGACGTTAGCGGCGTAAAATAAGATTTCCTCTGCTTTCATTTAATATCATTTTTATCACCGGAAATCATGCGAAAATCTCCGGGACAAAAGCAAAAATTATCATCGCGAAAATAACCGTATTATTGTTTATTTAGAAATAAAATTTTTAAAAGTCGTATTTTTTGTGTAAAATGGAAAACAGGACGAAAAAAGACGAGAGAAAAATGGCGCATAAAAAGCAATTAACACAATTTACGGCAAATGCAGTCGAGGCTGAAGTACATGTAACACGCTCAGTTTGAAGCATCGGAAGTTATTTCATTTTCCTGTATTTTAATTGCAACAAAAATATAAAATTCATAAATCACTAGTGATTAATAATAATATTAATTATGTGTTGGACACGCTTCTAATTAAGCTAGTTACATTGCATCGTTATTATGAGCAAAGCACCGGCTGTAACAACATTTCAATAACTTTTGTTAAAGCTGGTCGTACGGTTTTCCAGTTTGGCGAGTTTGGAGGTACGAACATTAAATGGCTACAGTTCAGTCAGCTTGACTAACATGGTGAGCCAAAAGTTTGAAGTTTGCATCACAAAAGGTAAAATTTTACTACAATTTTTGACCGTTTGTTTCGGTGCGAATATCTCGTAAACTAAAGGATAAATAGGACCTGATCGCAGCGTCTTAGCAATCTACGGACTATTTTCATAGGGCCAGGCTGATTAAGAGCGAAATCAGAAGGGTACTTGATACTTTTCAACGATTTTTTACGTCGTTAAATATACCAAACTAAAGAGATGGCAACCAGCGGAATCGCGGAGTTATGAAAGATTGGAAAATTTACTCTATCCGGATGAAAATGCTGAAATAGTTACGTATCAACAATAAAAGATCGAATAACGCGATTGAAAGTGCAAAGTGACATTTTACAAATTTTGCCATTTTTCAATCGCGAATATCTCGTAAACTAAAGAGATAGGTAAGATCCGATCGCAGCATTTTAAATCTGAACTATTTTCTATAAGTAGGCTGGTTAAAACAGTGGAGATAAAATTTACGTCTTAAGAAAAATTGCCAGGGGGGATTAGCGATACTTTTTCGACGATTTTTTACGATAATTAATATCATTGAAACTAAAGCGGTGATAGCAGCCAACGAATCGCTGATTGCTGATAGATTAGAAATTTACTCAATCAGATAAAAGTATAAAAATAGTTACATTATCAACGGCCAAATATCGAAAACGCGATTGAAAGTGCTACAAAAAGTGACGTTTCAGGTACGGCCGTGCAATCGCGAATATCAGCAAACTAAAAGAGATAATTAAGATCAGGTATGCAGCATTTTAATCTCGCGGCTATTTTCTATGAATAGGCTGGATTAAACGCAAATCTGAGAGATAAAATTTGCACAACAAGAAAAATTGCCAAGGGGGGTTAGCACGATACTTTTTCGACCATTTTCAAAAATTATTATCTCCTAAACTAAAAGCGATAGCTACCAACAAATTAGTGATTATGATAGATTGGAAAATTCTCTATCCGATAAAAACATAAAATAGTTACATTGTCAACAATAAAAGATCGAAAAACGCGACTGAAAGTGCTAAAAAGTGACATTTTACAATTTATGGTCATTTTTTTCAATCGCGAATATCTCGTAAACTAAAACAGGTAGAGAGGAACGAATCTCGACCTCTTAATCTACGGAAAATTCTCTATCAAATAAGATAGTTAAATTAGAAATCTAAGATATGGAATTTTAAATTTATAATAAAAATGGGCAAACCAGTAGGTGTGCTGACCAGACTCTAATGGTCGGAATAACTTTCCTCATCAGGTTTGACAAACACTAGCATTGATTCACAATGCTTTTAATACAGTATCATTTTCAGAACGATAACTTGTGAGGATATAACGTACAGTACAGTGTTTCGTTACTTTTTGCTTACTATCCTTATTCCATTATTACACATTCACAATGAAACAAAATAACGAAAACTGAAATTGGAACTGAAATAGAAACTTCTCATGCTGATGCTGATTATTATTATTATTATCATTTGCTTGTGTAGAAGGTATTGTCGGTTGCATATAAGGGTAGTTTTGCTCAGGGGTAGTGAATGAAAATGCCAGCCAGGCGCATCAATTAGGATGCGGACGCGTCGGACACTTTGAAGTCGATCAATGAACCGCATCCGCGTATTATATATTACCACCCCAACACTCAACCACCCCCGGGGGTGGAAAACCACTATTACATCCCTTAACTGGACCAGTTATCCCTATATATTATCCTCACACTATAATTTTCCACTGCGATATTTTAGGTTAGGATTGTATTTTAGCATTATCCTTGCGGGGATATTTAAGGGTTAAATATAAGGGATGGCGTCTTGGGAGGCTGATGGTGAGATTTATTATCCTGTCATTTTGCGCGGCGCAGGTGTGTTTCGATAGTTTCCCATTACAGCCCCCGCCACTTGAACACTTGTGTGAATTGTGTTCGCAGGACGAATATTTTGCGTTTGAGGTTAGGTTTAGATGCTATCTGTAATGAGACGTGTAATAGACAGTGTTTCCTTTGCACGTACGCGGCGCATAAATAAAATATCGTTTATTGCTTTGTGCGCGAGGGAATGCGTCGGTAATATCCTGCAGGATAACAGGAAATTAGGATATTCAGGATGTGAGGATATATTTGCGACTTTTATTAGGTTTTGGTGTATTAGGGACATGCTTGTGATGCTTGATTTGATGTGACATGTGAGGAGCATTAAAAATTAAGGATAATTTCAGAATTTGTAGAGAAAAAAAATAGTTTTCCGGTTTGTAAAATATTTATTTATAACTCAAATAATTTATTATATATTAATTTAGTTTATTTTATTCATTTTTCTTATAAAAACTTTTCACTTCCGGTTTTCCGGTTTGACAAAAACTTAAATTTTATCATTTTTTCAATAAATTATTAATGTTTCTTCAGTATATTGTACTTTTTGAAACAAAAAATCTTAATTTCCGGTTTTCCGGTTTTGGAAAAATCCATGTTTTAATTTTTTTTGTTTTGTGCTCTTTTTGTTCCTTCTCCACTGCAGTTTTTTTCATCGTTGTGCCGGTCGTTATTTTCTTAACTCGCGTTTTTTTACGATAGTACAACACAACCCAACGCGTCTCGTAATCTCCGCCGGTGGCGCGCGATGAAGAAGCGAATGCGAATGCGCAAGGATAATTCGGATAATATAATAAACGCTCGCGCCGTTTGTGCAAGTATCAAGGATTCCAAAAATAGACAAGAAACATTTCTCTTTTTTTTTCTTTTTTGTGTTTTATTCGTGGCATTACATTTCCTTTAACTTCTAATCCTTAAAAAAATAAATTTTATCATTTATAATAATCATGATTCAGGATAATTAAGTTTTTGTATTTTTTCGGAGATTTTTTTCTAGTGTCTAATAATCCGAAGTTTTTTTCCGGTTTGCTAGTTTTGTTTTTTCCTGTTTTGGCACTTTTTGCGCCTACCAAGGACGAGGGACCCACGACGCGTCCTCGCTTATTAGTTCCCCACACGTTTTCACACACAGTTACGTCCTTTTTGTATTTCCCCGGACGGCGACCGGAAGGAACAAAAAGTTAGCCTACCCACGAAGCAAAAGTTAGGTTAGAAAACTTATTAATATAAGAAAATTCAATTTGTTGAATTTTCGATTCGTTCAGATTCTGCGAGATTCGCAGGGAT